AGGAGGGGGAGGTTGGGTTGTGATGGGATGGGGAGGGGGGGAAGTTGAAGGTTTGTATGAGGAGATGGAGCGTGCGAGTGTCGAACTATCTTGCGCGGATGAAGGTTGGGGATGAGGTCGAGTTGAGGGGGCCCGAAGCTGGGGTTTGATTTGAGGGCGCGGGTGGGGGGTTGAAGACCGTGGGGAGGCGGAGGGAGAAAATTCCGGTGAGAGAAAGAAAGTGGTGTTCCTGGCTGGCGGGACGGGCATTTCCCCTGCGCTGCAGGCTGCAAAGGCCCTGCTGGATAACCCTCGGGTGGAGATGGAGGTTGTGTGGGCGAACCGGCGCAGGGAGGACTGTGTTGGGTGTGACGGCGGGGAGCAACGGGGGGCCATGGTTGCGATGCTGGAGGATTCCGGAGCAAGTACGAGGGGAGGTTCAAATATTCCTGCACCGTGGACGGAGAGGGGGCTTTCATCGACGCTGGCACTATCGCGAGGGTAACGCAGCCGACCCCGTCACCATCCGCACCCGCTCTCGCCCCGACCCAACGCCAATCAGCTTGGGGATTGTGGCCATCACGCGGCACGAGCCAGAAGAGTAATACGATATCACAGCCGGCTTCCACAGTCAACTCGGACGCCTGCTCGTATCACTCATCCAAGGAGCTGGTCGTCTCTGATGAAAGCGATCCCCATGCCGGCGCTGACAGCAGACCGTGCCAGTGCAAGGACATCAACGGAAGCCCCGTACGGGGTGGAAAGAACCTGCTCATGGTCTCTGGGCCGGAGGGGTTCGTCAAACATCTCGCGGGTGCCAAGGTATGGGGCGCCGGGAAAGAGATGCAAGGGCCGGTGAAGGGGGTCATTGGCGACTTGACCAAGCAGAACCCGAGCCTTGGAGAGGATTGGCTCGTGTTAAAGATGTAATAGATACAGGGCGAGATGTCTGGCTATAGAAGCGAAAATTCATATAGAAGTAGAGGCGCGCTCGTTGTGGATATGGATCAAGTGCCGTTCATCACGGTCACGGACAACGTGTGGTCAAAGCTGATATTCATTCCCATGCTAATTCTACGGCCGCCAACGCCACTCCAATGCTCGTCCAACCCAACCCTCAAATCCCCTGGACCTTGCGGTACGAAGGCGGTTTCATGGTCCGCTGTATAATCTTGGCCGCATACGTGGGGATCAAGGACATGGCCCCGATGGCAGCCACCCGCCAGTAAAAACCCCTACCACCAAGTTAGCAAGATTCATCTCAGACGGCTAGAGAAATACAATAAAAAGAGGTTACTCACAGAGTCAACAAAAAGCCCAAATCGAAATACCCGCCTAAAAACGGAATCGACCCCACAAACATAACAAACGTCCCCACAATCGACACCACCATCACCCAATGCCACGTCGTGATCTCGATCGCCACCATCAGCAGCTCATTCAGCACCAGCACGGTATAGCTGACGGCCACCATGCGGGGGCCATCGACCTCGGTCAGGACCTGCGAGAGGCCCTGGATGAGACAGCCCTGGTAGACCGACACAAAGACCCAGACGAAGAAGGTGCGGTAGGACAGCGAGCGGCCCGACGTCAGCTCCTTGTACAGCTCCGGGTACAGGTTGGCTAGCTCCTCGTCCACGTCCTTGTCGAGCACCAGCGAGAGCACCGGCATTGCTGTGTACACGGTTGCGTAGCCGACCATGAGCCAGTCCTGGAGGGGGGTGTTAGTAGGCGTCCATGAATTGTGGGTGGGGTGGGGTAGGGGAGGGGGAGGGGAGGGGGTGAAAAAAGATGGGACGTACCTTGTAGAGACCCTCAGGCTCAAAATTGAGCGCAATGCTGTACATGGTCTGGCAGACGGCGATGATCAAGCCACGGTGGATGACGAACTGCGCCAGTTTCGCGCTGCGCTTGTAGCTGTTGCGGCCGTGCCAGACCAGCAGCTTGGTCAGGTGGAAGAAGTGCTCGATCGAAAAGTCGGCCGCCAGACTGGCCTGGCGACCTTCCTTGCCAACGATACCCACGCCAACGTCGGCCGCCTGGATCATGGAGACGTCGTTGCCGCCGTCGCCGATGCAGCACACCCGCTTCTTGGTGTACTCCTTGATGAGCTTGGCCACCTCGGCCTTCTGCGTCGGCGAGCACCGGCAGGCGACGACGGTTGGGAGGAGGACCGCAACCGAGATAAACTCGGTGCGGTAGTGCGTGAGGTACATGCTGAGACTCTCGCCGTCGATGAGCAGGCAGGAGTCGGTCTTGCTGCGGAGGATGTCGAGGTTCTCTTGCGCAGCGTCTTTCCGGCGGAGCTTAGCCACCGTGTGAATGTATTGACCTCGGGCAACTAGCTTGGAGCTGACGGCGACGCAACGTGCCGTCTCTACCTTGTCGCCTGTCAACATCCAAATCTTGATGCCGGCGTTCCGTAGGAGCTCGAGCGACGGCTTGACATCCTTTTGCAGTTTATCCTCAACACCGGTCACGCCGAGCAACTCCAGGTCGTGCTCGAGATAGCGGGACACGACAGCTTGCATCCCGGCCTCGCGGCTGGTAATGGCCAAGGACGCTTCCTGATACTTGGCTGTAAACTCCTGGTACTCGGCGGTCGACAGCCGCTTTCTCCCGACAACAAGCGTCCGGAGGCCTTCGCGTGCCATATTTGCCGTCTCCTCATCGAGCCAGTCATTCGCCGCGACGATGGAGCCCATGACGGTGTCGGCGCCTTTTTGGTAAAACCAAATCTCACTCGAGCCCAATTTTGGGGCACCGGCCTGCAGCTTTTCGTAGAACTGCACAATGACACCCATGCGCTTGCCTTCCGAGGTGAAAGGGAAAATATCCAGAATGCGGGCCTTGACCACAGGCCGGCCCGTCTCGGTAGACTCGAGAACCATGCTCTTGCGGTCACGGGCCGCAAGACGTAGGCCGATAGATTCGGTCCAGCGGACAATGGCAATCTCGTCAGGCGAGCTGGCTTGGTATGATTTTACCAATCGGCCTTCCTCGTCCTCTTCGGTGGTTGGCGTCACATTGTGGCAGAGCGCGAGGGCAAGCACGACATCGCGGACGCGAGACCCAATTTCTCGCCGTGTCCTTGTCGCGCCGACATTTGCGGCCGATGAGAGGGATGTTGACGGGGTCACCAGCGCCGTGTTGCCGCTCGAAGGGGGGAGGTGGAGGCCTTGCTGCACGTAGGCTGAGACCTCGTCCATGGCATCGTTGGCGTATGACACAGTGCCGACGTGGATCTTTTTCATTTCCATCTCGTTCTGGGTCAAGGTACCCGTCTTGTCACTGAGCAAGTACTCAATCCGCCCCAAGTCCTCTGGGATGGTGCTGGTCCTCACGACGGCGCCAGGGATGCCTGGATCCCGCTGGATAAACCAGGAGTAGACGCTCTTTCCCATGTCGAGATTCACTCGCAGGCTGATGGGCACAATGGTCGAGAACAGGACCAGGAATCTCATGATTTTGACGTACCAGATATTCCCTTTGGTGTTGCTGAACCCTTCCAGCGCAACCAAGATGATGGAAAGCGCGAGCGTGAGGAAGCAGAGAATCTTGGTGAGCGAGTTGATCTCATACTCCAAGAGACCAGTCTTGGACCGAGAGGGGGCGGTGGAGAGGGCAGAACGAGTCTGCGGTCCGGTGTATGCTATTACTGCCAGGGTCGTGGCATGCGAAGCGATGACAGTATTTGCCCAGGCGGTATTGTCGATGGAGAGAGGCGCCGCCTTGAAGCCGCCAGCCTCATCCTGTGAGAAGGCGGTGGTACTCATGGCGTCGTGTCGTGAAGGCAGTAGTTCCAGAGAGCCAATGAATTCGTTGACCTTTTTGTCGGGTTTCCCCCCGGTGACTCGGAGACGGACCAACTCTTCGGTGGGTAGGTTCTGTGATAATGGAGATGCCAACCGTAGTTTCCAGTCAGTTTCGCCATCGAGCTGATCTGTCCTGATAAATGTTTCTCCATTCGAGCCGCCTTCCGCGGCCCCGGAGACTTCCTCAACATCAAGCCCGGCCCCTGAGCTGCCCTCTCCAGCCTCGGACGCATGGTCCAGTAGCAATGACTCTTCCTGAGGGGCCGTTTCCTCGTTTTCGTCCTCGTTTTTTTGCGCGGCTGGATCGTTCGATAGGCACTTCAGGATAATGACGTCTGAGGGCACACGGTGCCCCTTGTTAAGCTTGAGAATGTCGCCGACCTTGAGATCCCGTGATTTCTTGCTCACTTCCGAGACAACGCATGACGGCGGTCTCCTAGCCCCATCTCCCTCTGTCTGTTCCTCCTCCTCCTGTATGTCCGAGAGTCTATCCCTCTCCGAGACATTATAACGCTTGGACCCTTTCTGTACGTGGGTGGACTTTCTCTTCCTCGCAGCCCTCGCAGCCCCCGCCTTCCCGGGCTCGTCGAATTGCAGAACCGTGTATTCTTCGGAATTTGCCTCATTATCCCTCCTCCGTCTCTCGATGTCGTCGTAGGCCTCCTTGCCGAGCGTGATGACAAGCACAAATGCTAGCGGTGCGATGTATGTCGAGAGGTAGCCGATCCGTAGCGCTGGGATGGCCTGGGAGACGGCTACCAAAAGGAAGTACATATTGAAAAAGAAGGAGAACTCGTTGTAGAGCGTGACGGGCAGAAAGCTCCAGGCCGTGTACTTGGCGTTGGAGATAATGTTCGGGGGGAAACGGGTCGACTGGAACGAACCGACAGCCACCAACCTCGATGACGACGGGTCGTCCTCCTCTTTGTCGAGCTCCTCTCCGGGGTTATCACGAGGTGCAGCCGCGCCCGACATGAAACTAGGGAGCCTTAGGCCAAACCGGCGCCATCCATCGCGGGTGAATGACGCTCGCCGTTTGCCGGAATCCTGCCCCTGGCCATGTTCGCTGAGGAGTGGCGCATCGTCCCCCCCGGCCGCACTGGCGTCTGAATACCGCCGATCGCCTCCATCTCCATCTCTCAACAATCCTTGAGCATCATCGCTGCCCCCGTCCTGACTGCGCCCTAGCTCCCCATACCCATTGCGTTTGGCGCCACGTCGTAACCCGCCCATTCGAAGCGTGCGCAGGGCGATTCTGGGTGTTCGTTGTTCGGGCGTCTCGCGCGTCTGTCCTAGCAAGCTCCTCCTCACTGGTTGCTCGACTCCAGAAACGGGTTGGGGATCAAGCTCTTCAAGGTCGAGGTCGAGATCGGAATCGGAGTCGTCGACGGGCGAGTCTGGCGGCTTCGCTGGGGGATAGGATGTTGAGGGAGGCATTCCGCATCGGCCAAGGGCCTCGGGAGAATGCAGCAACAAACGCGATCCTCCTCTTCGGACACGATGCGCTCTTCACTCTGCGCCCGTTCTGGCCAGTCTCGCGGTGTCTCGGATCACGTCGTGCACATCACAGAAAATCGCCGGGGGTTGGTGGCTGTGGATGCCGTGCGGAGAGGTAGAAAAATAAAACAAAAAAAGACAGAAAATAAGTTTCGATCCTAGATTAGCTATCGGGGAGTTACAGCTTCATGCCATGGCTGGGAAATGCATGGAAGATGTTACAGGCACAAAAGGTTGAGTGGCGCTTCCAAGGTTGAAGACAGCTTAGCCGTTAAACCTTCTGTAACAACCAACTATTCTACGCCTAACGTTAATTACGACGACTCCTGCGCGGCCTTCACAAGATCGCAGGTGGAACGACAGGGGTCTTTGTTCAAATGCCACGCATTAACGAGGAAGCTGCCATGAGAGCCTTGGCGGCTTCTTATCGGTTAAAGCAACGGTTGGCCATCCTCGCATTTAGCGACTTGTTAGGCCCCTTGTCTTAACAAGCAGCCCCTACGATAAGAATAACTCTGCTAAGGCAGGCTGCCCGCGGCCCGCCTGCATCTTGCTGAGGCCAGCGTTGCCCTTTCGTCTGCGCCATGTGCAGTGCCGCTTCCGAGTTCCCGTTTGAGACGGATCTCGTCATCAACTGGAGGTTCTTGCCAACTTGCACTCTGTGGTTTGTGATTTAGGAGTACATTCTCAAAACCATATTTGCCAACACAAGCAACGATGCTTCGTTATTAGATGTTCCTTCTTAGCCACTCGTCTGTGTTTGTATCAGTATGCACTTTTTTTCGCCCCTATCCATGTTTGGAAGTGCGACAGGGGTTGACCGACGCGCGCTCCCGTCTCGCTGTTCTTGATTCTCGGTCGATCCCTGGCCTGAAGAAATGGTTGCTAATTCCCAACTTTTGATCTTCTAGTAATTCTCTTTGTTTCATAGCTCAGCGGCGCATCTGCATTGGGACCTTGCGCAACTTTTAGATCTGCGCCATCATGGTGTCCGATGCGCCGAATTCATCATGGCATCCGGCCATGATGCCGAACTCGATCGCCGACCTGCGGAATCGACGAGAAGACACCGTTCCTCCTTCGGCGCCAGAGGGTAGTGTCCTAGAGGACAACACAACACAGTCAAACACAGCTGGGGAAGAGTCCGGCGCTTGGTTCCAGGATGACGGCACTGGCGATGACTGGCTGGCAGACACGAACAATGCGCCCGAGTCCGAACCCACGCCCGCGCCCGCGTCCGCGCCGGATACCGAGACGCCGGAACAAACAGGGCCGGCCGAATCCGTCGAGGAAGCTGTTCCGGAAGAGTCGAGCACCACCTCCAAGCACTTGAGCACCATGTCCTTCACACGGACTGTGCCCCATGAAGTGAATTGGAACGACGATGATGACGCTGAGTGGAGCCTCCCTCGGACTGACACCGACCCTTTCAAGTTCATTCCCGAGACGAACCGGACCAACTCCTTCCCAACGGTATCTCCTTTGGAGGACAGGGCACATGGGGCGGCGCAGGAGTTCGATCATCCCATCTCTTTCAACCCGGCCGAGGACCTCATTCGCGAAATCGAGGAGGAGGAGAGCCGGGAGGATGGGACACTCCCTGGTGCCGCCGCCGAGTCGGCCACGCAGAATGCCCAAGATGATACTACCACCCAGCAGTATCTCACCGGGGGCCCTGATGCTGTCGCCAACGACGCTCTAGGCGCCCGCTTCGAGGAAGGGCTACCTCTTGTTTCATCGGCCGACCAGGATGCCACACAAGAAGGCCAACAGGAGGCTGGGGGGGACTTGTTTGCAGAAGAGACGGTCGGGGAAGAGGATGACTTTTTCAGTAACGTCCGTTCTGATGAAGCCACTCAACAGGACGACGACTTCCAACCCACCCCGGTGCAACGCAAGTCCACCATGGATGTACTCAACTCCTTGGATATGCCCTCTACTGGTACCGGCTTCGTGCCCTTGGAAGAGACCGTTGAAGAACCGGAGGCCCAGGAGAGCCCACAGGATCAGCCCAAGGCACAGGAGGGTGAGAACTTGGATGAGAAATGGAAGGAAATGTTTGGCGATGACGACGCTGAGGAGGGTTTTCTGCCCGACGAGAGCACTGGGCCGAACGAACTGGATGCGTCGGCATTCCTTGGTAGCGACGACGAAGGCCTTCTTGAGGACTCTGAAACCGAGCAGCAAGAGCAAAGCCAACCTCTTGCTTCTCCCGGATACGTGTCGGCCTCAGGCCCTAGTGCGCAGCCGGTCAACGGACAGTATTTTCCTCACAACCAGGGCCCTGCTGTCCCCACGCCCACGAATCCTTATCTCCCCGCCGTTTCGCCTGTGACGCCAGCACACTCGTATCTTCCGGCAGCCCCAGTATCAGCAGCTCAACCTCCTACCGCAGCTCCTTATGCCCCCCCCTCAACTGCCCCTCCGGCGCCGGCGCTGGCGCAGTTTGGTTATGGTGCTCCGCCTCCAACGCAGGAGAAGAACAAGGCACAAAGCTTTGTGGACAAAAAGGGTGGCTACACGTCACCCTACGATCTCCCCATGGAAGTCGTCAAGCCGAAGCGGCGCGCCGGGGCGCTTCCACTTCAAAATAATACATCGGGGCCGAACTCGCCCAGTACCATGCCACCGCCGCCTAGGAGTGCAAGCATGTACAGCCAGCCTTCCCCTTCCACCGGTGCGCCGACGCCGGGCACAGCGCGCCCAGCATCAAGCCACTCGGCGCAAGCCCCTTCAAGCGGGCGCAAGCCGTCTCATGAGAGCTTCTTCGAGGACCTTCCCATGACAACAAAGCCACGCCCTGCATCGCGGCCAAAGCCAAAAAGGTGTGTCGCCGACGCAGCCGAGTTCTCATGCTTTCCCGCCGCAATCCGTGTCCACCCCCGGTGACTTCTCACCCGATGTCTCCTTCCGGACCACCCACCCCGGGTGGATTTGAGGCTGGTATCCCGAACCTCGTCGCTCCAGCCCGCGTCAACCCTTATGCCTCTTTGAGCGCCGCCCCCAACCTCGTCCCCGCGGCGCCTCCCGTCGCATCATCACGTTATTCTCCTGCGCCGCCCGGTGCACCTCTTACCAACGGTCCGGCGCCGGCTCCCGTTTCCAGTCGGTATTCCCCGGCCCCGCCAGCGCCACGGCAACCCAGCGGTGGGTATGGGCCGACTCTCACGACCCCCGGGCCGCCAGTTCTGCCACACCAACCCCGTACCTCTAGCCCCTGGCGCACTTTGAAATTAGCCATGAGAGGTCAAGAGCTCATGCACCCGTCGGCCATGTCGAAGGTAGCTTAGCGGAACGACGGAGCAGTAGTTCCTTGCATGACCATCGGCTCCAGAGGGTGCCGTCGCTGCCCTCTACTAGGGAGGTCGAGGAGGAGGAAGTTCCGACGCAGGCGCAAGCATCACCCGGTGGCCCGGCGCCTCCTCACCCGATGTCGCCGCCCGTTTCGAGATATGCGCCGTCACCCCAGGGAGCGAGGCAGACACCCCCGCACACGGCACCTTCCGGACAGACGGTTTTGTCACCTCCTAAAAGGGTCATGTCTAGCCACAGCCCTCTGGCACCACCGTATGACTTTGCTCCGCCCCCTCGTTCTCAGACCCAGTCCCCTGGAGCTCTGTACGGCAACCGTGCTACGAAACCCGTTGAGCCAATTCCTCGCCCATCCTCCGTTCACGACCCTACCTCTCCGCGAGAGGCGGCGTACCCTGCTGCGCCAGCCTCCTTTGCCCCAGTCGCTCCCGCTACAACCTATGGACGTCCTAGGGGTGCGTCTTTGAATCTCAACGTAATTCCTCCGACAGATGGCCGCGAACACGACCCGCTTCAGCAGTGGCGTGGCGCCCCAATCATTTCATGGGGTGTTGGCGGGACCTTGGTTACCATGTTCCCCAAGGAAGTGCCCCGGTATGGCATGAACCAGAGCATCCCCGCCGTGATCCGCAGCCCGGGCGAAGTCAAAATCCAAAATATCAAAGACATTATACCCTTCGAGGAACGGCTCGCGAAATTTCCCGGCCCTCTGAAAGGGAAGTCGAAGAAGAAGGAAACCATTGCTTGGCTAACGGCCGGCATCGAGAGCCTGGAGCAGGGCCTGCCTACCAGTTTCTCTCTTCATACCCCCTTCTCCCACGATGATAAGCGCGCAGTTGAGCGAGTTTTGCTGTGGAAGATTCTCCGCGTTTTTGTCGAGCACGACGGCGTGCTGGAAGGGAATCCCACTGTGGACAAGGCCGTGCGCGATCTCTTGTCCCCGGGCCTCGAGGGCGCTGACAGCACAACACCGTATGTGAACGGCGGCGGCAACTTTGGATTAGCCGATCCGGCGTCGGCTGGGTTGCAATCGGACGGGGTCAGTTCCTCCACGGTCGAGCAGATTCGCCGTCAACTTCTCAGTGGGGATCACGAGAAAGCTATCTGGGCCGCTGCGGACCAGCGCCTATGGGGCCATGCTCTTCTTCTTTCCAATGCTCTCGCGCCAAACCTGTACAAACAGGTTGCGCAAGAGTTCATCAAGAAGGAGGTCAACTCTCCGGGCCGCAACAACGAGTCGCTCGCTGCTCTGTACGGGGTCCTCTCTGGGAACCACGAAGAGAGCGTGGACGAACTCGTCCCGAGCCATGCCCGCGCCGGACTCCAGCTCGTAACTACACATGCGGCATCTAGCCCCTCAAAGGATGCCATGGAAGGCCTCGATAAGTGGCGGGAGACCCTCGGTCTCATCCTCAGCAACAGGAGCACCGACGACGGCCGCGCGATCAACTCGCTCGGCGTCCTGCTGTCCGGCTATGGGAGAGCAGAGGCCGCTCATGTCTGCTTCATGTTTGCGCGCAACCACACCGTTTTTGGTGGCCTCGACGACCCGGCATCTCATTTTGTTCTCGTTGGGTCCGATCACAAGAAGCAGGCTGAGCAGTTCGCCAAGGAGATCGAGCCTCTATTGCTGAGCGAGGTCTACGAATATGGCCAAAGCCTGGCCGGAGGCTTCAGCGTGCCGGTGACAAACCCACACCTGGCGGCCTACAAGCTGCAGCATGCTATTGCTCTGGCCGAATATGGGTTCCGGGACAAGGCCTTGCAATACTGTGATGCGATCGCCACAGCGATTACTTCGCAGACCAAGAGGTCTCCGTATCACCATCCTATTTTGGAGAATGCCGTTGAGGACCTCATGATGCGCCTCAAGCAGGCTCCAAGGGAAGACTCCGGTTCTTGGATTCCGAAGCCGACCATGAACAAAGTCAGTGACACCGTCTGGAGCAAATTTAACAAGTTTGTCTCCGGTGACGATGACGGCTCCGGCCAGGGCCCCACGGGAGAAGGGGAACCCGGGCCATTCTCGCGTGTCGCGGGGGGCACCCCGACTATCAGTCGGTCTCCTTCAGCCAGCAACTTGGAGACGTTTGGTGCCGCCGTCCCCAGCTACGGCATGTCCTCTTCTCTGCCTAACGGCCCGGTACCGGCTTCCGCGCCGGCGACCAGGGCTGCGTCCCGCTACGCGCCGGGAGCGCCCCAAGCAACAGGCTCTAACAGCCGGCCCTCAACCTCGGCGTACGCGCCTCGCTCGTCGATGGAACGGACGTCGAGTGAACTGAACAGAGGCTCATTTGAGGTGCCTAGGCGGTCTTTGGAGATGCAAGCCGGGCATCGGGGCAGTTATAGCCCTGTCAGGAGCGGTTCGCCGGCTGCCATGTACACGCCGCAGAGTACCGATTTCGGTTCGCCGCAGCAGTCGCCGTACCAACCAGTTTCTCACGCGCAACCCACGCCATTTCAAGCACCCACCAGCGCTCCCCAACCGGTCGGGTACCCAGGCCCGCCAGCCAACGGAGTTGCTCCGGGCCAAGAATCGGAAGCCCCTGGCCAGTCTCCCGAAGCCTCCGGCTATCAGCCCCCGTCGTATGGATACGAGCCCCCATCGTTTACTCCGTATGAAGCTCCCACCGAGGAGAAGGACGGTACGCCAGAGGAAACCCCCAACGGTGGCTCCTACGAGGCTCCCTCGTATCAGCCATATAGCTACGAACCGCCATCATACGAGCCTGATACGCAACCCTCAAACGAGGATGCTGGCTCCGACGACGAGTCAAAGCCCAAGCCTAAGAAAAAGGGCATCATGTATGATGACGACGATGACTTCCCCACCCCGCGACCCGCCGAGAAGTCGAGGGCGGAGAAAGACCGCGAGAACGACGAAATGTTCCGCAAAGCCGCAGAAGAAGATGGTAAGCACACCACCTCAGTTACCCAGCCACAACTTCATAACAAACTAACTCCTCCACACAGCTCAACGTGTCGAAGCAGCCAAACAAGCCAAAAAAGGCTGGGGCTTCACCTCGTGGTTCGGAGGCGGCGGTGCCAAGAAGGACGCCGCCACGCCCGACTCCAAGGGCGCCAACCCCAACAAACCCATCCGCGCCAAGCTCGGCGAGGCTAACTCCTTCTACTACGACCCGGAGCTCAAGCGCTGGGTCAACAAGAACGCCGGGCCCGAAGACACCGCCAAAAAGGCCACCCCACCACCCCCCAAAGCCGGCGCCCCGCGCTCCGTCAGCGCCAGCCCGGCCTCCCCGCCCTTCTCCCCGGGCCCCGGCCGCGGCGCCAGCGCACCACCCCCCATGGGTGGCGCCGGCGGCCCGCCCCGCTCCGCCAGCCGCCCGCCCACCAGCTCGGGCAGCACCGACACGACGGGCCTGCCCGGATCACCGGGCTCCGTCGCCGGCGGTGCGCTCGGCCCGCCCCCCGGGCCAGTCGCCATGCTTCGCTCCGTGTCGAACACCAGCACGGCGAGCGCGCCGCCGCTGGGTGGTGGCGGTAGTGGTGTTGGTGGTGGTGGTGGTGGTGGTCCGCCGCCGTCGTCGCGCCCGCCGACTAGTTTGAGCAATTCCAGTAGTATTGATGATTTGCTGGGGGCGGCGGGGCCGAGGAAGCCCGGAGCGGCGAGGAAGGCGAGGAAGGGGGCGAGGTATGTCGATGTTATGGGGGAAGTGAAGGGGTGGAGAGGTGGAGAGGAATGGGTGAGATTGGGGTGATGGGAGTGGGAGCCGGGGGATGGGGTTGTATAGATTATGATACATGTGTAATTACTTGATGTCGCCTGCCTATCTGCCTTTTTGCTAGGGCTGCTATTGCTGCTGTCTTGGAAAGGGTGGTGGTGGACTTGGCTGGGCGTTTTTTCTTTGCTTGTTTTACGTTTTGGGGTTTGAACGGGACTGACTGGCTGTGTACACCTGTATATTTTAACGGGCCTATGAGTTTAATGAGACGAGGCAACACGATTATAGACATGATGGTTGTTTATACAAATCATGTCATGGTTGAGCACCTGAGTGAGTCGGGCACAGTGTTAAGCTCCGCCCTTGCTATATGTACAAGTTCCTTCCTGCTAGCGTTCAACGAGGACCACCGCCCCGGGTTCTGAGCTGCCCAACCGCGTACCGCACTCTGCGGGAGGCTGCAGGTTCGAGCAATACCCGGGGCACTTGAAAAGAGACGCAACAGGGGGTCCGCCCCCTTCTCTTCGGCGTAAACCCCACCAGGGGTTTCGTAGCCGGCCACCTCCCTTCGGGGGGCTGGTCGGTAAGCTTTTGTCTTTTCCCTTTTTTCTTCCCTTCTACCATCTTCTTTTCGATATGCTAGTAGTAAGAGCGAGGGGTCTTTATCAACGGAACAAATAGTATATTTACCTTCGGAGCTCACCCAACCCAACCCCTAATCCCCATGTGGTTGGGCAGGTTGTGCTGAGATGGGGAGACTAAACCTATGGCGAAGCAAGAGGATAGCTTTCCAAGGTTAGATATGTGCTAAAGTCAGGAATGGCATTGATTTCAGAACCCCGGCAATTAGCTGCCATTTCGATTCTATTCTCCATCCACATGGCCCTCTACGATTCTCTAAATCCCAGCAACCCAACCCTAAAACGCCAGTCTCCCATAGCAACAGCAAGCAAACCAAACCAAACCAGCCCCCCTCCCCCACCACTCAAGCCTCAAGCGCTATAACTCGACACATAATACGTCACCACATCCTCCGCCCCCACATCATCCACATGTGGCACATAAACATACAATATCAACGCATGATCATCCGCAAAACACGCAATCACCCTCCCTTCCAGCCGACCCACACTCAACACCCGACTCCAGTCCTTGCCGTCCACGCGCACGGTAGCCCACGCCTCGGGCCCCGCCTCGCGAAACCTCGTCGACGGGTGCTCCGCCAGCGGCATCGCCAGCTGCGCCGGGTCCAGCTCCGGGTTCTCCAGACCCTTCCACACGGACGTGATGTCCAGCGTCTCGGTGGCCAGGCGCAGGCGCAGCGCGCCGTGCATGTTGGCGGAGAGGGTGAGTTTGGGGTTTTGGTTGCCGCCGCTCCGTGCGGCGGAGGTGGAGGAGGCGGTGAGGGCCAGCTTGGTGAAGCGGTCCGAGATGGCTTTGAGTTGGAGGAGCGGCGGCAGCTGGATGTGCACGTCGGGCTCGCGCACCTTGGGCTGCATGATGGTCTCGACCGTGTCCGGGTGTAGGACTCGTACGGGTATGTCCTGCGTGATGATCTTCTCGCGCTCGCGCTTCATGGTCAGCTCGAGGGACTCCTGTGCGAAGAGGTCTGGGTCGCTGAAGGGGTCCGCGTCGTGCCGCCCTGTTGCTGCTGCGGCTGCTGTGCTTGGGAAGCCACCTCCGTTGCCGCCACCGCGAGCGTCTTGGGCGCCGTCCTTGGTCATGGTGTGGATGGTCATGGATAACATGGGGACCCCGTCCCGCTTGGTGAGGCGTAGGTTGGCATAGCTGCTGCCGACGGCGGATTTGAGGGCGCGTTGGAGGGGGCCGAGGGGCAGTTCGAGGTTGATGGTGTTGTTTGCTTCGGCGGATTGGATGCTGTAGTTGTCAAAGATAAGGTCGACCGAGAGGGAACTAACATGGTCAGGTTTGGTCTCAATCATGGAATGTAAATTATAGAGGAATATGCGTACGCCCATACTTGGGACCCGGTATCGGGGATCACAGTGAAGCGGACTGTTTCATCGTCAAGGCGCATCCACGCGATCTTTTCGAGCGAGTTTAGCGCCGCAGTGAGTTCTGTTGGACGAAAGATGTCAATCAAAAATCGGTTATGAATTCAACATGTAGCCTACTTGAAAAGGTCCTCACATTCCTGAGGTCGGTCTTGAACCGCATGTTGCCGATCGGGAAAGTTAAACCATGTTCGGGAGATGAATGGATGCTGTCGACCGCGTCGCGTAAAGTGCAAACCCCACTCATTCAAGCTCAGATCACGGCGAAATTTATGTGTAAATTACATAGTAGAATAATACGAGATAAATGACGGCCCAGATACGGACAGGCTTGGCTGTATGTATCGTAAAACCGGGATGAGGTGGTATGCCAAATACATTTGCGGGGAAACCTTGCTAGGCTCCCACCCCGCCCGCCTGTGCCTCCATTCCTTCCCGCAACCCCACTCTCCCAACCGTCTTATCCCTCCACTGATCTGCGACCCGTTGTCCGATGCTATTCCAAACGCCATCGCTGGTAGAAAGAAAATCGCTAAAAGAAAGGAAATAAATGTCAAAAATACTCCACCATGGTTAGTTAGGTTGCATAGATCGGAGGGAGTCCATCATCCAATATCCATTCGAGAACTACCTACTCAAACCTCGCGAGGAGCCTGAGCCTTCCACCACGTCTCCCAGCCAACATCTCGGGATTGAACATCCATCCACGGACCTTCCCAGACTCCGGTGCTGGCCGGGGTCCTCCTTCTGTTCCGCGCCTCCTGGCGAGACAGGCGGTGGTTTTGGCCGGTAGTGTTCTCCTGGTTCGTTCTTGGCTGGTCGGGGACGTTCTTCTTGCGTGAGAGGGGCAGCAAGGCACGCAGCCAGCGGAAGGGCACCCCCACGGTTTCCAGGCGCCCCGGGCGCTTTTTCTCTGGCTTGTTCTTTTCCTCGTCCGGCAGCAGGCAGTACTCGCAAGGTGTCGTCATCAATTCCTCCCCACTGGTTTTCGGTGGACGTAGCTTTCCGTCCTTGTCTGCGATGAGATCGGGGTGTGTGCCGTCGCGATTGAGTAGGAATGGTAGCACGGGGTGACCGCATGCATCGTGGTACGATACATGTCGGCAGATGGGGCATAACGGCTGCTCGTCGGCTGTGATGGCGAGGTAGCGCTTGATGCAGCGGCTTCCGAAGCGATGGCCGCACGGCAACATGCTGAAGCCCTCTTTAAGGCCCTCCGCATTTCGGGTACCGATGGTCTCCTGGCAGATGAGACATGATGTCTCTTCAATCTGAACGGTGGATAAATGCTTCTCTGGTGAAGCAGCTCGATACCGCCTGTAATCGGCTTTACCGCGCACCATTCGCCCCATAGAAAGGGCAAGCGAGTAGATAAAAGCAATCAGGTGCTTTGCTGCGATGGCGGGGAGAAGAGGGACACGGAGGATGTAGATGAGGAGTGGTAGGCTGGGCCGTGGGGCTAACCCGTCGCTGTTGTCGGACATGGGATTTGCAGGTGTCGGAAGATGGCTGAGTTCACAAAACAGCTATGTTGGGAGATGGTGGGATTAAGAGTATCCAACAACAGAGTATCCGGGACGTTATGGAGAGGGTATTCAAATCCGGGGCGTTGGGGTTGGAAATGAAAAGAGGAAAGGTGACGAGAATGGAGAAGAAAAGATGAGGAGGTTGGAGAAAGGTTTAGGGCCTCGGTCCTCCAACAAATGCCTCCGAGCGGTGCGTCACGCTGAGCGAGGGGAGGCAGCCTTCTTTGTCCCGCCCACCTACCATGCAGGTGCGTGCTGTCCGGGCTGGGTGCAGCAGCACCGACCCGTTTCTAGGAATTTAGGCCTCCCAACACAATTACGAACCAACGGTACCAGCACCTTGTTCCTATGACATTATTGCCGGGAAGAAGTAAATATGAAAAGAAAAGCTTATCCCAATACATTTCAGGAGCCGGATTAAAGGTCTCACTCGTGGGCACATCTTCAGGTACCTTGTTGGGTACTTTACCAGCTGCAATTTAGGAAGCCTTTCGGGTTCCGGGTTGTTCAAGGCGAGCCACCTGAAGGTGGGGGTGGGGGACAGATGCTGGACACATGCGCTTTTGACGGTTGGAGACTGTGGGCCCGGTAGTTGGCAGCTGACGTCGTGGCAACCTCTGTTTTCTCACGTTATCGTCCTACCACCACAACACACGAAATAATGGTGGCTCCAGACCCTATATGCCAAGTTTCGATAGTGCACATGCCGCGGACTTCCGAACTCGCAGAAGATTTGTCAAGAAAGAAAAAGAAGTATCTGTCTGACTCAAAAAGACGCGAGGTATTGGATGCATCCTTAGGTGGGCTGTAATACCACCGTAATACTTCGTATCAGATATCAGATTTGTTTGATAGGACCCACCTACGGACCCCACTGTCCGTCCTCAATGCCCCAAGCTTCCTAACCGGCAGGCAAACTTCCATCCAAACGAAGGCAACTCTTCCAAACCAAAGCAACAGTTTCCAAACCAGTTTTAAACCAACGCACTACTTTCGAACAACATTGCATCTTCAAGCAATGCCATGGAGTCCTCCGCGCACGCTCAATCCACGGCTCTTATTCGCAAACGGACAGAGACTGAGCTGATGCCACCACCGCCACCTGCGAAGCGCATCAAGCGACCGAAACGCGTGCTCGACGAAAACACCTACACCGACGCTCTCTCACACATTATCGCCCGCGACTTCTTTCCCGGTCTCCTCGAGAGCGAAACACAACAAGAGTATCTCGACGCGTTAGAATCCAAAGACGAAGAATGGATCGACAGCGCCAGCCGCCGGCTCCGGCAAGTCATGACTCCCGGTCGACGGCGAGGGCTTGCTACACCACTCCGCCAGGCAACAGCCGCAGGAGGCCACACCCCGCTTAATTTTGTCGGCGACACACCCGCATCGGTGGTCTCCACAGCCACCGTCACCACGTCAGCCCAGAAGCAACCCGCGATAGACACCAGTGTCTCCCTTGCCATGTTCCAATCGAAATACACCTCCGAAGACAATGAATCCTTCTACAAACTTCTCGACAAGCAGAACCAAAAGCGCGTCGAGAAATACGCCTGGCTCTGGACTGGGAACAAGCTCCCATCGAAACAACAAATCAAACAAAAAGAAGTCGAAGCCAAACTACTAGCCGAGCGGGGCGCCGGCGCCCTCCGAGACGACGGATTCACCCGCGATCGACTGGGCCATCCTCGACAAGGATGCCGTGGATCGGCCTGCCGCGCCGGACCACTGGAACAAGGCGAAGCCGGACAACGAGCTGATGTTTGTGCCGGACGGCGTGGACGGCAGCGAGCTGCAGACTGTTGCCGAGCGGGCGCAGGCCGAGAGTAGGGCCCCACCGAAGCGCATCGTCTACGAGAACACGCGGATGCCGCAGCCTGCGGCGAGGGAGGTGTCTGGGGAGGGCGACCGGTCGTCGAGGGCGGGTTCGCCTTCGTTGTCCGAGATTCGTAACGCGATCGCGGGGAACAGGAGGGCGTGTGATGCCGAGACGAGCGTGACGGGTGGTGCCGGGGAGACGCCGCGGGTGAATGGGTATGCGTTTGTGGATGACGAGGAGCCGGAGCCGGAGCCGGAGCCGGCGCGGCTAAAGAGGGATAAGATGCCAGTGATCGATCTTGGTCCGGGGGACGCCACGCCAAATCCGTTCCAGTTTCAGGAGCAGAGGAAGCGAGAGGCGTTACATCACCGGATGGTGGACAAGATTTCGCTGTCGAAGCGGACATCGGCGAGGCTGGGGTTTACGGGGAACGTGGGGCGTACGCCGGTGCCCAAGTTCCCGAGCAGTCCGAGGGTGTCGGGTGGAGATCTGACGCCGGCGGCGCAGAGGTTATGGGGGAGGATTGGCGGGTCGGAGAGAAGGGGCGCAGCGTCGCCCTTTAGTGATTCTATCAAGTCTACGCCGAAAGCAACACCGGTGGGGAAGAGGTCTGGGTTGAGGAACTTGGCGAAGTAGAGCACAGGACGAAGGACGAAGGACGAAGGAGACAGCGTTGGTTATTGATACCCGGGGTTAACAGACCTGATAACAATGAATAATATATATTGATGAGTTCCAATACACTTGATCAATTCATTCATTCTTTCCATGATTCCATGCTGTCTCCGGGTACATGTCCCATGGATTATACGAAGTAACGAGGTAAGGATCCGCTAAACGTCGTGAACCTCCACCGCCGTCAGCCCTATCGCGTCCCGTCAGTTCGGCTCAACCTCAGCGCTAGCAGGGCCCCTTGCCCCATTCTTTAACAGGGGCACCTCCCCCCAAAATTTTGCGGCTGCTCGGCTCCGGTCAGCACCGACGCATGCACACGCGGACAGTGCCGGCCCAACCCGGATCTTCACATCTTGAATAGGTACCTATCAAAACCTCACTCAAATTCGGGTACCCGGGGTGGAAGCGCAACAACCTTGCTAGTACGCCCACCTGCCCAACCCTAACCTCACATTTCTCCTTTGCTTTCCTTTATATAAGCGCAAGGGAAAAAGACGGTAAACCCCCCCCCCCCCCAAAAAAAAAAAGTGAGGCAAACAACCCATCACCAACATGCGCCTCGCCGAACTGCTCGTCGACCTCGCCGCTGTCGCGAGCGCGTCACGCGCCGTCGCCAGTAAGCATGTTGCGCTGCGGTCAAGGCAGGTCGAGCGGTACAGCAGGGAGTCGAGTGTCGTGGGGAGTGTGTTGAGGGGGCGAGAGCAGGGGCGGCAGGGGGAGCGGGAGGAACCACAGCAACAGGAGCGGCAACCGCAAAGGAAGGAGACACAGCAACGAACGCAGACGCAAACTGTGGGAGTGGAGGGGCAGCAGGTGCGGTCGCAGGGGGGTGCTGAGAAGGGGGTGGAGGATGTTCAAGGGGGAAGGGAGCCTGGGTTGCGGGTTGATGAGACGCCTATTGCGACGCCGGTTGCACCGCCGGCCGAGGGGCCGGGTATGGGAGGGACGGAGCCGGTGCAGCAGGCGGGCGCGGTAAAATCCGAGTTCAAGCCCGCCCCGTGGGCGGAGGGTGGGATTGCGATGCTGAAGCAGGGATTTGTTCCTCCGAGGCGGCCTCCGCAAGCATTAAGGACGCCAGTGGTGGGCATCCCTGGAGCGAATATCTTCCGGGCGAAAGGGGAGTCACAGATTTTGCAGGCGTTGAAAGAGATGGAGGAGGAGGAGGGAGGAAAGGAGTCGTTGGCTACCTCGGGGGGTGAGAGCAGCGAACGACCTGCGAGAGACCCGGTTGGAGAAGCTGAGGTATCAAAGGATGGTGAAACAGAGGCGGAAGCGGTAGCTATGCCCGAAACCCCGAAGTTGGAACCAGCCTCCTTAACTCCCGAGGTTGACGCAAAGAAGGTCACAACAATCGAAGAGGTCTTGGAGGAGGAAAACGGAAAACCCCCTACGCCGCAACAACCTGAACCTGAAACCCAAGCTTCTCTCGAGAATGAAAGAGGGGTAACAGCAGAAACAATAGGTGCCGATTCTCCTGTGCCAGAAGCCAAACCTGAGGCCTCAACTACTCCCAGTCGAGAATTCCTTCAGGAGAAATCACTGTCACAAGAAGACGCAAGCATAGTGGCAGAGTTGGCGAGCTCAACACCTACCTCACCCGAAACCCCCCGCTACCAGCTTCGGGAATCTGCCGTACCCTCCTCACGAATCGGCCGGCTCTGGAATTACGGCGGCCTCGCAGCTGGTATGTTCGCCGGCGCCATCGGGGAAGGCCTCAGCCGGGCGGTCGGCGGCGGCGGTTCAGGCTCGATGATGCTCAGCGCCGCCAACATGGAGCGGCTCGTGGCTAAGCTCTCGCGGATGCGCGGCGCTGCTCTCAAGCTCGGCCAAATGATGAGCTTCCAGGATGCCAAGATGCTCCCGGCCGCTATGCAGGAGGTCCTGCAGCGTGTCCAAGACCGTGCCGACTACATGCCGGGCTGGCAACGAGACCGCGTCCTAACGTCCAACCTCGGCGAGAACTGGCGTGACCTCTTCGACGAGTTTGAGGACAAACCCATCGCAGCGGCCTCCATCGGCCAAGTCCACCGTGCCACCCTCAAATCCAACGGAGCCCGCGTCGCCGTCAAGATCCAGTTCCCCGGTGTCGCCGACTCCATCAATTCCGACCTCGACAACATCGCCGTCCTCCTAGCCGCCACCAAACTCCTCCCCAAAGGCCTCTACCTCAACAAGACCATCGACAACGCCCGCACCGAGCTCGCCTGGGAATGCGACTACACGCGCGAAGCCGAGTGCGCCGAGCACTACCGAAACCTCCTCACCACCGCCACCGCCACCTCCCCCTCGGAAGAATCCGTCTTCTCCGTCCCCCGCGTCTACCGCGAGGCCAGCGGCAAACAGGTCCTCACGATGGAATTCATGGACGGCACGGCTGTAACACGCATCGGATCCTTCACGCAAGCGCAGCGCGACCGAATCGGCACGCAACTCCTGCGACTCTGCCTCCGCGAGATCACCGAATTCCGCTTCATGCAGACGGACCCCAACTGGACCAACTTCCTGTACAACCCGGCCACCGACCGCCTCGAGCTCCTCGACTTCGGCGCCTCACGCGAATACCCCGCCGAGTTCATCACCCAATACGTCCAGCTACTCGAAGCCGCATCACGAGCCGACCGCGAAGGGGTGCGCGCGCTCAGCGAACGCCTCGGCTACCTGACGGGCCACGAGAGCCGGGTGATGCTCGACGCGCACGTCACGTCGGTGGTGACGCTGGCGGAGCCGTTCCTGCGCTCGGCGCCTGAGGTCTATGATTTTCGTGATCAGACCATCACCGAGCGCGTCAAGGCCCAGATCCCCGTCATGGTGCATGAGCGGCTGGCGCCGCCGCCCGAGGAGACGTATAGTCTGCATCGGAAGCTGAGTGGTGCGTTCTTGTTGTGCGCGAGGTTGGGGAGTAGAGTTAGGTGTCGGGAGTTGTTTGAGGAGGCGTTAGTGAAGTCGGGGTTTACGAGGGGGTAGTGGTAATATGAGTAGTGCATGTATGATATTGTAATCTCTTGTACCTACACTTTGTTGTGTGCTAGATTAAACCGCTTAGAACGCCGAGCGAGGATGGATTGTAACAAAATATTATGATAACCTCTTTCCAAGCAAGCAACTACCGCTCCTCCGCCCCCCTCCTCGTCATAGGCAGCATCTTCTTCTCCTTACCAGCAACCTTCTTCCTCCGCCGCTCAATCGCCTTATCAACCTGCCTCTTTTTCATACCCTGGAACTGATCCACCAACACCCGCTTCTTCTGCTCCGACTTCTTCAAGTAAAACGGCGTCTTGCCCTGCTTGACCAGCTCCTTCTCCTTCTTCCGATGCTCCTCAATCACCGCGCGCTCCCTATCCTTGCGGTCCTGCGCCTTCTTGCGGCTCTCCATCGACAGCAGCGCGCGCTGCAGCTTCTCCCGCTGCGCGGCGTCCTTGGTCTTCTTGATGGTCGCGCGCAGCTCCTGCATCTCGGACGCGCGGTAGTCGTCCAGGAACGCGTACGCCTTGCGCGCCTTGATCTCGTCGATCGTGCTGCCGCTGCCGCCGCCCGCCGCGGCCGTGGATGCCCCCGGGCCGAGCGGCGTGAAGCGCGGATCGCGTGCTTGTGGCCGCTTGGTCTCGGCCGTGCTGGTGAGGAAGTCGCGCTTGCGGGATACGGGCTTCTTGCTGGTTAGCTCGACGGGCGCGTGCTTGTTGGAGCGCTTGTCGAGCTTTTTGGCGGAGCTCAGTTTGGTCGGGTGGCCGTAGCCCTCGTCTTCCTTGGTCTTTGCCGCGTCGCTGGCTTTTTGCGATTTGGATGAGGACGACCGCATCGCGGCTTGCGCTTTGGCTAGGGCACCGAACGAGAGCTGCGAGGCGTCTATTGGTGGGCCATCGTCCTCTTGTTCTTCTTCGTCATCTTCCTCTTCAGAGCTAGATGCCGCATCTGAGTTGTCCTAAGTTGTTGTTAGAGTAGTTCATTTATGCATTGAGAGCGTCAAACTAACCTCATCGCTGCCGCTCCCCGACTCATCCTCGCTAAGTTCTCCCCCCTCTTCACCTTCTGAGCCAGATAGCCCGACATCGTCTTCACTCGGCCCCTCGCTCACATCCTCCTCGATGTCTGATTCGGGCTCTGGCTCATATCTGGGTTTGACTCTCCTCTGGAGCAGACTGCTAGGTGGCATTTTCCGCTTAACTGACGACATTGTGAAGCGTGTAGAATCGGTGTTAATTCTGTGTTGCAGAATTGGCGATAACGTTTTACTTTGACGTCGGTCACTGTTGAGTGGTGAGATGTGGTTGACCATTTATTTCACTTGCGATGTTGATTCTGGAAAATCCTGGTTGAGCAAGAGCAGCAAGTTTTGCGTTAACAAAAATACTGCTTACATGCGGCTATACGTGTTAGTGAGTTGTGGCCCCACTTTCTCGAAAGCACCCTCAACACCTTGAATACATGGACCAGATTCTCATAGTTCATTTCACCGGGACAGGATATAGAAACAATCTCCATATTACTTGCTACGTTGAGGGACATATCACATGTTCGACTCGTAACTCCCTGCATTCATTATGGCGGGAGCGGTGTCACCACAGAACACTCTTAACAGCAGGGAGATTGGCTTTTAACCACCACGCTCGTAAAATCTCCTGCGTTACAACAGCAAACCCGGATCCTTCGCCCGTTATCAAGACGGTTCCGCCCAGTTGACTACGTCCATCACCTGCCCCGCCGTTGGGTGCGAATACCCTATCCTCAAACGCAACCGTAGAGGCTGAAGCGAAGGCACATGTCAGTATATCAAATCCACACGACGCAACCATATCAAACATAAAACTTACCCCTTTGCACCCGGCAACCCTCATCATCTGCGTCGCCTCCGCCCCAGTGCCAATATCGGTCGACGAGATGCTCAGCAGCTGCAGTTTCTGCGATTTTGGCACGGCCGCCTGGAGTCCGACGTTTGACAACGGTCCGGCAGGCGACGTGTTGCGGAATCGGGCAGTGGCCTGGATGGTGCCCTCGGCGTTTCGTTGTGTTTGGATCGTCACGTTGAGGCCGTTGTTATCATAACAGGGGTGGCCGACTGCCGCCGAGACAGCGGCAGGAGCGGCTTGGGGAGGTGGTGAGGCTGTTGTGGAAAAGAGATCGGCTGCTGGGAGGGGGGTTTGCCGGCTGTCGCTCTGAGCAGGGGACGGTGTGGAAGGCGGGGGCCTTGGGAGAAGAGGTCCATGAATGGAGGGCGACGTTTGGACTGGCCGGGGGGAGGAGAAGCGGTGGTGGGTGGAGGTGATGTGCTGCCGCCTAGGATGTCTGCGAGCAGATCCGCATTCCCGCTGCCGTTGGCCGGGGCCGGCACGGGCCCGCTGCTGTCACCCATGAGGTCGAAAAGAAGGTCTTCTTCCTTTGGCTTGATAGCCTTAGACTTCCGGTTCGCCGCCTTGGTTGTCTTCTTGGCCGCCTCACCCAACACGCGTGATTCCTCCTTGATTTGCGGGGGAGGCATCTTCTCTAGCACACCTCTGCGGATTTGGTCGTGGGAGAATAGGTTGCCGAATTCGACAGCACGTTGCTGGACCTCGACGTCCAAACTTGTTTGTTGGTTCTGGAGAATGCGGCGCACCCTCTCGATCTGCGCTGCATCGGACAGCCTTGTTGTGAGCTTGACCAGCGCCGTGATGAGGTACTCGGTGGTGACCTGGGTAGCATAATTGCTGTTGAGAATGGTTGAAAACAAATCGACGACCTCGTGCTCCTTTACTTCCTGCACGAGTTCCTCTTCTTCGTACTGGCCGCCCCTGAGCAGGGCTTCGCCGTACTCGCCGATGCACCACGCGCCAGACTGTGTCAAGCTCTCTTGCGTGATGTCTTTCTTGAGGTTTGTGTACAGCTTTTGCACCGCGTAGGTTTGTAGTTCGGGGGTCGTAGCAATGAGGCGGACGAAGGAGGACATGATAGGCTCCTTAACATAATTACCTGCCAGCGTCACAACACGTAGCATGGTATCAAAGTGCCACCGCTTGTTCGGGGCATACCGGTCAGCGGCAATGCCAATCTGGCTGGTCATGGTCGGTTTGAACTCGTTATCCGCTACCTCCAGGAATGCCAGCAGCTCGCGGATCAACACTCGGACGTTGCTCTCGTTGATCAACGTAAAACTGAGATCTAGAGCCCTCCTTCTGATGCTGATGTCCGGGTCTCTCAGGCACTCCAAAATCGTATTTCGGTGCCTTTGCACAGCGTTGGTGTCGATCGCCACTACCTTGACGAGCGTGTTGAGGGCGACATAGCGGATGTTGTTGTCCTTGTTGGTGAGGAACTTGCCAAGGATGTTGACACCCAATACGCGCAGGCCCGAGTCCGCCTCAATATCTAGAATGGTCCGCACGGCTTCGTAGAGAATCGAGTTGCCGACGTTCTTGGAGGAATCGGTGTTGGTCGCAACTTGCGCCAGAATATCGTTGATCTGCTCCGTAACCTGGGCATCACCGAGGGCTAGAACTCGAAGCAGGCGCAGGAGCTTGACCTGCAAAAAGGGGTCTGTAATCCCGGTGACGTCGTGCTCCGGCGCATAACCCGAAGATGCCAACCCCTTCAACGTTCTAACGAGCACCGGTACGAATTGCCTGAACTTGTCAATAATGCCTTCTTCCCCACCCTCGTCCTCGTCAGCTTCGCAGAGGCTGGTGACCAAGGTGAGACCACATAGCATCACGCCGTGGTTTCGGTCTGATAATAGCTGTGTCGCTTTCTCGATGAAGTGCTCCTGCAAGTCCGGGACTTTTCTGCATATCCGCATGGCGCACAGAGCGGCTTTCCGTCGTATGTAGGGGTTCGCCGTGGATACTAGGTTCTCGATTTCGGCAAACAGGTCCCGCGACATCTCAACAGAGGCGATGTTGCCCAAGGTACAGAGCGCGAGGCCGACGACATACTGGTTCGAGTGAGACAGGTCACTACCGGCACCAAGTTAGCAAAGTGGCCCTATATATATGTTGCGGTGCCCCTCCACGGTTCGCACTTTTTGAGGGAATTGGTAACCAGAGTAAGGACCTCTTGGTTCTCGTCGAGCAGCAAGCTTGTCGCGAGATGTCCTAATCGCTTGTCGGCGAAACGGGGCGAGGCAAGGAGCTTCAGACATTCGATTTGGCCGAAATGAGTCCGCTCGCCGAGGGTAAAAAGGTAAAGTAGTTTGGCCACATTGTTTCTCCTGCGAAGCACCTTTATCAGCACCTCCTTTCTTCGGGCATATCCTCAGGGGTTCCCTTCGCCGGTCTGCAAGTACCTAACGCTGTGGTCCCCGCTCTCTTCCCTGAAACTCGCCCGAATGGCTGCGCTTTCCTTCTGAATGACGGCTCTCTCGTCGGCAATGGTCTTCGCGGCGCGTACGTTGCGGATGAACTGTTTGACTGTGGGGTAGTTGTAGCGGGGAGGTTAGCTGCCGAGTCGCTGCAACCATTTCCACCGGGGGTTTGAGGTAATCGTCTATAGACTATCGCAGGACGTGGCTAGACTCACGGGAGCTCATGGTGAAATGCGTAAAGCCCTCTATGGGGCGTAGAGGTGGATTAGGTCCAAAAGCGAGGGCGGGCGCCGAGAGAGGAGCTGCTGGGCAAATTAATCAACCGTTGATTTCAGCCCGCATCACGGACCCTGAATCTCTCACTGCGATGTGGCACGGTGGTTGCTCCTGGGCAGCTGAGACCGCCTGGTGTTAGGTAAAAGCCTGAGGCAGCAATATGGGCAACCCTAACCCTGACTATGCCTCCTTCTGTCTTCCCCTCGCTGCCAAACAGCACCAGCAACCACTCACTCAACCGAGCTGCGTTTCCTTGGGGAAATGCTCGGAAGCGGGGGTACGATTTGTTTTATTTGGGCCTTTTTCATATTCGTGGGTTATCTTTCAACTACTAATCTTCTACTTGCTGTCTCTAGCGAGAACGAGAACAACGGGGAAAGGCTTCTCAATCTTAAAACAGATCCATACATGCAACCCCGGGGTCCTCAGGGACTGGCGCAAAAGCCGGTCGAGATGATATTAACGTGAAAAAAGTACTTAGAAACCAAGGTTTCTTAAGCACTTAATGGCGGATAAATACCACAGTACTCCGTACTCGGTATAGTGATCGAAATTCTTGACTAGAATATTGCTTCCCATGTTGTTGGTTGCGTTGATGTTTTGCAGCCGGTGTGGTCAGGTTTGGGTTCAACGGGGCCCAGTGTGTGTGCACATCACTATTGTAACGGCTCAGCCCTGCACAAGTTACAACACATCAATACCCTGCAGCCAAGCGCCCTGTAGGGCTGCATGAGAGTCAAGGTCATGGAGGCGCAAGCGGGAGGTTAAAGTACGGGACCCAAACGTGGACGTTGTCTGTGTTGTGCAGGTACCGCTAGTTTGAGCACTGCCACGATCCACCTGCATGAGAGGTCGGGCGACACTCCAATTTTCACATGGTTGGGCCGGCAAATCTGGGAGAAAATGACGTCCCGTAACGTGAATGGCTAGGTAGAAACTGGTTTGTGTTGAGCATATAAGTAAAATACCTCGTTATAAAGTAGAGGTGTGGTTTAGTTGCAGAAATTGGAATGAAAGCGGTGTCAGATGAAGGGTGGTAGTCCAGCCGGTTCCCTCTGAATTTGATTCTCATTATCATCCAGGCTAAAGGTGCTGGGGAGCAACACAGCTTTGCAACAACAATTTCATCAAGCACCCATGTGCTCAATGCCGGGCCCACGGCAAGCGAGAGATCCTTGCTCTTGAAATATCAACCCCTTTGCAGAAAGATGCTAAAAGCCACCACGGTTCAATCCAGAACGAAGCAAAAAGGCAAACCCAAAGGAGAGCCGCATTGATGGAGATGGAGCGTTGCGTTGTTCTGCCCAGCTTGGGCGTGAGGCGTTTACTTCTGCATCATGAGCTGCACGAACTCGTTGTCTAACATGCCGTTAGTAAGTGTTGACAAGCTCATTTACGGGAAGGTAACCCACAGTCAATACGTCCGTCGCCATCCTGATCGGCTTCGCGGATCATCTCGTCGACCTCGTCATCAGTGAGCTTCTCACCGATCGAGGTCATAACGTGGCGCAGCTCGGCCGCTGAGATGAAGCCGTTGTTGTCGCGGTCGAAGACCTACGCCGCAGTGGTTAGGGGAGCCCTAGAATTTAAATGCCGAATGAACATACCTTGAACGCCTCACGGATCTCCTCCTCCGAGTCGGTGTCCTTCATCTTCCTCGCCATCATTGTGAGGAACTCTAGTAGCTGTCAGCAATTGGCCATAACTAGCGTAATTTGGCAGATGATGGCCCATACCGGGGAAGTCAATGGTGCCATTGTTGTCGGCGTCCACCTCGTTAATCATGTCCTGCAGCTCGGACTCGGAAGGGTTCTGGCCGAGAGAGCGCATAACGGTGCCCAGCTCCTTGGTTGTGATTTGTCCTATACGCCTTTAGCATCCGTACAGTCTGGGTTGCCGTGCATCGTGCGTTGAGGGACGGCTGCTTTGTTGACAAGGGCCTTGTCTTGCGGCGGGCGTAGGTTGGGTTTGGAAAGGGCGGGCATACTAACCATCACCATCCTTGTCCTATCAGGGGGTTAGTACGGGTATGATAGTAGTCTGGCAAACAAAATAAGTAAGGATGGACTTACGAAAAGGGAGAAGGCCTCCTTAAACTCAGAGACCTGCTCTTCGGTAAGAGAGTCCGCCTATTGTCGAAGAGATGGTCAGCTCCTCATGCTCTGACCGATGCAGCCCGACTGCCCCTCGGCCGCGGGGCTGGCTCCGACGAATCGTAAGCTTCAGTTCACTGACCATATTGATGGTTTGGTGTTGGGTATCGGGTTTGGTAAACGAAAGAAGTCGATCGCGGTCCGGCTGCGGATCTTCGCAGAAGGTCAGGTAATGCGTTGGGCAGCGGTGTTGCTGAACTGGGTTGTGGTGTTTAAATGACGAGACGCGGGCAACCTGGAGATTTCAAGAAGGGGATGCGGGGCACACACTCCTCCCAAAAGAGGGCCCTGGGAACACGGCTTGTTGCAGGGTCTCCCGCAAGCTGGCTGGCTGGTTGTGTCAGCTTCAGCTTGCGTTGCTGCCTCTCCCCCTTGCAAGCACCGGGTCCCGGCCAAAGTGCCAAGGTAATCGATTGGGCCCACATCTGAAACGCGTACGCCCTGCAGCTGTTCACGGCTGTCGCTCGCTTCGCAGCTGAACGGCCAAGTCCCCCTGCAATTGGCATTGTTGTCTGCTTCGTCATTGTCCAACATCGCCGTCCCGGAAGCAACACAAGTGCTCGTAGCATCTGGAGCTACCGAAACAGCCAGCACATTGCGGTACCAACTTACGATGTGATGCCGCCCCATCCCGGCCTTTGGCAGCAAATACAGAGCGCTCGACTTTCCCTTCCTTAGCTTCTGGAGCTGACTGAGGGGATCGCTACCCCTTCCGGCGTCCGCCATGTGGCGAGACCGCACGAATCTGTATGAGCTCCTTTCTCGGGCTTTCCCATCATAGGGTGTAGCTAATCAAGATCCTAGCTATATCTCGTACCGGCAGTCCTACGCCCACCACCCGACGCAGCGCAACCGGTATGGACCATCCACCACGGGCGACCGCTTCGGCGGAAGCGGCGCAAGCACTGGTGTCTTATTCTCAGCGGACGAGGATCGGCGGGGCCTTTTATCCTCAGGCGCCTATGATGTGGACGATGGCGATGCCGTAATCGAGATGGACTTGCTTCCCCCCCGATGGGCCGACGTGTCAGATGAGGTGACGGAGTTGCTGGCGGATATTGCGAGCAAGAGTCAGAAGTTGGAGCGGCTACATCAAAAACACGTTTTACCGGGATTCAATGACGAAGAGACCAAGAAGGCCGAGGAGGGTGAGATTGAACGGTTGACACAGGGCATCACCCGCGGGTTTCATGAGTGTGGCCGATGCATACAGCGCATCGAACAAATGGTGCGTGAGGGCAAGGCGAAGGGTCAGATGAGCCGCGCAGACGAAACTATGGCGAAAAACATCAAGGTCAACCTTGCAGCGAGGGTTCAGGAGGCGAGCGCCGGGTTCCGCAAGAAGCAGAGCACATATCTCAAGAGTAGGGCAGCATGCGCAGATGGTCATACATGGGCAAGCCGCTGACCTTTTTTTGCAGAACTTAAGGATATGGCCGGACTGGCCAGCCCCATCGAGCGTTCATCCACCCCCCTCGCCGGGGGTAGCTATACCGACCCCTCGATCCTCGAATCCGACGCAGACAGGACTTATTCGCAGTCAATGCTCCAGACAACCACTCACCAAAAACTCCTCCATTCCAACGATGCCGTCATATCGCAGCGCGAAAAGGAAATCGAGGAAATTGCTCAAGGCATTATCGAACTGGCCGACCTTTTCCGCGACATGCAAGCTATAGTCATTGATCAAGGGACTATGCTGGACCGGATCGATTACAACGTGGAGTCTATGGCGACTCATGTGAAAGATGCCGCGAAGGAGCTCAAAACAGCGGAGGGGTACCAGAAGAAGACGACGAAACGAAAGATCATCTTCCTCCTGCTACTCATTATCGCCGCCATGATAATATTGCTGGTTATCAAGCCGAAAAAGCACGGTGCGGCCAACGACGATGAGAGGTAACCCACCTCGAAGAAAAGAAGCGCATAACCATCCCTATGGCTCCAGGCGCATGTATGAAAGAGAGTGTAATACCTAGACAGAGACCGGCGTGGCTAGAGGGACCTTTGCAGGCGGCGGGCAGCGAGCGTAATCCAATTCAATTTCAGTACGATACCTACTTTCGGCCGGGAATGGAGACACCAGTAAGGCGCGGCTGCATGATGCCAATGTATGCTTTTTGAGAACATTCAAGGTGATCGTGAGACATCGATATGGTATTCTCAACCAGCAAGGGATGCCCGGTTGCCGTCGTGCCAGGGTTGGAGCTCGAAAATATCTTGGCACCGGACCACAAAAGACATGCTGAGTCAACCCTGAGAATTGACCAATCTGAATTGGGCAAGCAACCCACTCGTCATGCACTCGATGGTTCCCAGCTCGGGCCAGAGCTCGCCTTGCAAGCAACACACCCGATCAATCACCACCTCGGTCACCCCGCGAACACCAGCAACCGCCCCGACGACCACAATCCAACTCCCCACTCATTCAAGATGGCGTAAGCAGCGATTCTTAAAACCCCAGCATTTTTGCGACACCACAAGGAAGGGGACAATTGCAGCCCGCAATTTGGGACCCGCCCGGCAATTGGGGGGGATTTACCGCACACATGGATCGTACGATCTTGGGAGCGAAATGCTAACGGGTTTCTCTTTTCCCAAAACAGGTTCATGGACTCCCAGAACAAGGTGCACCAGTACCAAAAGTCGTACCAGAAGGCGTACAAGGCCCACACGCGCATCTGGCGGATCGTGAGTTTTCCCGCAATTCGAAGAGCCGCGGCTGAGGGCGCGAAGGACGGATGGGATGGGAGGGGAGGGGATGGAAGGGGATGGGCCGGCGATGCTTGGGGAAGGAAATCTGGGAGAGAGGGGATATAAGCGCACCTTGCTGACGGATTGGCTTGCGGCACACAGAACCCTCGTAGCGGCATGATGTTGACCCCGTTCACCATTGTCCTTTGGGGAACCACCGCCGGTATGGATCACCACGGCCCTGCCTTGGGGATGCTAGAGTTTTGGGATGGTATATAGTTGCTAATACTTTCCAGCTACCATGTACGCCATGGGCCGTCGGATCTTCGGCCACAACACCTGGTTTAGCGAGTAAGCTTGACTCGTTGGCTCGGATAGTAGGGGGTTAGAGTTCAGGCTTGTATATGTAGAACAAGGGCCGGGAAATAGAAGCGGCAACGGAGCCTGCGTGGGGGTATTCACGACGAACCTGAACAATTCGAGGTGCGCCTGACCGTGTTCTATGTGCAGTGATCTAAGCGATCGAGTGTTTCGTCCAAATCATGGTGTTTCCGCCCGTCTCTGACGCCCGCACTGCCAAATACCCTACTCCCGGCCTACATATCGAGAGGCTACCGTCTAGAAGTACATTAAACGCAGTTTTCTGTAATTGTCATTGCCATGGGTTGTGGCAGAGGGAACCCGATCTGTGAGCGACCCCCGCCACCCTGCTGTCGCCAGTCACTGTGTGTCCAGCATCTCTAATAACCACCAGCACCTGGCGCCTTCTCGTCCTTCCGAAGGCTCACAAGGAGCTCGCGGAACCGCTCCTTGCCCGACCCAGCCGCACCACCCTTGGCGCCCTTCCCGCTCACGTCAACCAGCTTCGCGATGCGCTCCCAGCTCGTGCCACCCGAGGTGGTGTCCTCACGGTTGGCTAGAAATTGCTCGGCGTCCTTGCGGGTTTGCGCAATCGTCTTCTCCTTCTTGTTGTTGTAGTTCTCGTAGAAGTCGTCGATGTTCTGCTGGGCTTCCCGGACCGTCTCCTCGCGCTGCTGGGCGAACTGCTCGGCACGCTTCGCAATCTGCGCGTCCCGCTTCTCGCGCCACTCCTTGATGACCTCGGGCTCCTCCTCATCCTCGGCGTGCGGCTGGTAACCCGAGTTGTAGCTGACGGAGGGGCCGCCTGTGATGGTACCGCCCGGTGCGACGCCCTGTAGTCCGTTGTGGTTAGAATAACGCTGTCGCCTTCGAATTGCTGGTGCTATCCCATACCTCGTTAGGGCTGCTAAGGTCGGGGAACTGGCTCTCGAACGCAGCGTTGTTGCCGGGGGAGCTAACGCCGCCGCCCCCACCTAGCAAATCGTCGTCACCCTCGTCGAACTCGGCATCCTCGACTGTCGCAAACTGGGTGGCATCGTCGCCTAGAATCGCCTTCTCTCGCTCCAGAAAGTTGGACGCAGAGGGAACATCAGAGGTGTCCTTGACATCAGTCTGGGCTGGTCGTAGGGTTAGAGAGCCTGCCACTATATCGCAAGTCGTTGCCCAACAACTTACCACCAGAGTCAAAGTCATCCAGCGAGGGAAATCTGTCAGCCATTTTGACGGGTGGACTCTGATTGTATTAAGTTTCGAAGAGTCTGATTAGCTGGAGGAGCTTGAGAGTTGTGTGTACGTTTTGATGTGTTGAAGCAAGAAATCACCTCGGAAGGTGCCTTTGATCGCGCCAGGTTGCCGGGCTGCATTGGCCCCTGGCGCTGAGGCGCTACAGTGTGCAGACAGGGGGGCGGTAATTACCACAAAAGCGCTGCTTATTGTTGTATCGAGGCGTCTACGTACCCTGTCAAATGTAAATAGCCGTTTTGCTCCACCCAAAACAGTGCGATGCAACCCAGCATGGAAGCTCAAGCCTCAAGCTTCCTGCTCCTCGCCTCTTCCATTTCCCACTTTCGCAAAACAAACTTAACTTGCCACAGACACATCGCTTCATTGCATCTGCTTCGTCTTCACATTAGGCAAGCAAAATAAGAAGCAAAAGGGTTATCGGACCTACTCCTGTATTGCTATGGTCTAAGCTGGTGCATTCGGATTGCAAACTTAGCTTGCCAAAAAGCCGACAGGGTCACCTGCCGTCCTGTCAACACAAAACCAATTCTGGGGATTGTAATTTAGTGACCTTCTGATTGGAAGCCGACAACATAAACAACCATCGCGATTCACAAATCCCTACGAGGAATCACTATCGACAAAATACTCAACGCCACTCCTCTCTTCTCGATCCTGCCATAGCAACCCTCTCGTCTCCAACCTATCCCACATCACATTGTCGTTTCCGACCTTTCACCTTATTCGCCCACCATGGCCTACACGGATGATGCCGTGCTCTCCAAGTTGTCAGCTCTTAACGAGACCCACGAGAGCATCGCAACCACTGCACAATGGATTATGTTCCATCGGTAAGCACACACTACATGAACAATTGATAGTTATTTTTATGCGGCTAACCATGTCAATCCAGTCGACATGCGTCACAGACAGTCCACCTGTGGCTCAACAAACTAAAAGATCTCCCGAGCGCTAAGAGGCTCAACATGATTTACCTAGCGAACGGTTCGTATTTACATCCTAAAATTGTCCGGATAGCCACTGACCTCTTTCCAGAAGTCGTACAACAATCTAAAGCTCGCCATAAGGAGGATTTCCTTAATGCCTTTTCCCCTTTCATCGCCGATGCCACTTCGGTTACGTACAAGGGAGCGCCGGTCGATGTCCAGGGGAAGTTGAGGAGAGTTATGGATGTTTGGAGGGAACGAAGCATTTTCGACAAGGAAGTCATGCAAGATCTAGAGCACAGATTAGCAGGTAAGTGCCCTAACCTTGACTCCTACTTTATGCTACTCTCATCCTGACATGGTTTCGCAGAGATCGATAAGGCACGCCCTGCGGCCAATGCTGGCGGTTTTGGCGGCAATGCCTTCAGCTCCTCTGGGCCTTCCATCCCCCCTGAGCTCATCCCACTCGTTGCCCCGCAGCAAGCTACCACTAAGGCCTCCCAGCCTATGAAGAACTCGCTCAATACCGCCAACACCGAGTATGAGAAGTTGACCGACCCCGCAACCACCACTGCAGCCCTCCCAGTCCAAGCTGCGCGGCTTAGTGGGTTGCTGAAAACCCTTGCCAATGCCGAGGGAGCAGTCACTCAATGCATCCGGGCGCGCAAGGACCTAATCAAGGAGTTGGAGGGGATTCTTGCAACTAACCGTGAAGCACTCGACGCCGATGAAAAGCAGATGATGGAGCTCAGTGGCCGTCGGACTGAGGTTGAGCAGAAGAAACAGGCTGTAGAGATGGCTATTATCGGCAATCTCTCTAACGCGGAGGAGACATCGCCACAAGGCCACGGCTCTGTAAGCCCTGTCCCAGAGCCCGATCGTCCACAGGTAGAGGCACTCACGCCTCCACACGTCCAGGATCATATCGATGGCGCTTATGGGACTTCATCTGCGGGCCACGGGGCTCAAAATGGACATCAGCAGCCTGTCCCTTTTCACGGTCCACCTGCCCCAGCCAACGCCCAGCCCGGGTTCTCAGGTGCGGCCCCAGACCTCGAAATGCTTTCAAACCTCGCATCCCAATACCAGGCTGTGCCGATTGCAGGAAACAAGAAGCGGAAGATCGAATCCTCGGACGAATTTCCTGACCTGGGTGCTGATGATGGGATTGACGCGGATGTCAAGGAGATGCTGAGGAAGGACAGTCAAGGGTAGGACCGCCATTCAAACCAGCGTTGTTTCTTGCATCGTTCTTCTATCGGCGGCATTCTGGAGTTTTGGAAGGGGTCGGTCTGTTTTCATTGTTCGGCTCTGTGCCTTTCGAGTGTGATTTATATTTCCCTTCTGTGTTGGGTGGGTGTATTACACATTCAAGTTTGTTCCATGGTGTTGAAGCACGTCGATGGAAATTGTGAGGTTTAACTTACAAGCGTACTATCTAGCATTCAAGGCAATACACACTTTGTCTCGAGAAGGCCACACATGCCTGATGCTTACCTTTGACACGATGAAGAACCCCTTTTTTATGTACTTACATAGCTAGTTTGTTTTGTTTCGTTTTGTTCTGTCGTTGGGAGTGCTAACATGCAGGGGTTGCGGCTCTCCTGGTCGCCAAGCCGGGGAGCTGGATGCACACTGTGGACACACGAAGAAAACCCGCTTCACAAACGCACCCCAAGCCTCAGCGGCTGAATCGGCTGGTGGTGCTGGCGGCTCGGCGATTGCGCATGACGAAATCCCGATTCGCCTAGAAAAATGCTGGACCAGGGGCTCCGCATTGGCCGAAGCTCCGGTGAACCTCCATGGATCGGCCCGGCGATTTTTCTCTGTTGCGCTTGTTTCGATCCCTTCTTTTGCTTTTCCGGCGACGCACACAACACTGCATGGGGCATGGGTCTCCGAACAACAGCCATTGACCTCTCCGCAAGCGCAACATGACACACCTCCGATTTTCACGCATCCCGAAATAACAGGACAAAAATACAAACGGGTTTGCGATAGCGTGAGAAGAAGCGAGACAGATCGCCATGGCTTCGGGAGCGGCCACCACGGCGATGCGCCGCGCCGTGCTGCTCCCGCAACGCGCCATAGGCGTGGGAGTGGTCTCCGGCTTCGGCCATCCGACCTCGCCAGCGGCAACAGTGGTCGCTGCGTCTCTATTCCCCTCGTCGGCGCTCATCTCCGCCAGCCGGCAGACCACCCGCCCCTTCTCTTCCGGCTTCGGGGTCCGGAAGACCCCTACGATACCCCGCTCGCCCCCGTCCCCCACCCCCACCGCCGCAACACCCCGCCTCCCTCTCAGAGCCCGGCACTCTCTCGGACAGCCCCGATGGGCGTCCCCCATGAACGCTCTCCGCCGTCTCTCGACCACACGCCCCGCCCTCCAGCAGAAGGAGGAGTCCAAGGAGGTGGCAGCCGGCAACAAAGAGCCAGCCGCGGTTGCGTCCAAGGAAGAGGATGTGGACAAGCATCTGGAGGCCCACGGCTTCCAAAAGAGCGAGAGGGCGGCCAAGGCTGCCCAGATCAACATGAGCGCGCGTCTCTCTAAGGAAGGCGTCGGTGCGCAAGGCAAGCCCGGCATGTCCGAAGTGTGGCGCCTGGTCAAGATCGCACGGCCCGAGATCAAGTGGCTCAGTGCGGCCTTCATCCTGCTGCTCATCTCCTCGGCCGTCACTATGTCAATCCCGTTCTCTGTCGGTAGGATCATGGACCTCTCCACCAAGGGCTCGATCGACGAGGCTCAGATCTTTGGCCTCACCCTGCGGCAGTTCTTCTACGGTCTCGCAGCGGTTCTGACCATCGGTGCGACGGCCAACTTCGGGCGGATCATCCTGCTGCGCATCGTGGGCGAGCGTGTGGTGGCGCGGCTGCGCACCCAGCTCTACCGCCGCACGTACGTGCAGGATGCCGAGTTCTTCGACGCCAACAGGGTCGGTGACCTGATCTCGCGGCTGAGCTCCGACACGGTCGTTGTCGGCAAGAGCATCACGCAGAACATGTCGGACGGCCTGCGCGCGCTGGTGAGCGGCGCCGCGGGCTTCGTTATGATGGCCTGGATGAGCCCCAAGCTGACCTCCCTGATCTTCGTCATGGTCCCGCCGATGGCCATCGGTGCCGTCTTGTATGGACGCAGCATCCGACAGCTTAGCAGGCAGATACAGAAGAACCTGGGTTCCATGTCCAAGATTGCTGAGGAGCGTCTGGGCAACGTCAAAACTAGCCAGGCTTTCGCCGGCGAGGTTCAGGAAATCCACCGGTACAACAGGCAAGTACGGAAGGTCTTTGCGCTCGGCAAGAGGGAGTCGTTCATCTCGGGTACATTTTTCGCAACGACTAGCTGGGGCGGCAACATGACCATCCTAGCCATGCTTATCGTGGGAGGAAACCTGGTCCGTTCCGGGACTCTATCTCTCGGCGACCTTACCTCGTTCATGATGTACACAGCATTTGCAGGATCCAGTCTCTTCGGCCTGAGCGGTTTTTACTCGGAGTTGATGAAGGGGGTGGGTGCGGCCAGCCGTCTGTTCGAGCTCCAGGACCGCAAACCAACGATCCACCAAACCGTCGGCACCAAAGTCACCTCGGCCCAGGGCAATATTAAATTCTCACAGGTCACCTTCGCTTACCCCACTAGGCCAGCTGTCACCATCTTCAACGGCCTCGACTTCGAGATCCCGTCCGGCGCCAACGTTTGCATCGTAGGGCCCTCGGGCGGCGGCAAGTCTACCGTGGCCTCTCTCCTGCTCCGCTTCTACAACCCGACTAGCGGCTCCATTACCATCAACGGCGTGGACGTCTCCAAGATGAACGTCAAGTCCCTCCGACGGCGCATCGGCATGGTCGCCCAAGAACCAGTCCTCTTCTCGGGCAGCATCGCAGAAAACATCTCCTACGGCAAGCCCACGGCCACGCGTGCGGAGATCATCGCGGCGGCCAAGAAGGCCAACTGCGGCTTCATCAGCGACTTCCCCGAGGGGCTAGAAACCCAGGTCGGCGCGCGCGGGGCGCAGCTCTCGGGCGGGCAGAAGCAGCGGATCGCGATCGCGCGGGCGCTGCTCAAGGACCCGGACATCCTGCTGCTGGACGAGGCGACGTCGGCGCTCGACGCCGAGTCTGAGACGCTCGTCAACTCGGCCCTCGCCGCCCTGCTGCAGGGCCGCGCCACCACCATCTCCATCGCCCACCGCCTCTCCACCATCAAGCGCTCCGACCAGATCATCGTCCTCTCCAGCGAGGGCACCGTCGCCGAGGTCGGCAGCTACGCCACCCTGAGCGCGAATAAAGATAGTGCTTTCAGCAAGCTGATGGAGTGGCAGATGAGTGGTGGTGAGGTGCCGGCCGACCAGAGGCCGCCATCAACGGGGGGGATGCTGACGGAGGTGGAGGAGATTGAGGAGGAGTTGGAGCAGGATCGTTTGGAGGAGGAGGAGGAGGAGGAGGATGACTACTTGGAGGACGAGGCGGAGGAGAAGAAGAAGGGGGAGGATGAGAAGAAGCGTTAGAAAAGTGACGCGCGGCAGTGGCCGTGGCCTCCCGGCTTGGAGTTTCGGTAGTTGGAGCGGGAAACCGCAGCCTTGGTGGGACGGGGATGCCAGTCATTTTCCAACGGGGATAGGTCGGGTGCGGTTGGGAGGGCTCCCTACCTGAATCGGTTAGACCTGCATCATGGGCGTCTGGCGGGAGGGAATTTTGTTTTGTTTTGTCGGATGTATTGTATGTATGTACATGCGCGTTCCATTTACTCGATGGTAAGGAATCTCCACTCGGACTGGAAAGGAGAAGAAAGTTGGTAACCAAAGGGCCCTCAAACTATATTTTAGCAGGCATGGCATTACACTGTCTTGCCGAGCAGCCGAGTTACATAGCTTTCATACAATGGCGTTGTGCGGTTGCCGTTCTCAGTATTTGGTAATTCTCTGTTTAATAAGTCGGCGAGGCCTTGATCCCACGGCCGTATTCGTGTTCGTTGCTCACCCCCCCCGATCGGGAGCGAAGGGGTGAAACCAGACACGTCGATGACTCAAACCAGAGATCATCCGAAACAACTTGGATGGAACCTCGTCGGATTTGATAGATTGTGACGGAAATCCAAGCGCCAGAAATCACTTTGAACAAATTCCCAGCAAGGCAGCGAGCGACCTGCCATGTCATTCTGACCCACTCACTAGCCCCAAGTCCCTCCTATGTAGCTGTTCTGTGTGTACCCCCATCGAAGCCACCCACGCCGCCCTCACGGCAAGGTCCCATGTGAAATTGCTCGAGCCCCAGCTCGGAAGGTTACCTAATGTCCGGGCCGGCTGGGGTCGCGCGGGGGTCCCGGCCACGCAGTCGGGATGCTCACGCGACCCTTCGGTGTCTTGTTTGGAATAGCCGGGCCGTGGCACCCTCGTTCCACTCTCCCCGTGTGCAGGACGAACACGACGGACCGGACCACAAGAAAAAGCCACACAACCCACTCGGGCCGGCTTGCGGCGGGTTGGGACGGGTGGCTTGGCGGATCATCTCCCGCGCAGGGCATGGGGCACGCGAGGACATCCCGCTTTCGTGTGGGAGGTGCTCCCGGGGGGTGAAAGAGGCGTTCGGTGAGCAGTAGCGCGGCGCTGGGAATATGGCTTGGCATCGTGGCGAAATCAGACATTTTCTGTATTTCCATGTCCATTTCCATGTTTCTGTCATCTTCTGTTTCAAAGCAGACCTGAAAGTACCATGGACGGCTTGATGAGGTGGTTTGTTCCCGAAGATCACATTTCGGCCAAATGCGATTGAATCATGTAACAAGTTGAGATCGGGTGATAGTCTACACATCAACCTCCGGAGAAGCGATTGTCGAATGCGCGGGTTTGATGCGACCTGACCCCCGCTACATTCCATCTGAATCAACTTTCAGATTTGCCGGGGTTGCACAGGCCAGGGACGGGTATGTACTCGCAGGTACGAATAAACCGTACAGATTCCTCGCCTATGTCGTGTAATTTGGCCAATTCGGAAGGAAACCAATTCTGGATTAGAGGAAGGAACACGAGCGATAACTGCCTTCTCGAAGCGATTGGAGCCTTACTTTTAAGTTCGCAATCCCTCAAGCTTCTAGCTTCTCCCGATCATCCTTCTCTCTTCCATACTAGTGTAAGTTCCATTGTGGTCCCTGGGCTTACCCGGTACGCATTGCCATGTTTCAATGCAGCATCCATCTCACATGCACTCCACCGTGGCGTCCCCCAAGCTGCCGTCAAAGATGCAGCAACCCCACCCTGAACCCACCGTGCCCACCTTGTCAGGGAAGCCCCACCACTGTAACCCCAGCAGGAGTGCTGTCGATGAGCGAAAGTCTTGAAAACCTTGCCGCCGAATTAGGCGTTTGAGGCATTGGTGACTCGACACAGGCGGGCGAGTTCGGAGTGAGTTATATTAGGGCCTTTGTGCCTTTTACAGCTCCAATGCCATGCTGTCCATTTTGTCATCGCATTTTGGTACCAACTCTGTACCTAACTTTTTCCTACCCACGCAACAGACCCCCATCCTGGGACTTTTACAGCAGTGGCTAGGTTGAGCCAGCCACTCTCTCTCTCTGACGAAATTCACTCTCTTTCCAGCATATCCCGCAGGCATCAGCTGAGCCTTTTCCCAAAAAGGGTTGTTCCATCGTTCCTAGACCGAGCCTTTTTTGAGTGATTTCCAGGTTGCCTGGGTCTGTGGCTTTTTATCGACATTAAATTCCCCGGATTTCAAGGTTGCGGCTGTCTTTAAGAAGGTGCCCACCCCCCGCGACTCATCGTCCAACTCATCCACCCCCCTATCTTGACTGGCTACACAACAACAACAACAACAACAACAAGAAGGATCACAACAACCACCTCTCCTGAGAACCAAACTATTGGAGTCTCCGACCTCTTCTATCACAACTCTTCCTTGGCGGTACATCACTTGCTGCTTCGCCCTCGGCAGTTTAGGACCCCGTCCCCCACACTATTCACTTTGAGCCAATGAGCCCACCGCTGTCGGTGAATAACCCGGAGATGGATCGGGCCCTATTGAAGAACCACGGTGACCGCGGTTGGGTTGTGCAGAAATTTGGAGGCACAAGCGTTGGCAAGTTTCCAGACAAGATCGCAGAGGACATCGTCAAGTATGACTCTTACCCCATTGGTCCAAGGAAAGGGGACGAAGTGAAGCTGACTCGGAGACGTAGGCAATATGTCGAAAACAACCGAGTGGTAGTTGTGTGCTCAGCACGGAGTACCGGCAAGAAGGTGACGGGTACCACAAGCCGGTAAGTCCTCTTGGCTTGCTTACCCCTCGTCCACATCCCCCACGCATCACAAGGCCGAGCCATGGCATGGCGCCCTAATTAGTCAACACTGCGGGATGACTGACAACGTGCTCCCTCGTGCAGGCTATTGGAGGTGTACAAGAAGCTGCGTGCCATCGGTGCCGCCACCAGCGACCACGAGGCCCAGGAGGAATTGCTGGGGGAGGCTAAGCACATCGTGCAGGAGATCTGCATCGACCATGTCGCCGCCGCCGACAACTTTGTTCGGGACTCCCAGCTCAGCTCCCTGCTTAAGGCGGGCATTGAGGTGGAGTGCCAGCTCCTCGTCGATTATCTAGAGGCGGCGAGACGTTTCAACCTAGAGATCAATGCCCGGGCTAAGGACCGGGTGGTCAGCTTTGGCGAGAAACTATGCTGCCGGTTCATGACATGTCTCCTCAAGGACAGGGTGAGTTTTCTTCTGACCGAGCTCTTACTTCGTCTCCATACTAATGCGCGAGGGTAAAGGGGGTGGACGCCCAGTACATTGACTTGGCTGATATCATGCACAACGAGAGCCCCGGGCGTCTCGACTCTACTTTCTATAAGAATACGTCCGAGGCTATCTGCAAGAAGATCATGGCCTGCGAGGACCGAGTACCCGTGGTCACCGGTTTCTTTGGGAATGTCCCCGGCAGCCTTATAGACGGCGACATTGGCCGTGGGTACACAGACCTGTGCGCGTCCCTGGTGGCGGTAGGCCTGAAGGCCAAGGAGCTCCAGATCTGGAAGGAGGTGGACGGCATCTTCACCGCCGACCCGTCAAAGGTCCCGACTGCGAGACTCATCCCGTTCATCACCCCTTCCGAGGCGTCAGAATTGACATTCTACGGCTCTGAAGTCATTCACCACTTGACCATGGACCAGGTGATCAAGGCGGTACCACCTATCCCGATCCGTATCAAGAACGTCAAGAACCCCCACGGCGAAGGCACCATCGTAAGGCCGGATCCCCTACTAGCCGCGGACCAACGCATCCAAAGAACGCGGCAACTTTCCGACCCGTCACTCCGGAAGAAGCCAAAGAGGCCCACGGCCGTCACGGTCAAGGACAAGATCTCCATCATCAACATCCACTCCAACAAGCGGTCGATAGCGCACATGTTTTTGGCTCGTGTCTTCTCCATCCTCAACCAGCAGCGCATCTCGGTCGACCTCATCTCCACTAGCGAGGTCCACGTCTCAATCGCGGTCCACACGGCGTCCTCCGAGTTCGGTAACTTCGACCAGGCCGTGGAGCAGCTGCGCGCCGAGTGCGGCGAGGTCAGCGTGTTGCACGACATGACCATCCTCAGCCTGGTCGGTGCCGAGATGAAGAACATGGTCGGCATCGCTGGCCGCATGTTCTCGACGCTCGGAGAGCACCAGGTCAATCTAGAGATGATCTCTCAAGGTACGATTCATTGTGGACGGGAGAGTATTCAGTTGCCAAAGACTAACATGATGTTTAGGTGCGAGCGAGATCAACATATCATGTGTCATTGACGCTCGTGATGCGGAGAGGGCTATGAACATCCTGCATACGAGCCTCTTTACCTTCCTTGACTAAGGGCGAGCCTCCAGCATCGTGTCATAACATCGCAGTATTATGATGGGACAGACTGTAGTTTTTTTTTTCCCGGGAGTAGATCTTCAATTTCGCAAAGATCGCCAGCGACGTGTAGTTATGGGTTTGAATTTCAGAGGTATTTTCTTTCTTTCTGGGGGATACGGAGACGGAGAGACTGTAGGAGGACTGGGTACACATTACGATGCATGCCATATATACTTCGCACTGTAGATAGTTAGATTCTCTCATTTCCCAACCTTTTTGGAATAGACAGGCACATTACCAGCATTGACTAGACACAATAAAGGGGCGCCGAATTGAGAGGCTCCCGTGAGGAACCTCAGAACGTGACCCTAACCCTGCCCATTCAGACCTGCGCCTTTGGCCGATACCGCGTGGCGATTGAGATAACGAACGCTCTTGATAACCGAACATTCTCACCATCGCTGATAGCCTTCCATTTACAACCTGCATTCGAACCCGCCGCCCTCCCCGCCAACTTTCATACCTCCACCTCCACCTACCGCGCCGTCTAACGTCGCTCCCACAACCAAAAACAACCCTAATTCAATACCCGCCCGACTCCGCGCAGCGAGTCCAACCCCCTCCACCATGGGCAAAGCCGAGCCGGGATCGACCAAATACCTCGCCAACAAGATGAAGCAAAAGGGTCTGACGCGCCTGCGGTGGTACTGCCAGATCTGCGAGAAGCCGTGCCGCGACGAGAACGCGTTCAAGATGCACTGCCAGTCGGAGAGCCACATGCGGCGGGCGCTGGAGGCCGGGCAGAACTTCAAGAGCGTGCAGGAGGACTACAGCAAGCAGTTCCTGGCCGAGTTCGTGTCGCTGCTCAAGACGGCCCACGGCGAGAAGAGCGTGCACGCCAACAAGTTCTACCAGGAGGTCATCGCCCGCCGCGACCACGTCCATCTCAACGCCACCCGCTGGCACTCGCTCACCGACTTTGTCAAGCATATCTCGCGCGAGGGGATTGTGCGCGCCGAGGAGAAGGAGGATGGGATTTTTATCGCCTGGATTGATGACTCGCCTGAGGCGATGAAGAGGCGGGAGGCGGTGCGGCGGAAGGAGATGCAGGATAAGGGCGATGAGGAGCGGGAGCAGATGCTGCTGCGGGAACAGATTCGACGTGCGCAGAAGGATGCTGAGGCGAGGGGGGTGCTTGGGGCGGATGGGGAGGCCGAGGAGGAGGGGAAGGAGCTGAAGCGCGAAGAAGGAGAGAAAATCAAGTTGAGCTTTGGAGCGAAGACGGCGAAGAGTACCACTCCCGAGGACAAGGTTTCCGTGCCAGACCCAAAGAAAGAGGGTGGTGGGCCGGAAACCACAAATGGGGCGGGCGACGGGGAGGCGAAGAAGGCGGACGATACCAAGCCGGCCGAGACAGCAACAGCAGTGAAGCCCGTCTCGCTCAAGTTTGGTGCCAAGCCACAACCGAAAAACGTTTTCAAGAACGCCTTTGCCGGGGCCCCGAAAAAGATCATGGCTGCTCAACCAAAAAAGATGAGCGAGGCGGAGAGGATCATGAAGGAGGAGTTGGAACGCAAGCGGATGCGGGAGGCAGGCGGTGGCCCTCCTCATAAGAGGCCGCGGTTCTAGGAAGATTATCGAGGGTGGTGGGTTCGGGAGCTTGTGTAGCATATTGCGGCGTTTGGGGGCACAGTCATTTGGGAAGGACATGATACCAGGAATTCAATAGCACGTTCCAGTTTTACCATAGATCTAATCTAGACCGTGTGAGCCGGTGAACACCGAAAATCAGCCCTTGTTAACCAACTCCCCAACTCCGTCGCCCGATGCTGCTGCCTTCTCCCCCAGACGAACAACAAACCCCTAATCCGCCTCGGAAGCGCTACCATCACGTCTACCAACAATGTCAGCCACACCGCACCTCAACCAAACGAGCCACCCCCCTAACAGACAGGGGGGAAGAAGGAAGCAAGGAAGGAAGGAAGAAAGAAAGAACCTACGGGATATACGTAATGCGATACTCCTCCTCCAGGGTGGTGCGCACGTCGTCCGGCAGCTGGCCCGATACTTTGGTCGCGTACACGCCGCGCACGTACTTGTCCAGCCGCTGCCACTTGGCCACCCACGACTTGGTCGGGTCGGCCACCGTGATGAGGCCCTCGAACACCTGGGACGTGCAGCTGTCGATCTGGTCCGGCGAGCCCTGCAGGTGCAGGAATTCTTCGCAGTTCGGGCAGCCTTCGTCGCGGAAGCGCTGTTGGGAACGGGGGTGAGTATGGGGTGGTGGGTGTGGTATGGGGTGGTAAGTTGGGGGTAGTTGAGGTGAGTGGTGGTGGGATGAGAGTGAGGTGGGATTAGATGGAGAGGCTTACTGCGTAGGTCATAACTATAGAGCACACCATGCAGGCGCGCAGGTAGCGGTGTTGGCCGGGAGCGACGAAGTTTTCTGACATTTTGAAATCGTCTCCTGTTTGTTGACCAAACGATCGTTTGAGCTGGGTGTTAATGAAAGAATATAGATGCGTAATTGCCCTAAACGCTGAAATGTAAATTGGTTGCTTGTTGAAAGACTCGGCTTTCACTGAGGCTAGGTCCGGCTTTATTTATGTATCTAAAGTATGAGGCTGCTGGAGAGCCTGGCCTGGATCAGAGCCAAACAGAACCCGGAAACGTTGCCGTTTTACGCAAGGGTGGCACGGTGCACAAGCTGAAGTGGGGCAGACAGGCACTTGGCAAATACCGTTGGGTGGTGAATTGACCCCAGTGTGTCGTGCCGAGCGACTTGAACTGCATGTCTCTCGATTTCATTGAAACTTCCCTGAATTCCCGGTGCATCCCTCTGCTCCGTTCTCCTTCCACAACTGTCCCGGATCGAAGACGGGCTCCTTACAAATGCGCCCGGCCATCCTTCTGGTCGACCGTTCAATTTTCCACCCATCACCATCAGAACCCCCCGAAAAATGAACTGAGTAGAGCGCAACGGCCTCACTATCTCAGTATCAGCACCTGTTGCTTAGCCTGTCTTGCTTCGTGTGTGAGATCCCAGCAGCCAAACACCGAGTGAATGAAAAATGGGCAACAGCCCCTCCACGTCTAAAAACGCGAGCCAGTCGTCATCGTCACAAACTAGCTCGCAGCATGACCGGCCGGTGAGGCGTGAAGCCCGAAATCCCATCCCAGTGCAGGGCCTCCGGGCTGCTGCCCCGCCTGAACCCTCGCTCACTCAGGCCCAGGGCACCTCTGTCCAACCGCCGTCGAGCAGCAGCAGCAGCGTCGCCAGCCGGCCGAAGCCGCTGCAGCCCCGACCCCTCGGCTCCGGCGTTGCTGCATCGGGCTACTCGACCTCTTCCTCGCCTGCTACCGCCGCCAGCTCCACGAGCTCCGCGAAACCTGTCGACGTCAACCAGGGCAAACCAAGCCCCCATCATGCGCCTGCCAAGCCCGTAGCTGTGCCCAACTCGCACAATTCCCCCTCGTCCCCGCGATCGCCCCGGTCCCCCCGCTCCGAAGACAGCTACGAAGTCGCAGCGATGCCCGTCAGCAGTGTGCAGGACGTGTCGTATCTGACTCGCCCGCCGCGTCTGCCACTTCCAATCGAGGAGGAGGTCCACACCCCGGGGTCGCCCATCATCGCCCCCACCGATGTCGGGGAACCGGTTGACGACGTTGAGGGCCTGGACAATGCAGCACTGGCCCACCCGACCTCGAACCTGAGCGACACGATAGTAGAAGAAGAAGATGCCGAGGAGCTGTTGGTCGACAAAACTAGGCCCACCGTGCCGACAAAGCTCGAATGGCGCCATGGCGGTGACAAGGTCTATGTCACGGGCACCATCTTTCAGTGGAATCGCAAAACCCGGCTACACCCAGTGTGAGTATTAGGATTGGCGGAGACTTATTTTGGCGGGTTTCGGGTGGGCTGACGTTGAATGCCAACTGTAGCGAGGGGGAACCGGGCGTGTTTGCGACAACAATCGACATTCTCCCAGGAACACACCATATCCGTTTCCTGGTTGACGGGCAAATGCAAACGACTCCGGACTATCCTACTACGGTCGATTTTGGTAACAACTTGGTCAACTACATCGAAGTCAGTCCCGACGATCTACAATCTACACCAGCCGATGGGGAGGGGTCGTCGGAGGGCAAGACTGCGCCGCAGCAGACAGACGCCGACCCAACTCCGGCCGAGGAAGACGGCCAGGTGCCCCAGCCCAGGGATAGAGAGATTCCCCCCGCAAGCCAGTTTGAGCAGAAGATCCCGAAGTATCTCATTGACCAAGATCAACCTGAGGATTCCCCTCAGTATCACCATGCCGTCCGGGCCACCGAGAAGCTGCCGAACCCACCTGGGCTTCCCGGCTTCCTGAGCAAGCCCATTTTAAATGCGGCCACGCCAAGGAAGGATGACAACAGTGTCTTGACTCAGCCGAACCATACTGTTCTCAACCACCTTGCCACTAGCAGCATCAAGAACAACGTGCTAGCCGTTTCGGCAACAACCAGATACAAGAGCAAGGTGGGTCGGCATTGGTTATCCCCAGTCCTCTGGTTCTGATGCTAACAGCTTGTATAGTACGTGACGACTATCATGTACAAGCCCACAACAACGGACTGAATTCAATTGTTTCACCCCGCGCCGTCGCCCATCGTCGCAGAGGGTGGCGTAAGAGCATCGGCAATGTCTGTCCTAGGTAGTGGCTATTTTTGACGACTGCATGATCTTCGGGTCCAGTACAGGGCCAAATGAGGCCATATTATACTTTATTCTTGGGGGGTGGGATGGGGTATTGCCGCCGGCAACGTTGAGTTTGCCGCGCATGTCACGGATAGATCAAGATGAAACGAGAAAGCACGTTACTTCCTCCATTTGACGAGGACCTCGTCTGTCCTAAATCGCTGTGTACATGTGCTCTCTTCGATGGGCGTCCTGAACCCCGTTTCATATGCCAAGAGGCCTGCGTGGGCAATCATAATGCCATTGTCTATGCAGAAGCGCTCATCCGTCGCATAGACGCTCCCGCCGCGGTCTGCCGCCATGAGACCCATCATCTCCTGTAGCCGCTCGTTGCACCCCACACCTCCCACAATCAACACCTGGTTGCTCCCGACGTGCGCCATGGCCCGCTCCGTGATCTCCACCAGCATCGCAAACACCGTCTCCTGCAGGCTGAAGCACAGATCCGCCCCGGTAAACGGCTCCCCGTCGGTCCCCTTCCCCTCATTTGCCTTCATCTGCGCCGCCAGCTCCTCCGCCCTCGTCAAGATGCCGCTAAACGAGCAATCCATCCCCTTCACCGCATACGGCAAATCCAACAACACCCGCCCGCCTTTCCTCGCCAACACCTCAATATTATACCCCGGCGCCGGATCATTACTGATATTAAGCGCCCGCGCAAACCGATCTAGACAATTCCCCACCGCAATATCCAGCGTCTCGCCAAAAATCCGGTACCGCTGCTCCGCGTAGGCAATCACCTGGGTGTTGCCGCCGGACACGTACAGCACCACGGGGTGGTCGGCGCCCGTGATGGTACGCCCCATCTCGATGTGACCGACGCAGTGGTTGACGCCGACCAGCTCCTTGCCCCACAGCAGCGCCAGCGTGCGCGCCGCCACCGCCACCGACGCCAGCGGCCCGCCCATGCCTGGCCCCCGCGTGTAGCAGATGCAGTCGATGTCGGCGATGCGGATGCCGGCGTCCGAGAGGGCTTGTTTGGCGACCCGCACGAAGAAGGCGCGGTGGTGTTGGGCGGTGTCTTTGGGCAGGAAGCCGGTTCCTGCGGGGGAGACGAAGGTATGTCGGACGTTGGACAGCACGGTGGAGGTGTCGCCTTCGTGGAGGATCACGCCGATGCCGAGCTTGTTAGCCGACCCTTCGCAGCCGAGGGCGATGCGCCGCTTCTTTTGGGTGATGTCGAGACCCATGGTGGGGGTTGGTTGGGTTTCGGTGGTAGGATGGGGAAAGGGGTGTCGGTTTGCTGGCCGGTCGCTGGGTTGGGGTCAGACCCTCGCGGGCTGCGATCGTGTCACCTTCTATGCGCGGGCAATTCGGGACAGGATATAATCATGAGACGTGGTGTCGCAAAACGAGGGGCGGTCTTATGGTTGTTGATTTATTTCGTCATTTCGCAGCGGGGCATCGATGAGGGGTCATTTGGCGGATCAGAATTGGGACGTCGTACCGATGTACCGCAGTACCTGCTGCGTGGCACGTGCGCAGGTCAGCAGTGATTGGACCCCCGACCCACACCCGTACAGCCGCCGCATCGTGGAGCCGGCCGTCTTTTGGGGTTTCTTCCGTCAGATCCCCCCACTGCTGCGAGAATACTGTACACAATTCCCTACCTCAATCTCGCCAGCAAACTCTTCCACCAACAGAAGACAAAATGCCTCTAAGCTCTGGGCCCGCTCTGTCGACCCTAATTTTACCATTGCCTCAACACTTGGACTCCTGAAATCACTCCCTAGCAAGTGACGCATCTAAACATGCGGCTGACCACCGAACCGGCTGCCAACAGCCAGCCCTTATTCCAGCCCACGGGTTGAGGATAGAGCAGCTAAGAAACACATCCAGTCGACTCCTCTCCCATACACTTTGAGGTATGCTCCCATATGCTTTTTCTCGAGCATTGAGATGCCACCAGTACGACGTCCTCCTGGGGCGGAGGGTTACCTTCCGGTGCTTGCAATTCTGAGACTGACCCGTTATTATTTATCAGAGATGCAAATATATCGCCCTCCGATGCAACAATTAGCTCCCAGAGCTCTCCTCCTTGACACTGGGATTCTCTTCTCCAAGAAAACCAGAGCCCGGCGACAATGGGTGCCTCCGTTTGCCCTCTCCTCGCCCGGACGCTTCCTCCGCCGACCCCAACTCGGAGCAACTAAGGATGGCACAACTGGTCAAGGAGCAGCCAGAGCACTTTTTGCGGCTCTTAAGCTGGAGGCAAGCTAAGACATCTTCCTCCTCTGATATTTTGGTATATCGGTATATCTACTGGTTACACCGTCGTCTCGCGCACCACTCCCAAGTCGCAAAAAACCAACAGGCGAAAGCTGGTATTTTCAGGCCACGTGTGGTTTGGAAGTCAATCCGGGTTGAGCTAAGAGTACTACCTGTTTGCTCTCTTTACGACAGGAGCAATCCCGGCCCAGGGGACTTCACTTCGGTATCATGTTTGTCCCACTCTCTCCACGCGAAGAACGGGGCCGCCGAGATTCCGTCGATCTCGTGCCTCGCTTTTTTTTTTTTTTCTTCCCCTCCAGCGGCCTTCATCCTGGAGCAGCAAGAATATGGAGATCAACACCTGAGCCACCCAGACACTGTGGAGATTACATTCGGCGTCTGGCAGTTGGGAGTTATGCTGCCTGCGCCAGAATCATGCTCCGCCGGGCATGCGCTGAAGGTGTCCCCATTCTTTTTCGTCATATCCTCCTCGCACGGCCCTCCAAACATCTCGCCACGATTACCGCGTCTTCAAAACCATTGGCACGACAACGTTTTACACCCTGCGGTCGGACGAGGTTCATTCGGCACGTCACCGAAAAGAAGAAAGCGAAAAAGGGCGTAGAACGCTGTCTTGATTGGCCCAGAGGCTCCCAGCACACCGCCGGTTCATATATACATGGCGTCTATGCCTGACATTATCATTGATACGAACACACGACGCCAAACACCACGCCAGGCCAATCCTTCTTTCTACCAAGGCCATCGCTAAAATGCAAGAATCGGAGGGTTGAGAAGGTATACAGGGCAAGAACGATGCTGTTCTTGCCAACGCCCAGCCGCGCATGGGCGGCGGGCGAGTATAATCAAGAGCCGCAGTGGCCGCCAGTCCTATGGGCTTCATGTGCCCGCCTGGGGCTGCGATGTGAGTTGTGGTTGTGTCTGTTGTGCCTGCTGCACTGGGGGTGGTGCTGGGGTCAGCGGGATTCGAGTGTTGGAGACTGCCCGATTTGTCATCCACAAAGGGAGCGGTATTGAAGCGCGGAACCTCAGGGCGTTGGTGTCGAAAGGATCCGCCTCGTACGTGGGCGGATCTTCCTCGTCATCCGAAGACTGGTCATACTTCCACCGATCTAGCACCTCAGCGCTAACTTCGCGTGGTGGACTCGCCATCCCACGGCGGTCAATCCATAACCGCTGAAGACGGCCGATCCGGCGCCGGTACGCCGGTGGGTCTTTCCTCGACTCTTCGTCCTGAGCCACGCCTCGGAACTTGAAGAAAGCCGGTCGATCTGGTGGCACCAACACATTTTGTGGACGCTCTGGCTTGTCAAGGTCCATGGGAATGGGCTCATCCAAGGACTCTGACGACGCAGACGCTGGTGGCGTCATTAAATACTGCGTCTTGGCCGGCCTGAAGCTAGGATCCCGTCTGGGCCCGTGGACCGGCGACAACGGACCTCGTGTAAGGTCTAGATGGTGCCGGTTCCATTCATTATGGCTCTGCACCTTCTTCTCTATGTCAGCGCGGAGCTCGTTCTCCTTCTCAGCCAAACGGTCAGCAAGGACCGAAAGATCTGCCTCGGCAGGGGACGGGCGGACAGCGATGCGAAGCTGTGTTGGCGGCGGTGGCCGCTGCATGGTCGGGACATCTGGAGCCTTCCTCTTTTGCGGCTGCGGGTTGTCAGCATCATACCAGGCACGGAAGCACGCGGAGAACGGGGAACTGACCTTTTGGTTGATGAGGTCTTCGTCGTCGGTTTTGATGCCCAACCGGATCTTGTGCTCCTTGAGTTGAGCCCGCACTTCGAAGATGGCACGATCTGTCTTCAACATATCGGCTTTCAGGAGCTCGCGGTTATGCGCCGCTAGGACCAGCTGCCGCCCCTCCTCCAACTCTTTTCGCAGGCGCTTGAGCTTATCTGCGCTCTGGACATCCCTCGCTCGTGTCTTCCTTGTCTGGCGGACCTCGCGACGCCGGAAGCAGACGTACGGATCAGCCTCGTCACTCTCCTGATGCTTCTCAAACTTGAGCGTCGGATGGAGTGGCTGGTTGTTCAGCGCCTGCCGCCGAGATTTCCAGTACTCATAGATTTCCTTGGCGTGTGACATGATCTTAGCCCTGTCAAGTTCCTGCAGAGCTTGGACCATGTCTTCGTACGGAACTATGGTCTGGTCTATCGAGGCGAACGGGGCTTTGATGTACGAGGTGTCCTCGTACACATCCATGAGCCTCTCAAAGTCATCCTCTGAGAGCTGGGCCGAGGGGCCCCGTTTCTGGTTGTACGACTTAAGAAATACGTCGTCCTCCTCCGTCATATCATACATGCATCCTATGGATTCTTCCACGGTCTGGGAGAACCGAAATGTATGTGGCTGTCTTGGAGAAGAGGCGAGTGTAGAGCTCGTCATAATTAAGCGTGCTCTCTTGTGGAGGCGGCACGGGGATCTCCTTGTCAGCAGCGACGCCCGCGCTCTGCAGAACAGCTTGGAGATGGTATTCCTGGCGATCAAGGTTAGTATGAAGGTCAGTATCAACTCTCCCCAACTCTCAGGAACATGTGGCACGTGCACCGGCACGTGACCCAGACGCGATGATGACAGATTTCGACTCACATTTTCCTCGGCCTGTTCGACTCCAGTCGCGATTTGGGCCTCATTTGTGAGTGATTCGTACTCGGCAGGATCTATCTGCTCCTCTCTGAGTACCCCCAAGAGTGTTTTCACACTCAGTTTCTTGTATCGGACTTTGCGGGTCGCCATGGCTGCGAAGGAGTGATAGTACGGCGAAAAGCCACGGGAAAACCCGGAGAAAAAAAATTATTTCATGCAGTACGTCATAAGAAACCCGTCTGGCGAGTTTTCTGATGCAAATATGGCGTTGTTGTTGATATTTTGATGGCCAACGTTCCGTCACTCGATGAACTGACGTTGCTGTGGTGCCTCTGCAAAGTTTGCATTTTCCGGCAGGTTCCAGCTACTGTGTTTCAAGCGATTGGTCCCCCTGAAAGGCACGACCCACATAGCCTGGCCTGCCATCCGTGAATGATGCCAAGAAACAAGATTCCGTTCGAGGCGCAGCAGCAACCTAACCACCGGTTGTTCCCTCCCAACAACAAAGGGAAGGTTTGGCGAGAGGAACCTGGCAGTTTTTATGGGTGAACAACAGAACCAAATAAAACTCAAACAGAAAGATGCTTTCAAAGTGCAGTTCAAGGAGCAGCTGACTGTGTGGTACCCACCTTTTCCCCACAGTCTGTGAGGAGCACAGAAAGCACGTGCTCTCTTCGTCATCCATGGTGGCCAATGGACAAGACTTTAAGGAGGGTGAAGTGTGGCTGGATGGATTTTGCGCCACAGTTCTGGGCCGCACCCCTCAACCCCGCCGGTTGTTGGCTCGGTCGGAATCGCAAGACCGAAACCACGCTGTGGTCTCCGCCTCAGCCTTGCCACCACTTCCCTCTTTCGACCCTTGAACCGCAGAATACCCTCCCCACCTTTGAAAGCGAGCGTAATCCGTTATCCAAAAAAGCGAGTGGAGCCATTATCAACCCTGACATCCGTATCGATACCTAAGCACCGCGTTTTCGAGCCGCCCGAAACCTAGTATCGCTTACGAACCCTCGAGTTGTTATCTGCTGCCAGTCCGAAGGCCGGCCGAGAAATACATAGCGAAAAAGATTGAAACAGAAGAGCTGGCAAGATGGGCAACACCACCAGCGCGGTGCTGGACAATATCGTCCAGGGGTCGAATTGTACGGTGCCCCTCGTTTTAACCTCCGCCACGACGGCACGAGGTGGCTGACCGGTGTCTTTCCACAAGGGCAGTCGACAGGGACGAAGTTGACAGACTACGGAAGCGTTTTATGAAGTTGGACAAGGTGCGCTGCACCCAGAGCTAAGGAGAGGGGCTGCAAGAGTCGCAAGGGCGAGCAGGAGCTGACATGCTGGGTGGTGACATAGGACAACTCCGGCACCATTGAGCGCGAAGAGTTCCTGAGCCTGCCTCAAATATCGTCGAACCCACTCGCTACGAGGTCCGTATCTCTGCCGGCCTAGTTCCTTCGAATGCGAGACTGACAGCTCGCTCCCAGAATGATCGCTATTTTCGACGAGGACGGCGGCGGGGACGTCGACTTCCAGGAGTTCGTGTCTGGGCTGAGCGCCTTCAGCAGCAAGGGCAACAAGGAGCAGAAGCTGCAGTTTGCCTTCAAGGTGTACGACATCGACCGGGATGGCTACATCAGCAACGGCGAGCTGTTCATCGTGCTGAAGATGATGGTGGGTAACAACCTCAAGGACCAGCAGCTGCAGCAGATCGTCGACAAGACCATCATGGAGGCGGACCTTGACGGCGACGGGAAGATCAGCTTCGAGGAGTTCGCATCCATTGTTGCGAACACGGATGGTTTGTTTCTCCCGTTTTCTTATATGCTACCCTTCATAACCACCGGCAACTCCCAGCCCCCGGTGTTTGGGTTTCAATAAGAAGGCTAACGTTTTCTTTATTTAGTGAGCATGAGCATGACACTGGGTGAGTGGTCTCAACGTTTGTTTTATCTGTGATGGCTACTAACAACTAGACAGACCAATTCTGAGCGATGCGAGTTTCATGGAAATGTCACGACGTGATGAAGATAAAAATGACAATAGCAAGCACTTTATTCCAAGCGCGTTATATAGAGGCATCTTAATGAGACATGTGCCTGCGACCTGATGCCCAGTGAATTGTTTCCTGGGTGGACCCAACATGAAGACACTGGCCGCCGTTCTGTCTTATACACTCCCAGTCGCTCCTTACTCATTAGCAAGACCAACAGATGTGAACATTTCCGTTGTTTGATATCGTGTTCTTCTCCACTCCCCACCCACAACTTGTCGGCTGATGTGGTATCAGTGATGCCCATTCTCGAGAGTCTGCAACATACCTCACACACCGTGTTGTCCCTCACGTTTGTCATTCGGTGTAGCAAGACCATCTTCGTCAGTTGCTCGCTTTTCTGAGTTCAATGCTCCAGTCCGTCCTTGGATTTAAGATAACGTCCCCATCCCAAGGTTTCCTCTGCTTCCCTACCTCCGTTGTTCAGTTCACCTTCGAGGACTCGTGGCTAGAGCTCCCAGTGTTCCATCGCTGTTTTAGTTGTACTTATATATACTTATATATCTTTACTTATATATCTTTTATTTATTGCCAGGGGCGATTAGTGGCCATCGTCGAATCAAGGCTATATAGTTATACTTTTCGGTTCTTGGTTTTCGACAAATCCCATTGCAGACCACTTCGTGGCGCAATGGTTAGGTTGTGTGCTGTTGATTCCCCCCTTGTTGAAGCAAGACACAGCGCCGAGGGCGGTGAAATGACCACAACCTATCTGTTCAATCCAACTTGGGTCGGGCGACTGGCTCACACTAAAGTCTCATATAATCTCGGTGTGGTGTGATTAAAAGCTTAGAGACGTGGGGAATGCACGAAAGAGACCGTAGGGAGAAGAGGGAAGCGCAGGATGCGTATTTACAGCGGGAGTCATGTCGCCGATTTGCATTCTTTGCGTGGATGTAAATGTTATCTATTTCTGATCTAACTAGGCGCAGGTAGGAAGTCGATCATACAGTAATCTTTCGCGGACTAGTTATGATTGCGTTTAGATATTGTCTGTTTTTTACAACTTACCACAAGAGTAGTGATCAGGGCAGCTAATCCTGTCCGGAGGACAATATTACGGTCAAACTTTTGGAAATTATTATGGGAAATTGATAAGGAAATTCGTTTCTTATCGCAGTGGAGCGATTGGTTGTTGGGCACAGATCAAGCTCGAGGCTTCTTAACCACATGGCTCTGTGAACAATGAACGACTTGCATGTAATCTCGTGCCCAACTCGAAAGCGCTGTATTCCGTATTCCATATTCCCAACCGATTCGACATCGCGACCATCATCGATACCACCAATCCCACAGTTACTACCTCCTGTTCTCAACAAGGCGCTTTACTCAACGCGCGACGACCTGAAGGATATCGAGATGGCCGGGCGCAACGCGTACCACTCGTTCGACAAGTCCGTGTTCCTGACCACAATACAGCGGCAGCAGGGCGAAGACCAGGCTCCTTTCCGGCGGGCCTTGGAAGAACTGCGAAAGGCTGATGTGTCGGTACCCTCCTGGGAGCTCCTCGTTTCGAGATGCTCTGTCAAGCTCTCTCCCAAGGAGGTTGACAGCTTTGCTGATGCGCTTCGCATCTATCCCACCAAGGCCCAGGTCGTCAAGTACAACTACCAACACATGCTTGGCCTGGACAGCCCCGCCATTCAGGTCGAGGCAAAGCACGAGGGTGTTGGTGCGGAGAAGGTTGAATCATCAAATGCCGGCAACTTGGCCAAGCGCTTGCCCTTGTGTTTTGGCTGCAGGGTGATGCTGACGCGGAATTTGTGGCCCGACGTCGGGCTCGTCAACGGCGCACAGGGCAGAGTCTACGACATATCCTGGAAAGAAGGTGCCGACGTGCCGCGAGACCCGCCCGAGGTCATCATGGTGGCCTTCGATGACTACAACGGTCCGGCCTTCACGATGCCGAACGGGGAGCCGCTCCGTAGTGGAGAGAAGCTGGTTGTTCCCATCCTCCTAGTGCGGCAGGAATTCATGATCGGCGCCAACTCATGTTCAAGAGAGCAGTTCCCGCTGCTGGTCAACTATGCGATCACCGTCCACAAGTCACAGGGCATCACCCTGGACAAAGTTGTCTGCGATATCTCTGCGCCAGAGTTTGCTTCTGGCCTCTCCTACGTGGCCGTCTCGCGGGTGAAGACACTCGGTGGGCTGATGTTTGAGCGGCCCTTCGACCGCAGCAGGATCTACCGCGAGACACCATCACGAGCTATGGGGTTGAAGTTGTCCGATCACGCTACCAGGCAACTGCAGGCGTTAGATGCTGTGGCGGGGGAGGCTCCCTCAGAGGAGTCTAATTGATTCGTAAGTAGCGAGGACGTGAGTGTAGATACGTAACGTGAGTGGCAGAATAGAAAACGATTCGTAGATGGCTTAAGTAGATGGAGTTGTTGGTCGACGGACAGATATTGGCGCTTCGTCTCTCCCATAATCAACCCTAACCCCGATTGTCCTCCGGAGAGGGACAGGAAAATTGCCAGGAGCGGGAGAGAGGAAGGAAGCGCCCCGGAGCGTAGCGAAGGGCCGCGCGACTGACGAACGAAGCGACGCCAGCAATTTTAAACAATAATGTAAACAACAGGGGCAATGGTGGGCTTTTTTTTTTTTTTACCACCAGCTTCCCCAACAACAGGAGACTTACAAGCCATCTACATGCAGTTACATCTACCCCACCCTTATAATACAAAATTTACAAGTTTGCCATCTTTGATAACAATCACCTTCTTCGCCTGCTTGATATCAAGCGTCCCATTCACCAGCTTCCCCTTCCCCTCATCCGCCTTCAAAATCTCCTGCACAATCCACTCCTTCAACTGATCCCCCGCCATCCCACCACCCGGCGTCGGAATCTCTACCACAACCCTCAACCTACCATTAACCTGCACCGCACAACTCAGCCTCCTCGGCTGCAGCGCGGGCAACTCCAAACTTCCATCCACCACCGGAAACACCGCTTTGCCCTCACCCCGAAACATCGACCCACCCCCACCTTCACCACCACCATGTAACATGGCCCAACACTCCTCCGCAAACGCGGGCGTGATGGGCGCCATCATGCGCAGCAGGGCGGACACGGCCGGGCGGCGGACGGCGTCGCTGAGCAGGGCGGCGCGGTCCTGGATCGAGTTGGCCAGGGCCATGAGGTCCGACACGACCGTGTTGAGCGCGTAGACGCGCTCGTAGGATGTCGTCACCGAGGTGATGGTCCGCTGCACGTCGCGCCACACGGCCACGTCCGCGTCCCATTGGGCGAGTTGCTGCGGGGTCATGGTGCTGATTGCGTCTGGGGTGGTGGTGGTGGTGGATTCGAAGTAGGCTCGGGGTGTGGGGACGGGGGTGGCTGAGGACGGGGTTGTTGCGGCGATGCGTGCAACGAGATCGTGCACGCGACCGAGCCAGCGCGTCACGCCGACGATCTTGTCGCCGTCCCAGTCGAGGATCTCGCTGACGGGGGCTTGGAATAGCATGTGGGCGCGGGTGGCGTCGGCGCCGTGCTGGGCGATGACGTCGGTCGGGTCGACGCCGTTGTGCTTGGACTTGGACATCTTCTCGTACGAGACGGTCGCGGCCTCGTCCGTGGCGGCTACCTTTGGTGCAAGGGGGTCGCTGAGGTCGACTTCGTCTGGTTTGAGAAACTTGCCGGTAGAGGGGTCGGCGTATGTCCGGCCGTGCACCATGCCCTGGGTGATTAGGCGCTGGAAGGGCTCGTGGGTCGTATCGGCGACGTCCACTTCTTCTCCAGGTGTGAGGGAGGACGTCATGAGGGACTTGTAAATGAAGCGGGCGTAGAGCAGGTGCAGAATCGCGTGCTCGATGCCCCCGATGTAGAGATCGACCGGCAACATGGACTGTGCCTTCTCGGGGGAGAACGGCTCGTGCTTGTTATGTGCGTCTACGAAGCGCATGTAGTACCAGCTGGAGTCGACGAACGTGTCCATGGTGTCCGTGTCTCGCTTGGCTGGGCCGCTGCAATTAGGGCACGGTGTGTTCACCCAGTCTTCCTGTGTCTCAAGTGGGTTACCCGCCTTCTTGCCGGCCCAGTGTTCGTCGACCTCGGGCAGCACGACCGGGAGCTGTTCTTCAGGTACCGGCACAGCCCCACATGAGTCGCAGTGGATGATGGGGATGGGTGTCCCCCAGTAACGCTGGCGACTGATTAGCCAGTCTCGGAGTCGCCATTTCTCGACGGGCTCGGCCAAGCCGGCTTTTTCGAGCATGGCAACAAGCATTTTGCCAGCCTCCTCGGAGGACTTTCCCTTGTACAGGCCGCTGTGCTCCGTCATGATGCCGTGGTCGATAAAGGGTTCGTTCTGCATGGCTGTCGTCGACTCATCCTCGGAAGCGGCGAGAACGAATCTGACGGCCTCGTCATAGTGATGCGTCTTCCAGAAGGCGTGGTCGCGGACATCGTGACCCGGAACGCCCATTACCGCCCCTTCGCCATAGTCACCGAGTACATACGGTGCCACGTATACCGGGATGGACCCTTTGGTCGCGTCGGGGGTTTCTTCGTGATATGCCAAGGGGTTGATGGCGCGGATGTGGGGTAGCATGTAGCCGACCTTGGAGTCAGGGGGCAGGCCGGGGAGAGTATCTAGGAAGGCCTGAAGCTCCGGGTCCCCCGCTGCGAGTTTGGTAACGACCGGGTGCGTTGAAGCAAGCGCCAGGTATTGAACGCCAAACAAGGTATCCGGGCGGCTGGTGAAGACCTCGATGGCGGCATGCATCCCGTGCTCAAATGCCATGACCGGAAACTTTATGGTGGCACCAGTGGACTTTCCCAGCCAGTTCTTCTGCATGGCCAGCACCCTCTCCGGCCAAGCGCCGTTCTCTGCCAGCACGTCCAGATCCTTGAGCAGGGACTCACGAAACTCCGAGATGCGGAGAAACCATTGCTTCAACTTCCGCTTCTCGACTTTCGCCCCGGATCGCCAAGAGCACCCATTCGAATCGACCTGCTCGTTCGCCAATACGGTCTTGTCGACGGGGTCGTAGTTGACCTCGGCTTCGGCCTGGTAGGCGAGCCCTTGCTCCCGCAAGAGGAGGAAGATCTTTTGCGTGTGCTTGTAAAAGCTTGGGTCGCATGTTGATAGCTCACAAGACCAATCCCAAGACCCGTTCATCAAGCCCAGCTGCTCTTTCATCTTGGCAATATTTTCCTTGGTCCAGATTGCCGGGTTGATGCCCCTCTCGATAGCGGCGTTCTCAGCGGGCAGCCCGAAGGCATCCCAGCCCATGGGGAGCAGGACATTGTGCCCCTGAAGAGAGTGGAATCTGGCAACAACATCGGCAATAGTGTAGACTCGGAGATGGCCTAGATGCAAGTAGCCCGAGGGGTACGGGAACATGGGTAGGACATATTTTCCCTTGGTGGCGTCGTTGATCTCGGGGGCAGATTCTGGCAACGAAGCCCACTTCTCACGCCATTTGGTGTCCAAAGAGGGGAGGTCCAGTCTGGGCTCGGCCAAGATTCGAGCTGTGGCGCTGAAGGATCGGGGTGTGGTTCGGGGAGGGGAGCATGGTGAAGAAGATAAAGTGAAATGTGGTGAAGTGAGATGGCGAGTCACACTTGATCTGAAATAGAGCGAGCTCAGTTTGGGCACGGAGCGGCCAATTGTCCTCATGTGAACCAGTGACATTGTTGTTACATTATCGGTCGGTTCGCTGTTAAATTCGTGGTGGTTGCCATCACTAGCGACGAGAGTTCGTCATGCGATAGTTATAGTTGACGGTGATGGCGATGAAGCTTCCTGAAGCTCTTAGCTCACTGTAAAGTTACTGAAGCTCCCTGCTGCCAAGACGGCACTCGGGCAGCCAGGTGGGGCACTGCACGGGCCCTTTCAAGATCTTGGCTTCCAGATTTGCAACGGCTCCATCCCTGCCATGGCGAGATGGCATGCATTGTTCGCTGGCCCCTTTCTGCTTGTTCAATTCAATCTTGAATTCAAACTCCACTACGACTCCTTTTCCTCGTCATTTTGATTCAACAACTTGGGCACACCGTTTTTGATACCCGCACCAATATTGACGTCTGACGGCTATACGTTTAATTTGAACAGTATAACTCCATAACTTGCTAACTAATCAATCGACTTTGCGAGGCGTCAGTGTCGTCTCGTTTCAACCGAAAGAAGCCGAAACTTTCAACAACCAACAAACGGGCCCGACCGCATTATCGCAACACACACCGCCAGGTGCTGCGACTTCTCCTGCATTCTTCCGCAACACACCCTCCAAGCCAGCCATACCGACAATTGCGCGGCATGGTCCCCGCTTCGCCGAACACAGCATACAAATAACACATTCCAGGGGTCGGTCGGGCATCGACATCCACGAACCGGACCAGACCAGGCGAGGCCAAGCCACACGAAAGCGACCATGCCACCCCTCTACTCGAACCTACCGCCCACGGCGCGGGACTCGCTCGAGCTCGCATCACTAGCCAGCTCAGGCTCGGGCTCCGAACTCGACGACATCTCCTCGCGGCCGAGCATATCCTCATCGCGGCGGGCCTCGCTCGAGCGCGACGACCCGCTCGACTCGCACAACCCCGCGGCGGCGGCCACCGCACCGCGCAGCCGGCCCGAACACCATTCGCGCTCCTTCTCCGTCTCGTCCACCTTCGACTTCGCCTCCAACCTCTTCCCGCTCTCCAGCACCACCGGCGCCGCGGGGGGGTACGCGCCGCTGGGCGCATCGTCGTCGTCGGGGCTTGAGGGGGGCGCGGGGGCGAGGGGCGGTGGTGGGGGTGCCCGTGGGGGCTCGTTGGAGAAGCATAAGACGTTGACGTATTTGAATGGGCTGTCGTTGATTGTGGGGCTGATCATTGGGTCGGGGATCTTCTCGTCGCCGAGCCAGGTCAATTCACATGCGGGTTCGCCCGGCGCGGCGTTGATTATATGGGTGGTGGCGGGGATTTTGGCCTGGACGGGCGCGGCGAGCTATGCCGAGTTGGGTGGTGCGATTCCGCTGAATGGGGGGTCGCAGGTTTATCTTTCCAAGATTTTTGGGGAGCTGGCGGGGTTTTTGTTTACGTGGGTCGCCGTGCTGGTGCTGAAGCCCGGGAGCGCGGCTATCATTTCCATCATTATGGGCGAGTACCTGGTGCGGGCGTTCATTGGTGCCGAGGCGGAGACGGTGAATATCTGGGTCGACAAGTCGGTTGCGCTAGTGGGGCTGGCGCTGGTGACGTTTTTGAACTGCGTCTCGACGCGGATGGGGACGCGGCTGAACGACATGCTCATGTTTTTGAAATTTGTTGCATTGCTTGGTGTTACGGTGATCGGGATCGTGGTGGCCGCCACGGGATTTTCGTTATCAGGGCCGGCGAACCGGGACTGGAAGGACCATCCGTGGTTCGAGGGGACCAAGATGGATGCGTCGGCATGGGCTGTGGCGTTGTACGCCGGGTTGTGGGCGTTTGATGGGTGGGATAATGTAAGCTCTTCACGTCCGCGCCCTGTTTACCCCTGGTCAATATCAACTAACAACAACCCCAGACAAACTACGTAGTCGGCGAATTCCGCAACCCCAGCCGGGACCTACCCCGGGTCATCCACACGGCCATGCCGCTCGTCATCGCGAGCTACATCCTCGCCAACGTCGCCTACTTCCTCGTCCTCCCGCTCGACGCCATCAACTCAACCAACACGGTCGCCGTCATGTTCGGCGCCAAGGTCTTTGGCCCTGTGGGATCCCTCATCCTTGCGCTAATCGTCAGCGCGTCCTGCTTCGGCGCCCTCAACGCCTCGACTTTCACCAGCAGCCGCCTCGTCTACGTAGCCGGCAAGGAGGGCTACATCCCCTCACTCTTCGGACGCCTCGGCACCGGCACCGGCGTGCCCCCCACCCCAGAACTATCCAGCCTGCGCACGCGCTCCTGGCTCAAGAAGAAGCTGGCCTCGCTCGTCGGCGACGAGGACACGGGCCTGTTCTTCACACCCATCCCCGCTCTCATCCTCAACGCGCTGCTCACCACAGGTTACATCCTAGTCGGCGAGTTCGGCACGCTCATCACCTTCTACGGCGTGGCGGGCTACACGTTTTACTTCCTCACCGTCCTGGGCCTCATCGTGCTGCGGGTGCGCGAGCCCAACCTGGAGCGGCCCTACCGTACGTGGATCACCACGCCCATCATCTTCTGCTGCGTCAGCCTGTTCCTGCTGAGCAGGGCCGTGTTTGCCCAGCCGCTGCAGACGCTGATTGTGGTCGGGTTCGTGGTGGCCGGCGTGCCGGTGTATTACTGGCGGGTGCGCGGGCGGAGGGGGCCGATTGTGAAGAGGGAGGTTGGCGGTGCTGGTGCTGGGAGGGAGAGGAGGCCGTGGTGGAAGTTTTGGAAGAGGAAGTAAGGGGCTGCCATGCCACGGTTGCTGTCGAGTTGGGTATTGGATTGGGCTGGGTTGGGTTGGGTATTGATCCGGCTTCGGGAAGCTGGATATGACATGGGCGACATGTATATAATCTCACATTGGGTATCTTACATTGGCCCGGTGATGACAGGGACCGGACGATTGCACCGCTTTTATCCGAGTTCGATATAGTTTTTGATGACGCGATATGACACGGCGTCGATACATAATAATATCCACGAAATACAGCTATTAAAAACACATCAGCAGCATTCGATGGGTCTTTTGAAAAGAAACCGAAATAAATTCATAACTCATAAGTAGACCGACCCAGCACGCCCTCTTCGTTTGAGGAACACGCGCGCTAACAAGTATTTACAGTACAATCTTGACCCTTCCTCCCTCTCTCTCTCTCCTAGAACCCTTCACCTCACCCCCACTCAAGACTTCCCACTCGCCGCCTCCCGCAGACCATACGCCTTGGTGGCATAGTCACCCGCATGCACAATCAGATCCTCCGGGCGATAATCCAGCTTGCCCGACAGGTAGCTCTCGAGAATAGCCTTGGTGCCGTCGGCATAGCGCTTCTGGGCGTCGAGCGAGGTGCCCGAGACGTGGGGCACCATGGCGTTGCCGCCGCCGAAGGGGTTCTTGGCGGTGCGCAGCGGGTGGTCGACGGGGGCGGGCTGGGGGAACCACACGTCGCCGCCGTAGCCGCGCAGGTGGCCGGATTTCAGGGCCTCGGCGACGTCCTCCTTGACGACGATGGCGCCGCGCGCCGTGTTGACCAGCCAGCTGCCGGGCTTCATCTTGGCGATCAGGTCCTTGTTGAACAGGCCGCGGGTCTTTTCGTGCAGCGGGCAGTTGATGGTGACGACGTCGCACTGGGCGAGCATCTCCTCGAGGTCGGTGACGCGGCGGCAGCCGATTTCTTTTTCCTTCTCGGCCGAGAGGGGCTGGTAGTCGTAGTAGAGCAGCTCCTTGCAGTCGAAGGCGCGCAGGCGGCGGAGCACGCGCTCGCCGATGCGGCCGACGGCGACGGTGCCGACGACCTTGCCCTCGAGATCGAACTCGTTCTTGGCGGCCTCGGCCACGTCCCAGCGGCCGGCCTCGATCATCTCGTGGGCGGGCACGAAGTTGCGCACCAGCACCAGGATGGTCATGACCACGTGCTCGGCCACCGACACCACGTTGGACCCCGTTACCTCGGCCACGGTTATGCCGCCGTTGGTCTTGTTGGCCGCGTTGAGGTCGACATGGTCCGAGCCGATGCCGGCCGTGACGGCGAGCTTGAGCTTCTTGGCCTTGGCCAGGCGCTCGGCGGTGAGGTAGCCGGGGTGGAAGCTGGGGGGAGGGGGGTGGTCTGTTAGCCAGGGATGGATGACGCGGTGCGTGTCGTGATGTCAGGAGAAGCTTACGGGGTGGTGATGATGACTTCGGCATCGACCAGCTCGCGGTCAAAGGTCGAGTTCTCTCCCTCCTTGTCCGAGGTGGTCACCAGGGTGTGGCCCTGGTCCTCGAGCCACTTGCGGAGGCCGAGCTCATTCTCGGTAGTTCCCAGGAGGCCGGGCACCTGTGTATCGTTGTTAGCTGTTTTTCTTTTCCATCTTCTTTTTTCCTTTTCCCCCCCTCTCTTCTTTCAACATTCCCCCAGAGCGATGCCGAAGATGCCGCCAAGACGGGGATAACCTCCCGGCCGGGAACTGGACCATCCCCACTTCCCCGAACCCCTCCGAACCATCAATCCCCGCCTGGCTGTAGTTCTGGAACCCTGACGCAACCCGCTCCACGGTACCCCGCATCCAGACGTAACACTACCATGCGGCAAGTCTTGTAGCTGCACGGCGCTGTTATGGGAACAACACGGGCACGCGAGTGGTAGGGAGCACAGCACAGAGGCGACCAAGGCCCAGAAAGGAAAGAAAATAGAAAAAAGACGGCTAGGAGCGGACGGTTCTTACCTCCTCGGCGTGCTTGCCGCCATCGTATAGGACTGCCAAAACTTTGACCTTTTCGTGTTTGGTGGTTAGCAAGCGTCTGGAAAGGGATGAGCCGAGAGTATCGGTCCGGAAGGTGGTGGTGGCCCTGTTCAGGACGCCCGGGTGGCTGCCGCTGTTGCGGAGTGCAGCCCGCCAGTGGCTGGGGTTGGGGCGGGAGAAGGAGGTGAGAAGGGATAGGGAACGGGAAGAGAAGAGGGCTGCGGAGCGTGTTGCAAGTACCATTGTGACTGATGATTTGTGTGTTTTGTGGGATGGATGTGTTCTGAGATCAGAGGGATCCCGGTGGGTTGTTCGAGTCGGCGGGACGGAGTATGCTTTATAGCGATCGGAGAAGTTGCAGAATTGTTCAGACGGGATGAAGCGCACGGTTGAAGTGTGGTACAGCACTCAAGGGTGGAGATCTGGTTGTTATATGAGTGAGAGAGAAGAGAGTGAGGAATAGAATCAAATAGCGACCCCCATGGGTGGGAGCAGGCTCGGGGATATTTATGTGCTCCCGTTTCCTCTCCCCGTCCTCCTAAACCGCGTGTGGAATCCGATCCTCATGCCCGGCAATCAGTTCATCCACCTTGGATTGGACGTGCCTCGGAAAGTGTAACCGCTCCGGGTCGTGGGATGCCGACGCGTCAGGGATGGGTGGATGGGTGGATGGGTGAGGTGGATGGTGGTGCGAGTCCAATTCGTGCAGCTCAGCGTGGCATCCCTTCCCCCTTCCATCCTGCTCATTCGCCAATGGCTCGTCCCGTTGGCGCCCGCAGCTCCATCAACGGTTGTTTGCCATGTGGTGCACGTCGATCGACGGCATGACATGCCTGAGCCGTGCACACTGTTCATGCTGTTGCTTGGACGAGCACCATTTGCAGCACACACTCAGATGAGGGGGCGTCGAGAGAGCCACGACGGGATTGGTGACTCTCCTGAACAAGCTGTGGTTGAATGCGTCATGGCCTTCCAATGGCCGATTCCAAGCGCAGTCTGGGGTCGCTCAGCAGGATGCAGATAGTTAAAAGGAACAACCTGATGGTTTAGCCGGCAGGCGATGCTCGAACTGATGGGGTTACTCGGCTGCCGGGCACTGCATCGATAGCAAGAACACCTTGACGGCAGGCACGTTGAATACCAATTCAAGCAGAATCAGATCTCGGCTTTGATCAGGGCACGTTCAAACCCCTCCCCTCCTCTCCCATGGAACCCCTTCCCCTCACGCGGGATGCTAAAACCACCGGCAAGCTGCCATTGACCCATTGCAGCTGCAGTCGGGTCAATGATCCAGGCTTCGTTGGCCTCTCGGTACTTGTTGGACACGCCCGGACGGTTCGTTCCTTCTCTGGCGCCCGTATCGGTATCTCGGTGATGGCTCGGGATAGCCCCTGGCAGGCCCCGCTACCAAAGCTGCGGGCTTGGCTCCTTGGGACTCGGATCGTGCTACGGAGCGGGGTAAAAGGAAGGACCCAGCTGCAGTCAGCTGCAACGCCTGTCCAGGCTAGGGAGCAGTTGCAGTGTGGGAGTGTCTTGGCTGCGTGTCATGTCCCTTCTTGACCCGGGTTGTCTCCGAACAAACAACACACCAAAAACATGCATTCACGTTATCCCCGTCAACACCGTTTAGATGCAGCCAGGCAATGAGATGATGATGATGAGAGACAACTGTTGCTTACTGACTTGAATCAGCAACAGCTCCATCTCTCCGAGAACCTCCTTTCGACCCCACCGCCACGAACATCCCGAGCACCCCGAGCAGGGCCGAGTGCGAAGGGGACCGGCTGAGAGGGAGTAGATCATGCTTCCATGTACACGTCTGTCTATCTATCGAGTCATTACACATGACAATGGCCTCCCTGTCTACCATGGAAATCCCGAACGCCGATAGCCCCGTCTACGTCCGTTGTCCCCGTGTAGAAGACGATGGAGGATGGAGATGATATGGCCCCGAATTGAATCCCTCCGTCTGTCTCATGCAACCGATCCATCCATGCCGAACCCCCAGATAATGTACCCAACAAAACACAGCAAAAACGAACCTACACACCGAGTGCATATACAACAAAACAAACCCACACTCCCACCCAGTCCTACGTCCATCGAACCAACCAACAAACACCGTGCTACCCCCAAACCTGCCCGGCCAGTCACAAGCTATACGGCGGCGGCGATTCCCGCGTAGCAACCGTCGTAGACCCCCCAGCCGCCGGCGCGGAAGCAGCACAAGCAGCAACAGCAGCAGCGGGCGCCGCCGTCCAGCGCGCCGCCATGGCCATCATCTTGGGGAAGTACTGCTGGACAAATGATTCCCTGCCTCACGTTAGCTCAGGATACAAGACAAGACGGGAACGGGGGAAGAAGAAGAGGAGGGAAGAAACCCACGAATAGTAACTATGCTCCGAGCCATGCACTGTAACCAAATTATGCGCGAGCTCATGCGCCAGCACCACCCACCACCAGGTCGCGGCCTCGACCCTGGCCTGGCCCTGCTCCATGCCCTTATGCAACTGCTCCCAAAAGCGCATATTGCAAAACACGCTCCCCGAGCTATTAAACGCAATCGTGCCGCCCTGCTCATCATAATACATATGCAGCACACGATCACTCAATCCATACACCGCCGCGACGTCGCGCAGCAGGCTCTCGAAGCGGGCGATGTTGTCGACGCGGGAGGCGACGAACTGGCCGTGGGGGACCGATAGGTCGCGCGCGAGGAAGACGCGCATGCCGCGGGGTGCTTCGGCCGCGAAGGCGAGGTTCTGCCCGGCCATGCTGTCGCAGTACGAGGTTTGTTCTTGGACTTGGGTCTGCCGCGGTGGGGTGAAGAGCGCCGAGGAGTCGTAGGCGCGCGTGGATTTGATGGCGTTGAGGAGGTTTTGCTGCACCGTGGCGGGGGAGGTGACGCGCCCGCCGTCTGTGGTGGGTTTGCCGTCGCCGGTTGGGACCGGGGTCGAGATCAGTGGTGGGTCGGGGTTTGGTGATTGGGGCTTGTCGTCTGCGGACTCGAACCCCAGGCGGCGGGAGAGGTTCGAGAAGAGGCCGCCGCCGCCGACCCTGGGTGGTTGTTGCTGCGGTGGTGGAAGACGCGGCGGGCTGGCCTCTGGGGACTGGTCAAAGCCGCCCGGCATGCGGTCCCGCGTCCGCTCCGGGGTCTTGGCATCCCGGACAAGAGGACCTTGCGCGGCCCATTCCTTCTCGGCCTCCCGGATCCTCTGCTGTTCCGCTTCTAGCGCTTTGCGGCGCTCTTCCTCAGCTAGCCGGGCTTCGGCCGCCTTTAGACGCAGGATACGGTCGACATTGTACCCGCGCGCTCGTAGTTCCAACAGGCCAAGCTTCAAGAAGGGCTCGAAGAAGAAGTATGCTTGCTGGCTGGGGCGGTTCAGCAGGAGTTGGCAGATGGCCTGACCGACTTGGTACATGTCCGGTTTGTTCTCAGCGGCGACATAAAGCATCCATCCGCTGGCGGTTTTGTAGCTCGCCGCTGACCGCTTTTCCTGGTGCGATTTGGCGTGGCCCTTCAACGATCGCCGCAGGGCGAGCGAGGAGACAGTCAACACTTGCAGGTTCTTCTCAAGCCACTGCGTGTCGTGCTTGACGGCGTCATGCTTGTCCTTGGAATACTCGTGCAAGAAAAGCTTGGAGCGTTCCAGCACATGCTTCCGTAGCCACCCTGCCCCATCCTGATCTCTTGTCTGGTTCCCCACAAATAAATCCTCCTTGACTTTGCTGCCCAGAGTGTTGGATCCCAGGGCCATGTAGAAAGCTTCGAGAAAGTCGTCCTCCGGAGCGCACAGCAGCGCTTCCTTGAACAACCGGTAGCTGATGTAATCGTCAAGGACTACAATGGCGTCGGCGGTTGCTAGTTGGTAATGCTTGATGGGGGCTTCATCCTCCTCAAGCGTCTCAGATCCCTGGCTCTTCCCCGACGTCAGCTCTCGAAAGCCAAGGAGCCATGCTGACGACTTCATCTTCCTAAGAAGGTCCTTGTCCTTCCTAAGGGTCGCGAAGTCTTCAAAGATGGATTTGAGGAGGTTAAGGTACTTCTCCGGGCTTTGGAGGATACTCAGCAATCGTGCCGGCTCAGTACAAGCCAGTTGGGCAATTTCGTGCTTGGTAGGCTCGCTCTTCGCACCACATTTGAAGAGGAAGGTGTTCGCGTCAGGCCCGAAATCGACAAAGTCGAAGATATCTTTGTATGTGGACGAGCTCCCCAGGTAACAATGAGGGGGTCGGAGGTGAGCTAGGGTTGATCCCTTTACCTCGCCAACTCCCGTGTGGCCACCGTGCTGCCTCATAACCGGTACGATCGCAGCATCTCTCAGTTTGGCTAGGTTATTATGCCCCAAATCACCGACCCGCGTAGTAAAGTACTCAAACAGCGTGATTGCCATGCTGCGATCCTGAGGAGGCTTCGCGATGAGCCTATCCACACATCCTGTGATGGGGGGATCGCGAGCCACGCCGAACTTGGCAGCATGCTGATGCAGGTCTTTCCGGAGAACGTTGTAGCCAAGGACGGCCGCCCTGTCGTTTGCGTAGCAGGCTGAGGGGGGGACCAGCTGCTTCTCCTTGCCTTCGATGGGAAGAATGCACTTGTCCGTGACCGATATATCAAATGACGTGTATCCGTTCAGGTGATGGTTCGCGATGAAGTACGACATCGCGCTTGTTCGGAGGTCTTGGTCTGAAGAAGCCATCATTTCGACAAGCTCTGGGACTGCCGGATTTGAACGCAGCCCAAGCTCGTACAGAAACCGAGCCTCTGCGCTATTGCTCCTGAAACTTCCTGGCGGGCCTGGCCAATGAAGGATAGGCAGCCTTAGTGTTCTGAGCGAGTCCTTGGGCTCAAAAAGCTCCGACACCCTATACAGCCGTTTCGAGCCCTTCGTTGGTTCCATCCCACGGGGACCAGCCTCGGCAGGGCATAGTGGCGACTCCCGGAGTTTCTTCATGTCGGCAGCAGGGATGTCGTTCTTCACCGATGTGAGATACTTGATGAGTTCCATGTGGCTCCATTTAGCATGAGCCACACCATTCCCCGCGGCGGGGGATGGGCTCAACAGCCGAGTGAAGATTGTGTCCAGGTCGACCGTCTTTCTAACACCCAAGGCGGACAGAAACTTGTCCTTGAGATTCGCACAGCCCTCAAGAGTTGGTAGGTCATCAAATAGCTTCACGGTCGGGAAGAAGGACTCATTAGGCTTTCTCATACCCGCTTTGGTCGGCATAACCGTGATGTGCTGTAACGCTGACACCACCGAGGATTTGTCGCTTTGGCTCAGATTGTCCCAGTTTTTTGAAAGAACGGTCAGGACTTGGAGAGCGAACTTGTCCGACTTTTTCAGGTTCTGCTCATCCGCGCTCCCGGGGGCGGACTCGATCAGGAACCTCAGCCAAGGAACTATGGCCAGTGCTTCCCATCCCAAGGCTTGGAGCCACGATTCGGTAATGGGTCCTGTAAAGGCCATGGGAAGGGTAGTAGGCGGCATTGGGAGCGTCGACGGGATTCTGTTGTTGGGATAATTCTTGATTGCCCCAAGCGCAATGATACCGCCCGAGCCACCGCCGTCGCTGATAGTGGCTACCGTGACGTCCAAAAGCCGCTGGATGGCAGGGGGGTCAAGGTCCCCGTTGAAAGCGCCTTTGGCAATCCACTGGAGGAAATGGCTCAGCTGGTCCTTGTCCAGAGCCTTGGCTCCGAGCTCCTGGCAGATATCATCAACGGTGACGTCCCGGATCAACCCGAAGTCAATCAGCCGCTTGATGAATGGATCCTCCATCATCTCTTTCATAACCACCGGGATTGCGGCGACAAACTTAGCAACCTCGTCAGATGAGGTGCGCACCTTTGTCGTGGGAAGCACTCCGCGAGAAGACAAGACGTCTACATGTGGGCTTTTCCAGGCCATCCAGAAGGCCTCTTCGATGATTTGGGACACCTGTGCACTTGGCGTCGAGTCTTGGAAGCTGTATGTTTTCAAGATATGCAAAGCCTCGGGGATGCATTTCTGCACGTCGGACAGCAAGGGGGCAGAACCCTTCTTACCGCTAGCCTCGGCCAACCTTTTCAGCTTGTCATTCAAGCCTCCCATCTCGTCTGCAAAGGCAAGCCGGGACATGATGCCGGCCGCACGCAACATTTCCATGTTCCAGGAGCGCACCCAACGTGCGTTGAGATCGATCGCCTCACGCTCGACTGTAGGTATCACCGAGGGCGCCGAGATGTGCATGCCAGCGCCAGTCGTCTGGGTGGTCGGGAATCCGATGAAGATGCGGCCACCCGGCTTCTTGCTGGGAAGAACCGAAGCGAAAACATCGGCAATCTTGGAGGCCTGGTCCGACGATGCCTCCGCCGAGGCCATAGTCGCTTCGTACGAGGAAGTCAGAATGGAAAGCTTTGTGGTCTTGGGAGGGGGTTTTTTGGTCGCCCGCTCTAGTTCCGCAGCGAACGAAGCAGAAACACGGGTGGCTATCTGGCCCGACGTTACACGGAGGAAGATGACCGACGTTGACGGCGCCGTAAGATCTTCTGTTATGGCATCTTGAATTGCCTTCTCCTCCTTGGCCGCCTTGCTCCGGGTTGCAGACGACACACCCGACGTGAACCTCGAAAAAAAGTTCTTCAGCGTAGGTAGTTCAGTGGCATAGTAAGCGTCGTTGGACTTGGTGGCTGATGCTACGGTCTGTGGTTTCCAGCCAATAACGCTCATAAAATTGGCCTGGATTTTGATGGCGGTGCTGTCGGCTGAAGTGAGCTTCATGATCCCATCCTTGGTCTTAGTTTCCAAGTCTCGCGGAATGTCCAGGTTCAAGGAAGAGGACGGGTTCTTGTGCAGATCCAGCACTTTCCAGTCATCCACCCAAAACTCAATATTTTGTAGGGCAACAAAAGTCAGGCTGGTAGCGAGGAACTGGCTCACGGAGAGCAGGTTCGGAATGGGGGTAGTAGTGCTCCTGTAGTCCAGGACGAATGATGTATTTGGGCTTGACTGGTCGGGAGGGAGAGTCACTTTCCTCGTGAAAAGCGCGTGCCCCTTCCAGTAGAAAGCCATGGCTTCATTGCCGGAACTGACGAAGGGTTCCTCGCAGTCGGCGAATACACTGTAAAAGCCAACACCAAAGGCGCCAATCTTGGTCTCGTCCGGATTACCCTCGGCAATTTTCTTCAGCCTCGCCCAGTCGGTCTTAGTGAATGGCTGCCCGTTATTCTCAACGACGAGTCGCCGCAGTGTATGGTGGGTTATGGCATGCTTGATAAGCTCGGATTGGTTGGTGGTTGCCGGGAGGGGCACCTGTGTCGACGGCAGTGTTTCCCAACGGACCTTGACCGTCGTAGCCTGTGCATCGGCGGCATTCTGAATGAGCTCTCTTAACGTAGTCCATTCTCCCGAGTATCGTGCGAGGACCTTGTCGATGAGCGCCCGGGTGTCGACTGTAACGGCCTCCTCGTCTTCGCCGCTCATAGCGGCGGCGCGGAGACGCGCATAGTCCATGACGGCCGGTTCGCGCGCAGACGTATGTTCGTAAAAAAGGAAGAGTGCAGAAACAAAACAGGTTCGGCGGTCAAGCTGTGAGATGCGGAAGATAGAGGTTCGGTTTACTGCTGCGGAAGGTCGGAGGTGATTGCGCACCTGAAGAGGTGCTCGAAGTGGGGGTCCGGCGTCACTAAAGTCGTCATCGAGTTTCAAGGACTTTCTGCACTGTAGGCATGAATGAGGGGGCAATGGATGGAGTGTTCGATTTATCAGACAAGTCGAGCTGTCACCGAGTCAACCGGAAACAGGAGGCTGCAGCCTCGAGAACATGCCTGAGACGCCAATGAGCTGGCGTACTAAGTTCGTTACCTAGACTGAAACATGAATGGGACCTTCTCACTGTATTTTACCGTCCGCCACCTACACTGCCCCGCCCTGACCGTTCCAACTGTGCAATTACCTACCTAGGTCCACCAAGGCACCTGGGTAATTTCATTTCAAGTATGTAAATATCATACCTAATTTACCGACATGTGATAGCCCCCGAGGGAGCATATCGAACCTGGTTTTAAGTGATAAAAGTACCTAAGTATGTACATTGGCGGTAACTATGCGCTACCAGCCCTTTCAACTTTCAGATTCATTATCACGGCGTCTAGTTCTGCTCCTACTGCGCCGTCTATCATGGTGCCTTGGCCTCTCACCTCCCTCCGCCTCGACTCCTGCTTCGACTCCGACTCCTGTCGTTCTTCCTCCTATAATGCAAATCGCGGCTGCGGCTGCGACTGCGGTCATAATCTCGCTGTCTCTCCTGCCGATGGCGGCCATGGTCTGGACTACGGCTTCTCCTTCGCTGGCCGCTACCCTTCGCCCTAATCCCAAGGCTGTCATGCCACCCTCGCCTATCCCGACTGCGATCGCGGTACCTGTCTCGGTCTCGGCCTCGGTCCCCGTCCCTGCTTCTATGCATCCTCTTGTGCCCTCGTTCTAAATATCTTTTATGTCGGTCCGATTCTTTGCGCCGATCTCTCCGCGAATCGGGCGCGGGTGCTTGCGTCGTAGCCTTGTCGTTCTCTGCCACACGGTTCGGAACCTTCGACCCTCCCACCTCTACCGCGTTTGCGCCAGTCGCATCGCGTATCTTGATGGGCAAGCCTACCGCTCGTGCCATCGCATCTTCTTCCGCTTCTTTGACCTTGCGGATTTCTTCGCGGAGCACCCGGGCTTCTCTCTCCTCCTCTGTCTCGTTCGAATCCGCCGCACTCGCATCTGCTTTGGCGTACCAATTCAAGTCGCGCCCTTTGGCCCAGCGCCCGACGGGGGCTTTTAGGCTATGGCCCAAGTAATTTTCGCGGTACTGAGATGTGGCGACATCCTCCCAACTGAAATTGACGCCACCGCGCGAACCTGTTTTCCGGACAGTCGAAAGGAGGTCCATGGCTCCTCCTGCTTGTTTGTGCAATCGTGATCCTGTAGTAGTTTAAATCAGAACGCGACCTTGAAGAAAACTGCGATGAAGGCCTGCGAGTGGATGTAAAGTTGGTGGTGTGGTGTGTTGATGGGAACTTTGTTGAAGCTTGGCTGACGGCTGACGCATTCGCCAAGCATGTCCCGCGAACGCCTTGTGGGTCGAGCTCCAATCGCGGCTCAGCGTCTCCGATAAACCGCCACAGTTCTCCTTTCTCCTGTCTCGTACCGGTCTTTGCTGACCGTTATAGCCATCATCCAAATCTGGGACTGGGGCTGGACGTACTCGCCCTAGCCACCACACACGCCCACAAGTATCACTCATTTTATAAACCGTCGGCCATGGCTCTCGACCCAGCACCATACACCGGCCCACCGCTGGACGAGATCCAATGGCGCGCGCCGCCCGACTTCGACATGGGCATCCACAGCAACAGTGTGCTCTTCTATTTCGCCCAATCGCCCTTTTACGACAGGACCTCCAACAATGAGGTTCTATTTCAGCAAGGTCTAAACACCCTAACTTGACACCGTACCTCGCAACCCGCGAGCTCTTCGGGACGCCTGAAGACCATGTCTGGGCTCGAATTCGTTGTGCTCAGAACCCGCCGAGACAGGCCCGGAGCCGGTACCGGCGTGTGGGTGATCAACAAGCAGACCCGGCGGAAGCAGTCGCCCCAAGATGAGATCATCGTACACAGTTCATACTTTGTTGTTGGGGAAAACATCTACATGGCCGCGAGCTTCGCCGACATCCTCAGCTCCAGAATAGTACGCCCTGCGCGCCCCTTTTTTCATGCCCAACCCTCCCTAACCACACTCCATCATAGGCAGCGGCCTCCCCCTTACTAAACGGGATCCTCCCCAGCTCCTCCAGCGCCCAATCCTGGTCCCCCGCCCTCGGCCGCGTCTACCAAAACCCCAACACCACCCCCACCACAACAACAACCAAACACCACGAGGCCACCCCCCTCCCCGACCCCAACAAACCCACCACCACCACCGCCACCCCCACCACCAGTCAACCCTCCTCCCGGCTTATCGAAGAAGCCCTCGGCCATCCAGCACCAATTCGGCGACCACTTTCATGGACGAGAACCCCATCACCGGCAAACCAGGCGAGTTCCTGCTCGCATCAACCGGGCGCAAGGCGGTCAATCTATCAACAGCAGCGGCGCTGAACGCCAAGAAGGGGGCGCTGATGCCCATGCTGCCGACGCTCAACACCAAGCTCGGGGGCGTGGGGTCGGGCGGCGCGGGCGGCGCGGGCGGCGGCGGTGGCGGTGGCGAGAATCCCCTCTCGGCTAAGCCGACCGGCAAGGAGACTAAGAGCCCTAAGACGCCCGGGGGCGGGAGCTTGCAGAAGGGGAAGAAGCGGAAGGGCAGTAAGGCGGCCGTGACGCCGCAGTGAGGTGGGGAGGGGATTAGAAACGGGTGTCTTGTGATGTGGATGGCATTGGGAGGGGTGCTGCTATGGTTGCTATGGTTGGGATACGGGATCTCATGGGTGGGCGTTCAGGTTGTGCTTTTATGATCATTATGATACCCCGGGTTTCCTACTGCTAGGACGTAACAAAAAGGGGTTAGCGTAGTTGCGAAACAGCGATATCAATACAAAGCGCGTCTTAAAAGTATATCACTCAACACTGTGACAGTTTACTAGCGAAGTCCAGCCTGCTAATCAAATGGCAGGAAAATAACCGTCTTCATAATATTCTACCGAATTATCCCTGCCTCAATAGACATCTTATATCTTGCCGCTTGGGCTCCAACGGCCAGAAATGGGTTCGCTAGAGTGGTCAGTCCTCGATCTGTCCTGTAACCAACGCCTGGACGGACAGGCGACAGAAAAAAAAGAAGAGAATAAGTTCCTAAGACGCCTAGTTCAGAAAAAGAACAATGTAGGTGATGGTTTATAATCATTATAAGATTCATAAACAGCCTCTTGCGAGAATTCATCATGACAGGGCGCCGTTGGTGGGAAATTGAGAGAATCAAAGAAGGAAAAAAAGTATGTTCAAGAAGAACGAGAAGAGAAGAGAAATAGCGGCCGAGAAGAAAAAGAGAGAGAAGAAAGAGCGGTAAGCAAGATAATAACATACCTGCGCAGACTCCCATTAACCATCCATCTATTCGTCTACCCACCCTTTCCCCGCAACTCTCTTCTGCTTGATCTTCCGCATTGGAAGAGGCCTATTCGAATGGTCAGCTGCAAGCAGGCACTAGAGAAAACGGGGAGAAGATACATACCACCCCATACCGCCACCCGTCTCCGACCTCAAATACGGCACCACCCACACCTCCCTAGTGCTATCCGTGGCGCCCTTAACCTCCTTGACCGGCTTGCCGTAGGTAAGCAACGGGGTCCCCTTGGCAATATTCGCCAGCTCCCTCCCAGTCAAATCAGTCAAGGAGTGCATCCTCGTCTTGGGCTTCTTGCCGATGGCAGTGGCAGGGCCGGAAGGGGTAGCCCGCTGGAGGTACGCGTACGTGACGTACTCCGGGCACTCGGTGGCGCTGAGACGCGCGAGTGGCGATGACGGGTGGATGTATACCAGCCTGTCCGCCGGGTCGGCCGATCCCTCGCTGTCGAGAGGTATTAAGGGGAGGTAGGGCACGTCGATGGCGCGCTTCGGATTGCGGAACATTTCGGGTGGATTGGGCGCTTTGTCGGCGCGGATGGCGACTTGGTCGACGAAGCCCGCGGATACCATCTGTTTGAGAGCTTGGACCTGCTCCTCGGAGGGCCGTGGGAGAGTCGGAGGAAGCGTGAAATTTTCAAAACCAGTCATGTGGGTTTTGACAAGGTTGGCGAGCTGGCCCTGGAGTTGCATAATCTCCTTGAGGGCCTTGAACCGGACAAAATGGGATTCGCACCATTGTTCTGTGGGTTCGTAGGCGAACTCACCGACAACCTGGAGGATTTTCATGGCGTCGGACTTGGCGTCGAGGGAGCAGAACCTCTTGTGGGCCGCCCTGTATGATTCCCGTAGCTTTTCCTGCTTGTATTCGGCGATGACAACTTGGTCGGTGCGGTACTCTTCGGTCGTGTCCGTAGGAGCGGAGAAAATTTGGGTTTCCGATACGAATATCTCACCCGCAGACAGCCCCGCGATCATAGCGATGGTGTAAGGCAGGCAGCCGTGAAGATGCCCAACAAGCAGAATCCGTGCAAAGCGGGGGGCCAGGGGGAACCTGGACATTGTTAACCCGACCGGCGTAATGTTTCTCTCGGGCGATAGGGCCGATATATAAGTCAAAATCTTCTCAGCTTTGACAATGCTCTGTTGATCCGGCGGGGTCGGGAAAGGGAAGTTGACGATATGTTTGAGGTTCATGGACTTAAGCTGAAGCACGACAGCCTCAGCAGGTGTCCGGAGAATCTCAGGTATCGAGAACTGAGGGAAATCTCTCTCATAAACCGCTGACGAGTACAGCCTCCAGCAGTGGCCAGGGCCCGTACGGCCAGCACGTCCAGCTCTTTGGTGTGCGCTGGCCTTGCTAATCCAGTCGATCTCGAACCTCTGAACCCCGCTCACAGGATCATACTTTCGTTCTTTTGACCTGCCGCAGTCAAAGACGTAGCGAATACCAGGAATGGTCAAACTCGTCTCCGCCACGTTTGTAGCCAAAATAACTAGCCGCGAACCGTCAGGGGGTGGTTCAAAAACTCTCATCTGCTCTTTTGTCGGGAGTAGAGAGTATAGCGGTAAAATGTGCAACCGCCTCGGGCCCGTCCCCGATTCCTCGTCCTCGATCTCGAAGTCCTTCTCGTCATCTTCATCGTCCGAACCGAATTCGATCTCATCGTAGTCATCAGGACCGTTTCTGTCGTCGGAAGCCCCAAAATCGACGTCTTCCGCTTCAATGGGTACCTCACTCCCCGAGACCCTGACCTTCGGTTCCTGGGCGGGGGCCATGCCGCCGCTAAATGCAGTGTTCAACCGCTTGCTCAGCCTTTGAATCTCTTCTTGGCCCGTCAAGAAGACAAGCATGCCCCCGGGAGGCAGCTTACGGTGCCCTCTGCTGATCTTCCGGAAAGCCTCCTCAACGTAGTCATGGTGCGTCTTTTTGGCAAAGTGAAGCGTGACCTCGTGCTGGCGACCGTCGACTTGGACAAGGCGCGGTGGTGTCTTGAATAGCTTAGGATTCTGAGTGAACTCCTCGACCCTGAGTGTTGCAGACATGATGACCACCTTCAGCGGCTTCTTAGAGGGGTCTTCCTCTATCAACTTTGCCCTGAGCTTGACCACCCTGCTGAGAAGTGCGATCAGAATGTCGGTGTTGGTGCTCCGTTCGTGGGCCTCGTCAAGAATGATGACTGAGTATTTTTGAAGAGTAAAGTCCTCTGCTAGTTCACGTAGGAGAATACCGTCTGTCATAAACTTGATAGTGGTGTCGCGAGAGGCGTTCTTCTCGAACCTGATTTGGTAGGCCACCACATGGGAATGATCACCGAGCTCACGGGCTACACGCTTCGACATGCTGACCGCTGCTACCCGCCGTGGTTGTGTCACACCAATCATGCCGGGAGTCGGCCCTCCAGGTGAGCCATAACCAGCTTCGAACAGAAATTGTGGTAGCTGTGTGGTCTTTCCGGAACCGGTGTCACCACACACAACAACAATGTCATTGTTATGAATGGCCTCCATGATTTTCTGCTCCTCGGCAACAACTGGCAACTCGTAGCGAGCCTCTTGGATTTCGGCGTCTCTTGTCACAGTTACAGTGTATGCCTTTCTTGTGGTGTTTGTGGTGGGTTGCAATTCTATCGGCAGTGGGTCTTGTTCGATCGGTCGAGGGGTGAAATCTGCGGGCTTCGGTATACCCAGGGCCGTGAGATCTGAGACGACTGGCTTGTACCCCTGGGCTTCATTTCGTTGCTGATGAGCCCAGGCCTTGAATGCGGATATCCTTTCCCGCCCTTCCTCCGCAGCCTCGTCATCATTCTCAGATTCACTGTCCCCTTCCGAGCTCTCCACGTCGTCGGATGAGTTGCTCTCGCCTGAATCTGAGTCGCTTTCACCCAAGTCTGAGTCGTTTCCGGTTGAGTCTTCCTCCGGCCGTCCTCCAACGTGATCAGTAGGTGGTATCGAACCGTTAGAGAGCCCATGTTCAGACGTGCTCCCATCTTCATCGCTAAAACCATCCCACTCAGGCGAATCAGACCTCTCATCAATGGTGAAGGTGACCACGGGATGCTTTGTCTTGACCCCTCCTCGCTTCTGCCGTTTCGCAAGAACCGGGTGACCCGAGTCATCTAATTTGAGGGGTCGCTTCAAACCAGACCCGGCTATTACAGGGCCGGATAGTGTCGGCCGGTCGGGCCCAACATCTTCGGCCCCAGCCGCCGGGCCGTTATCGTCTTCATCATCAGATTCGACGGATTCCTCGTCCTCTGGTTGCTCGCTGCGGGCTCTCTTCCTAACCTGGTAGAGCAGCTGTGTGTCAGACTTCTCAAGGCCGAGGCCAGCATTCTTTTCCCTGAGGGTACGTCTTAAAGCGTCCCTCTTGGTCTCTTTCGTCTGGCCTAGGGTTTTGCTGCTGGAGAAGAGACTGGTGTCGATTTTGTTGGCGGCGAGCTTGGCGAGGAGTTCCCGATTTTCGTCCTTCTTCAGCTTGTTGTCTATGTATTTTTCGAGCCGCTTGGCCTTTTGAGCGCTGACTTTGACGCCTTGGGGTCTCAGTTCGTCACGAAGCTGAGCCTTCCTCCCATCCGCATCAGCCTGTTGTGAAGGCGTAATCTCAAGAGCATTGCTGTCCGGCTCGGGAATGTGGGAGGCATCCTGCTGCGCCTTCTGGCGGTCAAGAACTTTCCGCTTCCGTTCACGCGGAACAAATTTCTTGGGAGGCATCTTGTCGTCGGTGGCTTGGCTTGCTCCGAGTCGAAAGATGCTCAACCGAGTGCTTAATGAGAGGCCGGGATGCTACCGTATGGTTTTGATGCCACAGCTGGAAGAGGGATGGTGTAGTGAAACCAATAGGGGCCTGATAAAAGTAGGATTGAAAAATTGAAGAACTCCAGGATGCGCTCGGGTTCGTTTAGATGTGAATCGCTGGACGGCCTAGAATTGTCCACATGAGACAGGAGGATGAGGTTTGCGTATCTCGAAATGAGCGTGTCGACACGGCTGCAATGATTCCTCGGTCACTTAGAAATCAAAGTCTAGGAGAAGTAGAGCTGGGTAGGTATACAGAGACACTACTTTGCCATTATGGCCCTCCGGTCCTCAATCCCCCCGACTTTGGCATGTTCATGCTGAACCCGGAGGAATCCAAAAACTTGTCCGCCCGGCAGAATTTTGGCGCTAATGTAGAATAGCGGGGCAGATATCACAGTGCGTATCACAGTGATGTATGAGCCAGCTGCCAGCCTCAACACCAGAATACCTTACTGTTTGTATCTAGGTAAGGTACCTAATTATTGAAGAAACTATTTACTTACCTACCTTGAGCTCGACTCCTTGCATTTGCGAAGCTTCAGTTTACGATGGATGGAGACTCCGCCCGTACCGAGCCTTTCCCGGCCCCGTCAAGGAAAACAACCGGAACTGTTAATGGCATCTCAACTGAAGTCGAGTTTATCAGTTTCTCGGACAAGATCATGATTACAGTCTCCCAAAGCGGGCGTCTTGCCCAGTGGGTGAGTCTGCAAACACTTCCAAATTTCACTGGTAACTAATACCCTTGGAGATCCAAGTGCCACTCTCAGCGCCGTCATCAGCCTCCGTGGATATGGCATTGCCTGGTTTGAGCGCGCTTCCCTCGGTTCATCTAACGCCAAAGACACTTGTTGGTATGGGTGGTGAAGAACGGGAAACACTTGGCCATCTTTACGCCAGCCAGATTGCAAGTCATTTAGCTCTCCGCAATTCTGACGAGAAGAGAACATTGCTTTTGGGTTTGGGGTTGGACAGTGTTGAGGGCGGTGGAGAGGCGTTTTATGATCTGCTTGAGTTAGTGCTGCAAGTTCTTTGAAATGCACCATGAGTTCAAGTGTTGGGCCGCTCAGAGTCAGGACTTTGCCATTTTCTATGGTCTGGATTTGTTCTAAGCATAGCACCAGAAATCGTGTGCATTATTCCTGGAACTGAAGATGCCCCGAACGAGTGCGGAAGGGGTACAAAGTACCACAGGCACGAGGTAACGACACGGTGGAGTTGGAGTTGTTCACCACCAGTGAGTGATAGGTACAAGCAAAGAACCTGGCTCTACCTGGCAAATGCTTGCTCCCTCCCCTCTTAGGGTTGACATTCAATGGGGCATTTGACTATAACCCTAACCCTTTGTTAACCCTTCCCGGACCCGAGACGCTAACCCGAATTCTCGGATTACCTCAGCTTCCGCTTTCTGTGCCCACCAAAAAAATAACCCAGCCCTAAATTCCATGCGGCGGGACCCCGAAAAAGCAGACCTGCGAGCATCACCGTCGAGGAATTCGAGGCTTCATCGACACTAACCAACAGCCACCATGGTATGCCAATTGCTGCGCTTGAATGCATAGACAAATGCTGACTCTCGCAGCCTACTCGGTTTTCCAAGACAAGAAAGCACCGCGGCCATGTACGTTTTCCCCAACCTCATTTCCCTTGGCTGAAATGCTGACTTTGTGCTCTCTCAGGTGTCCGCCGGTAAGGGGTACGTCGCTACGAACCGACCGATTCAACCGAATTCCTATTGACGAAATATTTCAGGCGTGTCGGCAAGCACAGAAAGCACCCGGGTGGTCGTGGTATGGCCGGTGGTCAGGTACGGCGATTCGCGACCTCGGATCTTGATGGACGTGGGCTAACTCGACGAAAAGCACCACCACCGCACCAACCTCGATAAGTGTACGCAACAGCACCCGAAGGCAGTTTTTGGCTTGTTGGAGGAGACTCGCGAGAAATTTCGGGTTCTTACAAGCTTCAAATCTGTCGCGCCCCTAATCGAGGACACGAGCTAACAACATGGACCAGACCATCCCGGTTACTTTGGAAAGGTCGGCATGAGGCGTACGTACCAAGGCACCATCTGAACTTCTTGGTAGGACGCATGGGACTAACTCGTCGATTAGACTTCCACCTTCTCCGCAACCACGACTGGGCCCCCACCATCAACATCGAGAAGCTGTACGTCACTCACGAACCCGGGTATCATGAACATGCACTAAACTTTTTCCAGCTGGTCTCTCGTCCCCGTCGAGACTCGGGACAAGTACGTCAGCGGTGCCAAGAGCGACTCGGCCCCCGTGATCGACCTCCTGTCCCACGGCTACGCCAAGCTCCTCGGCAAGGGTGAGTACTATATCCGCTGTGAGAAGCTGTTTGCGGGAGGAATGTGGAACTAATAGTTGTCACAGGCCGTCTCCCCGAGATCCCCTTCGTCGTTCGGGCGCGGTACGTCAGCGCGGAGGCGGAGCGCAAGGTTACGGCGGCTGGTGGTGTGATCGAGCTCGTTGCTTAAGTCGGACGCAGTTACGGTTAAATCAAAGGCTAGCGATTGACATTTTCGGTTACGAGGGACAACCGGAGAGTGAGCCCAATGGGACGGATCAGACGGCCAGAACGTCGTCAGTTATGAGTGCTGGGTCCCGGAGTCATGGTTGGTTCCTTGGGGTAGTGAAAAGCACACCCCGCATTGCAGCATCAAGGGAATGGGATGTTTATTCGCATCATCTGGGGTTTCTGGCCGTCTTGTGTTCCATATCCATTTTGAGGTTTGAGCAATTGAGTTCATGGTACAGGATTACGGCCACAACTGCTGGGTGAATGGCAACCCGAGAGACTGAAGCGGGGCGGTCGATGGCACCAACACAATCTGGCGTGAAAATGAGCTGCTGATACAAAGAATCGATGCGAGGTGACGACGAGGGTCTTTTGTGTCTGGACTGATGAGGAAATAAAACTACCCTGGAATACCGGAAACACTCCCATCAGTCGAAACTACGGCGTGGCTTGGTAACAGGGAGAGAAGATCACTTATTTCCCCTTGGAAGAAGAAGTAACGAAGACTAAAGTTGGCGGCTAGGTTACTCCTCTCTACTCTCTTTGCTGTACTCGCGCCTGTCTGTTCTCGGCTGAGTTCCATGCCGTCGCCATCTTAAGGCCTTTTCTCATAACCAAACGGGACGGACATTAGATGCTGGGCTGAATTGTGGTTGAGCTTTGAGGCTTGCTAATCACGGCTCCCAGAGGCATGTATATATGTACGGGTACACAAAGGTAGCGATGTTAGCATTGCCCTGCTCTAGTGTGTCTGGTGAGACGCGCCAATCGCTCAAGCAACCAACCCAACTGCAAACATTAAACCTCCCTTCCTCCTTGTCGAAGCAGGAGCCAAGGTATGAGCCTCACATCCAGTTCCATGTTTGTTGACAACTTATCACTCCACGGCCCTGTCGAAGTGCTATTAGGTATCTTGACATTGCTCAGGATACTCTGCGACGTTCACAGTCACATTCCTAACACATCACATCAAAACAAGAACACATACACACACAGGAAAAAGAGACAGCGATACATTTGGCACCAGATACGCGCCGCCGTTATCTTGTCCGCGGGGACTCATTACTGTTGTCAAACAGCTACAAAAATAAAATAGAAAAAAAGAAAACGACAATCAGGAGAAGTCATGTCTCGCTCGCTCTCACCCAACTCGTCTGTTTTTCCTCGCTAGCCCCGTGTTCAAGACGGATGATATCTCTGTCTTGCTACTTCTTTATGCCAAAGCATGTCAAAAACCAAGGGAGGTATCCGGTGTTTGTCCTGAATAAACCACCAGGTGTAACCCGCACCGGCCACAATGTGCACCATCCCACCCCCCCTCCACCCATTTCTTCCACACCCCCGAGCACTTTGTCTCTACATCCATTGTACCCTCCCACCCGGCCACCCTCAATATTCGAACTACCTAGGCCGAGAATCCCCATTACCGTTTACGATCACTGCTAACAGCCTCGTTAGTCACGGTCTAGGAAATAAGAGTAGATACGCAGCAAAAAAAAAAAAAAAAAAAGAAAACTCACGTGCTCAACCGCCTCGACAGCGTCTGCAGCTTCTTATCCTGGTCGGCCTCGCGGGTGGCGCGCTCGAGGGCCTGGGCACGCTCCTCGTCGTGCTGCTTCTGGACCTCCTCGGAGCTCGGCGGCAACCGCTCATTTTGCAGATCGACTTTGCGGGCGTCTTCGAAGGTGCTGATGGCGTTCTTGATCCCTTCGGCGCCGAGCATGAGGGTTCCCGCAGGCAGGCGGCCGCCCGAGACCGTCTTGAGCTCGGTGACGCGCTCCGACTCCTCGCGCAGCACCTGGAACACGCGCGACAGGCGCCCGATGGCGAGGATCTTGTTCTTGATGGCCCGCCGCTTGAACTCGATCGAGTCGGGATCTTGGCTGCCCGCGCTTGCGGCGGACGGCAGGGACGGGGAGACGGGGCCCGGGGAGGTGGCCGAGGAGTCCTCGCGGAGTTCCTCCTCGGAGCACGTGCTCAGGATGGCGATGAGCATGTCGGTGATCTTCTCGCCGACGAAGGGTAGCGACCATGTGAAGACGTCCATGAAGTTGGGGAGCCAGTATGGATGCGGCGTGCAATTAAACTGCCGGATATTCATGACGTTGTTTTCGTACTTGAGCACAGCGGCCTTGTTGTTATAGACGTCGAGATAATTAGGCGCCGAGAAGATGGTCATAACACTGGGAAAACCTGTCGTACGCGTCTTACGGTACATGCGGTACCCGGCATCTTGAGCCTCGTGGGCGCGGATGATGGACAGCAAGTTGTTCTTCTCCAGGAAGTGGCAGGCGGCAGGGTACGAGAAGAAGTACGAACACCCACGCACGTGGTTGTGCAGGAAGTAGTCGGTTGTCTTCTCCTGGCCGAAATCCTCTAGAGGGTCGGCCCAGAGGATGTCGCACATTAGCCCCTGAGTCGGGGGTTCTCTGAACCGGTCGATCTACGCCAACGTTAGCTGGAGATACAAGGCTCAACATTGTGTGGGATACCAACGTTACGGAGGTCGTCGAGTGTGTGCAGCTCCGGGCTGAGGCCGCCGTGGATGCACAAGAACTGCTTGTTCATAACCGCCGCCAGCGGCAGGCAACAGAACGACTCCATGCATGCTTCGTAGATGGCCTCCGAGTACTTGTGCTTGCACTCGAGCTTGAAGGTGAAGTAGTCGGTCAAGTGGCGGCACTCGTGGTTGCCGCGCAGCAGCCAGAGCGTCTTGGGGTAGTGGATTTTGAGCGCCCACAGATAGAGCACGCACTCGATACTGAAGTACCCGCGGTCGACGTAGTCGCCCAGAAACAGGTACCTCGTCTCGGCCGGGTCACCGCCCACCTCGAACAGCTTCATCAGATCGTAGTACTGGCCGTGAACGTCGCCGCAAACGGTGATGGGGGCGTCCATCTCGAGCAGGTTGGGCTCAGCACGCAAGAGCTCGGTGCCCGTCCGAAGAATCCATAGCGCTTGCTCCTCGGTCAGGCGGCCTTCGCGGTAGAAATGCTGTTTCAAGAACTGGATATCGGGCTTCTGGTGCGTATCATCCTCAAAGAACTGCTCGTTGGTGGGCTTGTACATGGCGGGCGCTTGCACATCTAGGGGGGGGCCACAACATAAAGTCAGTCTCTAGGCGACTTGGAACCCAACGGACGGTGGGTGATGGCGTGTGGCGGGTGGGAGCATCCATACCTTTGCAGACTCGCTCCATGGTGCTGACCTGCGTCCCGTCCTCCATGGTATGGATGGTGAAGTCGATCTCGGGCAGCGGCTTCTTGTGCTGTATCGCGCGGATGGCATTGTCAACCTGCAGGTCTTTGGCATCGCGCTCATCGTGCGAGCCCATCACGTTGGCGTCCTCGGGATCCATGTTGGCGCTGGGTCTGTTTTTTTTTAACGGAGGTGAGTGTGGGAGAGGCAAGAGGAATCCTTCGGCGGGCGATGGGTTATCGGTCGGTCGGGAAAGGTTGGTTGGTTCCGTTTTCCGTTGATTGGTTTACGGTGAACGAAAGGCTGTCCCGCTGTGTCCCGCAGCGAGTGAAAATGTGTTGCCAAAGTCTTCTATGTCGCCGAACTTTTATTCGAGGCAGGTCAAGTGGTGAGAGGGCTGAATCTGTATACAGGTGGGACACCGGTGCGAAGGCCTGGTAGGGTCGAGGGACAGGTAGGGCTGAGGGTTGGGCGGCCGAGGGACGGGAGGCAACCTTTTGCAAGTCGGTATGCTGAGCAGCTCCAGGCCAGAAGCTGGGGTGGGATGAGCGGGGAGGGGTACTTGGATGTTTCACCGGTTTGCACCGAGCCAAGATGTATCTTTTGGTAAAATACGGGGCACGTGGGGTTGAGGGCTGAAGATATGGTAATTATCCGAACTCCTCTCAGGTTCAGAGGTCAGCCAGTGCCTATCACATTGAACAGGATACCCAAGGTGCTGCTACTCCGTACTTGGCTTCAACTTCAGGTAGACGAATTATTCTCTTTTTCTCTTGTGCCTCTGCCAGGATTTACTTGATTCTGCTAAAAATAGAGTTATTGAGGCCGTATTGATTTCGCCCAGTGAATGATAGAGATGAAAAGGCACAGATATGCGCAGCAACGCCGCACTCAAATCAGTTGAATCGCGGTGAGGAGGAAATGGCAGAGGTGGGGGCTGTTTTGTTTGTACCGCCTGTTCCTGTTGCTCCCCCGCCTGTTTCATCCAAGAAAAAGAGGCGCTTTCAGGGACCTCTAATCCGTTCAGGCCTCGCGAGTCTAGACCGTGCTACAATGGGTTTGTAATTCATAACGTTACATGTGGTAATTCCGTCAATTGGGCCCGCTTGTGCGACCCCTTTTCGTTTCCAAAGGTAGGGTTAGGGTCACAAGCCACCCTCATCTCTTTCTATCGAGGTACCTTGGGTATGAAACAAATTGCCCTTCAACACACTCTGAAATCCTCCTGCATCGCCGCCATAACAGACCCTTTTATGGCGCGCAGTACCCTCCGTCCACGTTGATATCTGCTCCCGTGGTATACGACGACGCATCTGACGCCAGATAAAGGTATGCACCCTTGAGCTCGTTCACTTCGCCCTCACGGCTATTGCAGGCTGTCAGCGACGAGAACGATGATATGGAAGAAGGATGAAAAATAGTAGAAGACATCAGGAGCAAAGGAATGAAAGTGGGTGGCGGGGTGGGAAAAGTGAAGAAAGCGGCACTCACCCCATCGGAATCTTGTCCTTCCACGCCCTCTTCGTATCCTCGTCACAAAACTCCGAGATGCTCGTGATGATATACCCCGGACTGACCGAGTTGGCGCGCGCAAAGCCAGTCCACTCCACCGCCAGACTCCTGCAGAGGTGAATGATAGCGGCCTTGCTCGCGTTGTACGAGGCCTGCAGCTGCGGCACATTCACAATATGGCCGCTCATACTCGCCGTCGCGATGAAGCTGCCCGTGGTAAAAGGCGGGTCAAGCGGCTTGTTGTCGACGAAATCGGTCCCCTCGCGCTTTTGCCGGCGGAAGTGCAGGCCTGCCGCCCGCGCGCTGAAGTAGGTGCCGTCGAGGTTGGTCTTGACGACGTCGGTGTACATGTCGATGGGCCCGTCGAGCATGGGGCCCTTGGTCCAAGCGACGCCCGAGTTGGCAACGAAGACGTCCAGCCGCCCGTTGAATTCCCGCACGATGGTGTTGATGGCATCTTCGACGGCGTCGTAGGCCGTGACGTTGACTTGGTAGGCTCGGCCTGTTGGGGAGGGGAGGCGGGTTGTGTGAGTCTATGTTGTCCAGCCGAGGTGGAATTGTATAAGGAAGCGTGAGGGTTTGAAACTTACACTTGACGCCATACTCCTTTTCGATTTCCGCGGCAGACTGCTCTGCCTCTTCTTTCCTCCGGTTATACCATATGGCCACGTTGGCGCCGGCTTCGGCCAGGACCTGGGCTATTCCCAATCCAATGTTGCCCGCACTGGCGCCGGACACGATGGCGGTCTTGCCCTTGAGGGAGAAGAGAGGGAAGACGCGGTCCGACTTGGGAGCCACCGTAACGTCGTGGACGAACTTTCCGTCTTTCATGTCCGCCATGTCTACGGTAGGTAGGTAGGTAATGAGTAATGGTTTCGCGAGGGCGTGGTGAGGACTGAGAAGGGACCGAATATGTCGCACAGCTCGGCTAACAGCGACAGAGGGAGGGGGAGATGTTATGCAAGGCGATGAGGTATTATTGCACTGTTAAGTAACAGCAGCTCGCAGGGACAGAGACTGAGGTAACGTCGGATACAGCACTATGACTAAAGTAACACGAGGGAAGAGCAACCAACATCGAAGGTGGGATGTCCCATGTGTTTATATACAGCCCCTCCCTCACGAGTAACACCGAGCTCAGCCGCCATCCGGGAACTATGATCAGCGCTATTTTCCCTGATTCAGGAGCGCATATACATAGAACATGAGGACCCAGCAGCGGATAGAACGCCAGGTACCGACGCGAGGGCGGCTCGAGACCGGCTCGAAACACACAGCTTGCCATTCCCGACGGGATCTTCTGGCCGAAGGAGGGGCAAGTGCGCGGTTACCCAAGGCGGATGGAGACGAACCCTTGCCCCCCTTTGAGCAGCGTGATGACATCAGTGGGGCCGAGGTGGGGCCCGGTTTGCAGTTGAGTCGGAGCTGGGAAGCCGAGGAGAGCGCCGAGGGTTTATGGGAGCGAAGGGTGATCTGAGTATCATCTTATCGAAAAGCAATGTAGAGGGGGTTCAGTCATAGAATCAAGTACCTAGTTGAGATATGATGATCCTTTTGTTGACCTAGGTGGCCGCCCATGAATACTACACAGTACAAGTACATACATTCACTTCAGCCGGAAAGACGGGAATGTCGACGGTTGGCGGGGTAGGTGGTGTGGGGGGTGGGGACTCGTTTCGGAGGAACTCATTCAGGAGAGTCGGAGCACACAGAGTTAGGAAACTCCGCAGAGAGTGCCCTCGTGCATCCCAACGAGTGTTGGACAGTTGGACGACGATGCTGTGCTTTACTTTACCCCATAACCCTAGCAATGTTCTCCTCCTCGGTGAGGTTAGTATTCCCCCACTGAGACATAAAGTCGTCCCTATTGACTGGTTGGGTGGTTGGACGTTAGCGAGGCAGACAGTAAATAAAAAAGGAGTCCTAGTCAGGCTAGGTGTGTTGTACTCACTGTACCCTCCACAGATCCTCCTCACACCTTCGAACGCATTCCGGCCATGGAGCACACGCCAGTTGTCAAAAACTGTGGTTGTTCGTGTCAGTAAGCCATAGGACTTCAAGGTAACCCACACACCTCCTCCACCGGAGGTACTCACTCAGTACGCGGCCGGGAGTCAATTGGAACCAATACTGCAACTCGGGCCGGTTGATGATTTCGTTCCACTTCCCGGCAGCCTCGTACCACTCCTCCGGGGTAATGGTACCATAAGGGACCACCCCCCTATCATCGTTATTCCATCGGATCTTGAGGATATCCCCGGCGAGGCGCTCCTCAAAGACGGGGTATTTCAAGTCCGAGGTGATCTTGATGCCCTTGTTTCCACTCGAGTGCCACGGGAGCTGGAGATAGGCTAGGAGGCGGTACATAGCCGGGCTTTCCTTGTGCATAATGCCCGCCGCGTTGTACCCGTCTAAAAGCACCGATTCGCCCCCGGTGGCACGATCCTTTCCCTCGGCAGGCTCGTGAGAGAGCATGTGGAAAGCCTGCAGGCCTGCCGGGTCCGTGAAATAGGTGGTGTCCGTGTGCAGCGCCAGTGCCTGGTTGGTGTAGGCCGTGTCGGCCATGGCGAGGTCGGGCTTGAAGTCGTAGAAGCCGCCGTAATGCGTTTGCCGGATAAAGGCGATGCGCTCGAGCAGTTTCTTCGTGTGCTCCGGGTCGTCGTACGGGGTTCCCTCAACGAAACAAAGGCCCTTCGTTCTCTGCGTGACGACGGGTTAGAGTATGAAGGCGAGCAGCTGGCCGAGGGTCACATACGAGTGTCATGGTCAATTCGGCGAGCCCAGATGATTTATCATCCATCACAGATTGATAGTTGACCGTCGGGGGATTCTTGTGCACCTCATTGCCCCAAAGCTCCGGGACCACCTTGTCAACGCGCTTGTTATGATATATGTAATAGCGAATGAACTCCCAGGTATAGGTGCTTTTGTGGCCATCAGACCCTACGAGCTGTTAGCCAAATGCCCTCGTTCATCTTTCGGGGGAACTGACATTCTACATAGATATTGTTGGCATCCGCCGTGGCATCGACGGGTTCTAGATCCTTCGGTAGCTGTGGTCTGGTAAGAACGGGCGGATCAACAAGAACACGATGGCGGCATGTCGCATATCTACCTTGAAAGTGTCAAAGCTTCGCTGCATAGTCTGCGGGTTCACGCATTTGGGACAGCGGCAGTTGTCTCTATAATCCGCCGCCCATGTGTTAGAAACATGGATAGTCTTTTGGGACCTTGGCAGGTTTTGAACTCACCGAAGCCAAATAGAGGAACTGCAAAGAGGTTGGCCAGAGTGCTACTAGACAACATGTTGATCCCACACGGCTCTGGGTAGACGTGACTACTCACAAGACCTTGCGCTGTTGTCTCGAGAATTCGAATTCCAACACTTTGGGTAAGTCCACCAGAAGCCCATGATCGAGAGGTTCCACGGTCCCCGGCCAGTAGGTAGAATCGGGGGTCTGGGCGGAGGAGTATCGCCTCGGCTGCAGTGCTATGAGCCGAGCCGCGCGTTGGTTGAGGGGTTGCCTGTTGGGCATGCATCAGTTTCCTTCCACTCTACGACGGCTTACCCCTGTAAGAAGATGAATTTGTGAGTTTGTAAGACTGACCTTGTTAGAGTACCACGCCAAGGGAGGGCTGGTCGCAAGGCACGAAAGAGCTTCATCTTGTGTAGTGTTATCGTTGTTAACGGCAGCCTTTGAGGGTGAGGGCGAGGCCGAGGTCGAGGCTTATGGTAGATGTAAAAACACTATCATCTGATGGCTGTATGCTGCGGGTGATGAGAACCCAGTAAAAATAACAAATTGCCTGCAGGAACTGGGAACAGGCCCGAAAATATGCGCTGCAACTGCACGCCAAGACTCCGGGGATGGATCTATCGAATGACCTCGGCAGATCGAAGTCAATGAGGCATGTTTTTGTGAATAACTAAAACAACAGACTTCCAACTCCTTGAGTAAATGGCTCAAACCGTGGAGTTAGGGTTATTGCATAGGGAGGCTCCTCCAGTTGATGGCATTATGAATGAAGTATTTGATTACCACACCGTTAATACAAGAGCCAAAAAACATCTTTACACAGCTGAAGGACCCTCTTGCAGATTCCAAAGCAAACTTATATAACTCCTTCAAAACCATAACTAGTTAGTCCTTCTAGTCCGAACCAAATCATCCACGAGTTAACCCTCCGCCCACAATCCCCCCTTTTAAACTTACACCCCACTCAGCGCCCAAACCACTACCCGCCAAACCCGAACCTACCCCAAAACGAACCGCCCGATTTTCCATACCAATCCGGCTTGCCTGGGGACAGAAGAACCGTATTCCACGCCTCCTCCCCATCGATATATAGCCGGTATTTTAGGCTGCTCTGTTCGCCGCCCTCCAGATTCTCAATGGTAATGGCCCCAAACTTGGAGTTACCCTTATGGATGTACCTAGAAAGAAACAACCAGTCAGCAAACACAATACCTCGCCATCCACCACCCATCGTAGGGCCAACCTCCAAGAGAGAGAGAGGGAGGGTGGGGGGGGGAGAAAGACTCACTTCACCATGACATCATCGTCATCCTTCTGGCGGTACGTCCCAAACGGCGAATAGAACTGACTCAGCGGGCTGACCGAGAACTCCCACACCGCAGCGTCCTCCCGCCACCTGCGCGTATCCTCCTCCGGCGGCGGGAACTTTGTCGCGGCGAACTCATGACGGTCGCCCGACAGGACGACGACGCCGACGCCAGTGTTGGACGCGACGTCCCACATGGCCTGCAGCACCTGGGCGCGCTCCTCGAGGAAGCCGCCCCACGTGTCCTGGCGGTTGACGGGCCAGTTCTTGGTGAAGGGCACCGAGGACGCCACGATCTTCCACTTGACGCCCTTGGGCTCCGGCCGCCGCAACCACGAGAGGAAGTCGGCCAGCTGGCCCTCGCCGAGCATGGTCTTGCCGGCGCCCGTGCCGGGGAGGTCGTTGGGGGATCGGAAGGTCCGCGTGTCGAGGAGGAAGAAACTGGCCGGCCCCTGCGTGAACTCGAAATAGGTCGCGTTCGGGCGGGGCTTGGACGAGCCGACTTTCTTGGCCGGAGGCGGGTTGGCCGCGGCTTGGTAGTGGTGGAAGGGGTCGATTGCGGATTGGTAGACGCCCGTTGAGTTGGCGGACCAGTCGTTAGCAATCTCGTGGTCGTCAATCACGTGGATCCAGCTGAGGTTCTGGCCGACCGAGGGCCAGTCCGGGGAGGCGTAGATCTGGCGGTATTTCTCGCGGTAGTAGGCGGCCGACTTGTCCCAGTAGCGTGGGACGTCGGCGTAGATGAAATCGCCGAGGAATAGCATAAACTGGGCGTTCAGGGTGGGGAGAACCCTGGCGAGGTGCTTAAAACCCGGAATGGCGAGCGGGTGGTCAAAGGGGTTGTACGGGAGGCGGGGCACGATGCAGGAGGTCGACAAGAAGGTAAAGGGTCCGGCGTCGGTCTCCACGGCACGGCCGATAGGTTGAGGTGTGGTGAACTCACCAGAGTGGTTGTTCGAGGTACGCCACTGGTAGGTCCGCCTTTGTGAATGCCGCAGGGGGATGGAGAGTACCGCGGTGTAGTCCGTTTCATTGTTTGTCCACTTCACGCCGCCGGCATTCTGCCACGTCGGGTTGTCGAACGGAGGGTGCGGGTCCTTGATGTGAACCTCCACGGTGATGGGCATTTTGGATTGATCGGGCTCCCGGATCACCAGCTTGGCCTCGGTCTCGGACACATATCCCAGCCGGGCAAAGGACAGGTCATGGGCGCTGTAAGCGCGTTCCCGGAACAGACGGTCGGCGACCAGGCTTACGCAAAGACCGTTGATGAAGAGCGTGGCAAGTGACAGGCCCAGACTCCGCGGGTTAGGTGCACCGCTCAACAACGTCTTCCAGGGGCCAAGCGGCCGATCCTCGAGCGAAAGAGTTTCCTTAATGGCAACATCCTCTGCAACAACTTCCTTGTCGCCGTTGGTGGGTCTGTCATTGCTGCTTTCGGGAGCATCACCATCCCCATCCTCCACAACTGTCTCGGTTACGAGCACGTCTACCTCATCGACCAAGTCGTACTTGGGCTCGTTCTTGTAACTGGAGATAAATGTAGGGATGTAGACGGCAAAAAGGGTGAAGATGATGGCAGGAGCGATCTCCTAGGTGTCAGTCCAAGGCCCCCTCCGATTCAGTGGAAGCATGTGTGTGTATACTCACAGGCACCAGTGCCTGAGACTTTGGCATTAGCATTAGATTCACAAGCCATCAAGAACTAGCCAACTTACCCATCGCAGAAAAATGTAGGACAACGCCCGCAGCCCAATCGAGGCCGCGGTTGCGACCTTTGTCTGCGTTATCGCCATGCTGGCAATCTCGACTTCGACACGTACAACACAAACAGGATTCGAGGTCAATATCAATTCGTTATCAGCTTCGAGATCAAGGGACCATGGTGTTGTTTAAAAAGAGGTCTCAGATGAAATGGCGAAAAGCGGGAAATGACATTAATGCGCAATCAGTGTATCAAAGAAAGAAAGGTGCTTTGATTAACAGCAGCCTGCAGCTCGAGACCGCTTGTCTGATTCCAGCGAGAGCAAACAATTCTCACTGGAGCTTGACGCAACCCGGCAGTTGCTCAAAGTCGCTGATGTCACTGGCCGGAAACAGCTCCCGCTTCTTGAGGTTCGACGAATCGGCGGCCAAACAAAGGGGGAAAGAAAGCTCCGCTTAAGTGGGCTCGCTTAGCTTGCTGGCTTGGTCCAGGCTCAGGGGCCCGCCAGGGTTTGCAGAATTTCGAAGTGGAGCGGGACGGGACCTGATTGTTCCGTACATAATTACAGTGGGGACTGAGCCAAGAGCCAAGCCCAGCCTTTCAGCATTGGATCCGTGTCTTTTGATGGTCGACGCCGCGACTCGTGAGCTGTCCTGAAGAGCGCTTCAAAACCCAACCCGCCGACGCAATCCCACAACTCTGCCCGTGATGCAGCTGCCGCTACTCTCGTACGGTCTCTGGGCCCTGTTGGCCGTCCAGGCGACGGCGACAGCCCTAACGTACAAGCTCAACGCGAACGAGGAGGCCTGCTTCTACACGGTGTCACAGCAAAAGGACGAGAAGATCGCATTCTACTTTGCCGTACGTTCATCGAACCGGTGGCTCAATCGATTTTTACCATAAATCCCTAGCGCAGCCAAATGCTGAAACTCTTTCTTGCAGGTGCAATCCGGTGGCTCATTCGATATCAACTACCGCGTGACCGGACCGAACGATAAATACATCTTGGATGGCGAGAAGGAGCGGCAAGGCGACTTTGTCTTCACCGCAAAGGAGGTCGGCGAGTACAAGTTTTGTTTCAACAATGAGATGAGCACCTACACGGAGAAGTTTGTCGACTTCGAGATTGCGGTAAGCACAACCTCCTGAGTATCCCAGCATCATTGTGTTCCCGAGGTACTAACGGACAACTTTTCAGGTCGAGAACGAGGCTCGCGTCAGCCTTCCTTCGAAGCAGGGCGCCTCCCCTGAGCAGACCTCGTCGCTCGAGGAGTCACTGTTCAAGATCTCGGGCCAGATGTCGACCATCACCCGCAACCAGAAATACTTCCGCACCCGCGAGAACCGCAACTTCAGCACGGTCCGCAGCACAGAGGGGAGGATTGTCAACTTCAGCTTGATTCAGATCGCGCTGGTTGTCTGCATGGGCGCTCTCCAGGTCTTCATCGTCCGGTTCTTCTTCCAGGGCGCGCGGAAGGGCTACGTATGAAGCGGTGGCCGTCTCACATGCTATTTTATGGAACTCGTTGGTTTGGTGGGCGTAATTTTGCGAACTGGGCATGTCTTGCATGAAAAATTTATGTATCATCAGGGATGGCTCATGGTTTAACGAGGGACGGCTCAGGTAGTGTCTTGTTGTGTTGTTTCGGCGTGATTACTGGGTTTGCGCGTGTAGATGGCACTAGCCATTAGATCAAAAAGAGGTCTACGGCTGGCATCAAGAGCAATTTACACTTACCTTGGAACTGGAGCGACGAACATTCACACAGTAGTTATGTGTTCATGTGGCCCTGACTGAGCTCAGGGGTTCGCTGGTTATTATGTATGGACAGCGGGCCGTTACAGCTGCCAGTCAATGCGCGGCTAGCGATAAGCCACAGGGCCGATAAGTGACCTTTGCCGCTCCACTCTGCCCAGCCACTGCCGCGATGCCTGCAACTTTTCTAGAACAAGGTCCCCACTGCGAACCGTCATCTCCAACTCCAACAGCTCGTTACCGACACCAGCTAGCAGCCATGACATCGATAGCAACAAGCCTCGCGCGGGCTCTCCCAAAGCCCCAACATAGTTCGGAGCACGAAGAACAACGAACACAGCAGCGCGGGCCGCGGATTGTCGCCGCCGACCAGATTGACGAAACACAAATCGTCTTGAAGGTTAGTTGCACGTTACCATTCCCATTCCACAAAACAGTGGATTGACTGTCGCTTCCTTAACAGAGATCCGGCCCACCTCCCTATCCCAACCGATCAGGCTGGCGCCCGCGCGCGCCCGAGGACTTTGGCGATGGCGGCGCGTTCCCCGAGATCCCCGTCGCGCAATACCCCTGGGGCAAGAACGACGGCTCATCCAAGTCGAACGCGTTAGTCGTGCAGGTCGATGAGGAGGGGAAGGTTGACTACGGCGCCATCGCGCGCCAGGGCCACAGCAGCGACCGAATCATCCACGCGTCGTTCAAGGACCTGATCCCCCTGCGGCAGCGCGCCGAGGCGGGCGATCTGGATTTGTCGCGCCCCAGCCAGCAGGAGGTCACCGAGACGGCCGAGCGGACAAAGAATGCGCTGGCTGCGCTGGTCAGTGGCGCGCTGGCGGCGCAGAAGCCGAAGAATGTGAATACCGGCGGGAGGAGGGATCCGACGTTCGTGCGGTACACGCCATCGGCGCAGATGGGGGACAATTCCAAGAAGCAAGACCGGATCATGAAGATTGTGGAGAGGCAAAAGGGTATGTTCTGTCTGGGCTCATTGAGGTTGCTGTGCTTGGCTGACCTGTGCCAGATCCAATGGAGCCGCCCAAGTTCAAACACAAGAAGATTCCAAGAGGACCACCCACTCCGCCCCCACCAGTACGTCTAGCTGTACCCCCTGCATTTTCTGAAGGTTGGAGTACTAATTTGAATGCAGGTGATGCATTCCCCGCCGAGGAAACTCACTGCTGAAGACCAAGAGGCATGGCGCATCCGTAAGTGGTCTCACCAACACTCGGTGTAAAGATCATATGCTAATAGGCCCTAGCACCCCCGGTGTCTATGTGGAAGAACTCCAAGGGCTTCACAATCCCTCTTGATAAGAGAGTCGCCGCCGACGGCCGCGGGCTACAAGACGTCCAGATCAACGATAAGTTCGCCCAGTTTTCGGAAGCGCTATTCATGGCCGACAGACACGCCCGGGAAGAGGTCCGGCAGCGAGCAATGATGCAACAAAGGTTAGCAGAGAAGGAGCGAGCACAGAAGGAGGATCACCTCCGCCAACTCGCCCAACAAGCACGAGCCGAAAAGGCAGGAGGTGGCAGTAGGCGACGATCTCGTTCCCGCTCCGGCTCGTACAGCGGCTCCGAATCGCGCTCCGACTCGGAAGACTCGGAGTACGAGCGTCGAGCAGCGCGCAAGGACAAACTACGCGACGAAGAGCGCAAACTACGACAGTCGCGCATGGGTGCCGAGCGGCGCGCCCAGGTCATGGCACGGGAGATGGATCGCGACATCTCGGAAAAGATTGCGCTCGGCCTCGCCAAGCCCACCCAATCCAAGGAAGGCATGTACGACTCACGCCTGTTCAACCAGTCGAGCGGCTTCGACAGCGGCTTCAACGAGGACAATCCCTACGACAAGCCGTTGTTCGCGGCGCAGGACGCCATCAGCAGCATCTACCGGCCGCGGGCCAACGCCGAGGACGACGATGACGAGGGGGCGGGCGACCAGGAGATGGCGCGCATCCAGAAGGGGAGCCGGTTCGGCGAGGCGCTGGGGAGGGGCACGTTCAAGGGGACGGAGGAGGCCGAGGTCAGGGAGGGCCCCGTGCAGTTTGAGAAGGACACGGCAGATCCGTTTAACGTGGATAAGTTTTTGTCTGAGGTGCAGCAGGAGGCTACGGCGGCGGCGTCTTCGTCGAAGCGGGGGTATGGGCTGCGGGATGAGGAGGACGCGAGGAAATCGAAGAGGAGCCGGGTTGATGACGATGATGATGATGAACAGTGAGGTTCAGTCGAATAAGGCGGGAGGGGGTGGGGGCGATGTTGAGATGGATATATATATCAATTGGGACAGGAGCTGATGGTTGTTTGAGACCAGCGAATAATAATGCCAAACGGCCGCTTGGTCGACATGCCTTGTAAGGCCGGCGCGCGCTCTGGCGTCATGACGGCGAAGTGACCGTTCCCGATACGCTTCGATTGGGCGTATCGCTTGCTCCGTATCACTTTCTCAATGGGAAGGGTGCATTCCCAGTGGGTCAAGGCCGCGTCACTCGTCTGGTCCCTTTTCGAGAGCATCTGGCCCCATTTTCATTGCCGAGACAACCGTTGGCGAGAGATTATTTTGCACCTCAACCGAGCCAGGCCCCCATCGCTGGATATGCAGGGGCCGTGTGCAAATCCTCGCCACCGGGAAAAATGGACACAACAGGAAGCACGCACACTCAACACAGTATCATGCACTACATCCGTGTGGTAGGAAACTTGCATGCCATTCCATTCCATGCATCATCCTCTGCGTGGTCTGAGTGCCATCAGCCTGGTAGGGCCGACTTTGGCTCAGCCCCCCCTTCCCACCCCCCCAACACCCGGGTCGTTGGTTATATCTCGGCGGCTGTCGTGCGGGTTCTGCCCTATGGCATCTCCGTTGGAAAGAGATGGCGAGCGGGATGGAAATTAGGTTTGGGGGCCGTAGCCCCGGAATACGAGAATGGAAGTAATGCGTGCATGAATGACTGGGCTTGTTCCCTCCTGTCCCGGTCTGTGGGTTGGGCTGTTGTGTGGGTTGCAGATGACGGGCTGCAGGAATGTATATGTGCTGTGACCGCCCAACGATGCGTTTTGGTTGTCTGTCGTCAGTTCTGGCCGGCTGTCCCTACGGATATAAGACACGGCGCATCGTCATGAAGCCTTGTCGTCTCGCTTAATCAAAACCCTTTGCTCTCTCTACACCCATACACACACTCTCTCTCTCACACTCACACACAATGGGGCGGAGTGATTTTGCTGTATCGACTTATGACGCGGGCGGCTCGTCGGATTCCGGTTCGGCCTGGAATCCCAAAAACTGGACGAGGAGGATATGGCTGATTATAGCCACGGTGATTGTTTTGATTGTGGTGGTTATCGTCGGAGCCGTTGTCGGCGTGAGAGCCACAAGGGACAATAACGGTGGCAACAACAGCTATCCCGACTATTTCAAGTTGAACTACACGTTGATTGACACTTGTGAGTCAGGCTGGATATGGTTATTGTTTGAGATACACTCAGGGGTAGTCACTGAGGCTGACTTCATAGACTCGGGCACATCCTTCTTTGACAAGTTCAACTACTTCAATACTTATGACCCAGGTATGCCATCCTTGAGCAACTTCTGTTCTCCCACGACTAACAATAGCGCCTTCAGCCGGTGGTTTTGTTCACTATGTCGACCCATCCTACGCCGGCCAATACGTAGGCGGACTTCTCACCCCATCCCCTACCCTCCTGTTGTTGACTAACGGCGATAGAACCTCACCTATGCAACACCCTCCACCGCTCTCATCCGAGTTGACACCACCGTCGGCCCCGGCTCAGAACCCGACGCCTCCACCGGCCGCTTCTCCGTCCGCCTCGAGTCCAAAGCCCAGTACGGGCCCGGGCTCTTCCTCTTCGACGTCAAGCACACCCCCTACGGGTGCGGCACATGGCCAGCTCTTTGGCTGACAGAGTACGCAACCAACCCTCCCCTCCCCTCCCGTTTCCCAACATCAAATACCTAACACACCCCCCCCCTACCCACAGCCCCGCCAACTGGCCCACCAACGGCGAAATCGACATCATGGAAGCCGTCAACGGCGCGACCTCCGGCAACCTGGTCGCACTACACACGACCGACGACTGCAGCATGGGCGACATCCAGCGGCAGATGGCGGGCACCGCGGGCCAGGGCGACTGCCACAACGCGACCAACTCCAACACGGGGTGCACCGTGACGGGGCCCGGCGCGACGTACGGCCCCGAGTTTAACAAGGCCGGTGGCGGGGTGGTGGCGTTGGAGTGGAGGAACGAGGGGATTCGCGTGTGGGTGTTTGGGCGGGAGGGGAGTGGGGGGGTGAGGAGTCTGCCGGTTGGGACGTCGCCGGATCCGAGTGCGTGGGGGAGGCCGTTGGCGGATTTCCCGGCGACGAATTGTGATATGGGGAGGCACTTTCGGAATCAGAGTATTGTGGTCAATATTGATCTGTGTGGGTATTTGACGGAGGCTGTGTGGGAGTCGTCTGGGTGTAAGTGGTTACCCTTGAAGTGTTGTTTGGTTGAGCATATGACTGACATTGGATAGGCCCTTCGACTTGTACGGATTATGTCGCCAACAATCCTTTGGCTTTCGGGAATGCGTTTTGGGAGTTTGGGGCTTTCCAGGTTTTTGAGGCACGGTAATTCGGAACAGAACAAAAAGGAAAAGAGGAGGTTTGAGTGTTTGGTAGTTGTGGTATTCACCAACAAATTGCAATACTCGAGTTTTACGGGATTCAACCAACCTACATTTGTGCTTCAACAGACCCCTATTTGTTGCCCCTTTGTATATGCGGTGTTATATCTCATTCCCCAGCTGCCATCCACCCGTATTGTGATGAAATTAAGCGGAGTTCTTCGCGCCGTGTCGTATATCTGTCAGATCACATCTATACATCCATCCATCCCTCTGGATATCCCTTGCCCCAAGGTCTATACAAGCAAACCCCCCAAACGCCAGTGCCATGGACAACACAACCAACCCTTCTCGTCCAGCACCCCAGCCAGATCAAGAGCATGGACAAACAATATCATACAACACCACCCAACCCCCCTTTTTAATCCTCATCCTTCGGCATCCGCATCCACGCATCAATCGCAGCACTAAACGCCGCAAATCCCGCACAGCCCACCGCCGAGGCCTGCGGCCCCCCATTACGAGCCAGGATCGCACCGGTCAGACACCCAGCGGCGACGCCATTGCCCAGATCGTTCTTAGCGCGCAGCCCCTCGATGCCGCACTCGATGCCGCTGAAGAGGGCGCCGACGGCGCCAAAGTTCTTGGCCGTGCTCCACGAGCGCGCGCCCATGTCCTTGAACCCGTGCGCCACCTGCTGCCGCAGCGGCAGCGACGTGAACGGCTTGCCCGCCGCAGCCGACCCGGGGATGCCGGGCACGCCGGGGGCGCCGGGCATCCCCGCCCCCGCTGTGTGGTAGGGCGTGTCGTAGGCCATCTGTTGGTTTGGTGCCCGAGTTAGTAACCTTCGAATCAAAATAAACGGAAAGGGGTAGCAGCAGGGGAAAGAGAGGACCGACTCACCGAAGCCATAAACAAGCCGAATAACCCACCCAGCGCAAACCCCGCAACACCACTCATCGCCGTCTTCGCGTAGCACGATTCCATCGCATTCGAGAGCTACAACCACGCCCCAAACCGTCAGCAAACCCAGTCCCCCAACATAAAAAAAAACCACGCGCGGGGAAAAGAGCGAGGGACGGCCACATACCCATTTAACATTAGGATCGTTGGGGTCAAACCCGGGGGGAGCAGGCGCCCCCGCGTTCCCGCCCACCCTCGGGATGCCCGGGACGCCGGGGCCGGCGCCCACACCGCCGCCGCCGCCGCCGCCTAGCCCTCCGAGACCTGGGAAGTTCATGGCGGTTTAACTAATGTGTGGTTCGTCTTTCTGTCGAACGTCCGCTTTCGCTCGTATGGATAATCGGCGGCTGGTGGGGTACTGTCGTAGATCGGGTGTGCGCCCCCGTACGGTGATGCTCGGATAGAAGCGACAAGGGTCGCCGTTACGTTGGGCTAGAGGAAGTCGTCGTCGTTGTCGCGCCGGCAAGGCAATGGATGAATGGGTTCAATGTTGAGGCTATCTGCTGGTGGGGCCTGGCAAAAAGTTCCTTATCGGTGCAGGGATCAATTTTGCTGGTTGCCACCGCCTGATCTTGGCGGAGGTAAGTTACGCCAAACATACCAGTACTGTGTATCGCCAAGATGGAGAGCGGTACCATTGTAAGTTACGAAGCCCATGAAGTTTCCGCCAGCAACACCTGTCATGCACCTAAACAACATGGGTATCGTCATGCAGGGCGAGGCAGCAAAACACACAAGCAACACGAGCCCGATGCCAAATCATACATCCCTTTTCCTCCTGGCTATTGCCGAAAGCCCTCTCTCCCTTCCCCTGGCTTGCTCGGCCCTTCACCTCCTCCCTCCTGCCATGCTTTGCCATGCCATCTACGTGAAACGCAGCATATCAAGAGGTCGAGTTTCCTCTGTCGCCAGCTCCTAGCGCAAGCAATGGAAAACGGAAGAAACCAAAAAATAACAACTACCAACATGAACGATATGCCTGCATCTCCAAGGCCACCGCTTTTGCCTAAACGACCAACCCGCTGCCGGGCGCCATGACAAAGGATACACACGCGGGAAGCCGTAACCGCCAAAAGAATAATGCATACCCTCCCTGAGAATGCCTAGCCCTTGAGAAACAGGTCTCCAGCGCCGTTCCTTACCGACCTCGTCCGGTCGGGGTGATCTAAGGCAAGGGAGTCGTCCGCACCCGTTGCCACTTCCCAGACGATGTCATCTGCGTAGCCGAGTCAGTTTTTGGTGTGTGTGTGTGTGTGTTCAGGCCAGGAGGGATGCTCACCATCTGTCAAGTATTGGGGTCGTGAGAACTGCGCCCTTCGGACTAGAGAAAACTTGATCTTCTCAAAGCTCTTGCCCTTCAGCCCCGTGCGCTTCTCGAGCCGCTTCTTCGTTTCTGAAAACGGCTCGCCTTCCTTGAGAAGGAACCGGAACGGGATGCCATGCGCCCTGCTAGGTTCGCTATGGTACTGGAACACCGAGATGAACTGCGACTGGTCCGTGACTTCGACGTCTTCCGTCGGTATCCGCTCGGCGATGACGGTCGTGTAGTCGTTGATGCTAATGACGGGATAGCTTCGGTCGAGTTCCCGGAAGAACTTGTGGTTGCTGATTTCGTAGACCCGGATCGGCCCTGCTTCTGCTTCGCTAGGGATCTTTGCCTTCTTAGTCAAACAGTCGATGAGGTCTTCCACCTGACCGTTCTTGGGCACAAGGATATCAAATTGCTCCTGGAATCAAAGTTAGCCGGATCCCGCCCTCAACCCATTTCCCTGACTCACCTCTTTGGTGATACCCTCGCTGAGGAGCGTGAGCTTGATGTTCTTTTTGGTGTCTAGCTCGGCAAGACTCATGTCTAGCACCTCGAAAAACAGGGCGTCGCTCCGTTGGTTCATGTTCAACTGGCCGTAGCCTGCGGGTACGAGAATGTTTTGGAGGGTCTGGTTCTGGCCACGCTTAACTGCGGCCCTTGGGTTATTTGAGCTGGCATTGACCGTGTAGAATCGGAGATGCGTTGCTTCTATCCCCAATTTCTCGGCTACTTGTTCCGACAACTTGTCGTAGCTCATCTTGGAGTTCAGGACCAGCTCAAACGGCGGGTACGCGTCGGGGTCGCATTTCTGAGGATGCGCGCGAAACATGACGGTGCGCTTGTTGAGAAGGAAATCGTAGTATTCACGAGCGTCCTCAGCCCGGTCCAGCGATTTCCTACCGAGTCATCAGTTACACGTCTCAAAGTGGATCAAATGCTTTGCAACGTACGCTTCCTCGGACGGCTGCTTATCGCTCCCCCCAGTGAGGCTCAGTTTCGACTTCTTCTCGTGAACCCGTTGGAAGCAAACGATATCACCATCTTGGAGCTCTGCCGCTTTAAGAGACTGTTTGCCTTTGAGGCCCTCAATCATGTTAGGTTTGATTTCCTGTCAATGTTAGCTTCCTTGGCTACCTTCCGTGGTAGATTCACGAATCATTATGCTCACCTCCCAGAGTTGGATCCGCTCGTCGCTCGGCAGCTTGTCCCAGCTCATCTTCTTCATAATGGTGGGGATGAGCTCCTCCACCTTCTTCTCCTTGCTGATGTACACATGACCGACGCCTTTCAGCGCTTGCGCCTCGGCATCAAACCATTTGAGGAAAAGCAGAATGAGGTCATTCTTCACGACAACCCCGTTGGCAAGTCCGGGGCCGTATGTCGGCCACACAGCGGCGCCCTCGGCGTCGACTTCCTCGGCCACCTCGACCCACACGCGGAGTGCTTGGTCCCTGTGCGCCGCTGCTCTGTTGTAGGTTTCCTCGACGGTCGGACGAAGGTCCATCACAGGTTGATCTGGCCGGATTGTTTTATTCTGGCGGTTCACCATAATCCAGAGCCTCACACGTTTCGGATCTTGTTCAATATCCGCCGCAATCTGGTCAACTAGCTCTTGCATGGTAGCTGTGCGTAGGAAGCGGTAGAGCCTAGGCGCAGCCGAGTCCTCGTCTGGCGTCGCGTCAAAGCTAGCAAGGTCGGTGTTGCCGTGTTGCTGGAATGTCGCTTCAGTGATGGCTTTGACACCAAGGTAAAGATGCTGTTCTTCCCTCTCCTTACGCCGCGCCTCCCGGGCGACATATTCTTCCTCAAATCGCCGATCTTAAGATGAGGTTAGCATCGCCAAATGTCTGTCGGTCGTTCTGTGGAGGAATCGCAACTTACGGAGATGTCCTGGAGTGTCCTCTGCCGCGACAGGGCAGAGTACGCTGTCGAGTCTGGATTTTCGGATGTATACCAACATGTACGCACTATTAGGCCTCATGACCGGTCCCTTTTTGTTGCTGAGCGGCCGCACCTGGCCGGTAGGGAACTTGAACGGGCCGCCAAAATTCTCCTCCAGTACCTCCCGCTTGGTGGCCTTGGTGACCTTGTCGTCGTCGTACTTGTACCACCAGCCCTCCTTGTCCGGCTTGAGGAAGGCGTAGTAATGGCCGGCGTTGAGGTCGCCGCTGTGTACCAAAACGCCGTGTAGCTGGTACTCCCAGGACTCTGACCTGTCCGCCTCTTTGTCCAAGTAAAGCGAGGCGTCGAACTCCTCAGGAAACTCGTAGCGGTCGTTGATTTTCATCATAGCGTCGCGTTGGATGTCGTACTCGAAGCGCTTCAGCTGCAGGTGCAAGACGTCGGGGAAGCCTTGGAAGATGACGCCCTTGTTTGCGTCCTGGAGCTTGTATTGGTCGCCGGCAAAGTACTGGTTCTCTCCGTCGAGCTTCTCCACCTGGATGTAGTCCTGGAAGCTCTCCAGCAAATTCTCATTCCCACTCACGTTGAGCTGGACGTCCCAGAAGTCCTCAATCCGGCTCGACTCGTAGGGGACATTGATGCAAGAGATGTACGTCTTGATCTTGCCGCTGAACATCTGCGGTAGCGCCTTCTCGAACTCGGTGCCCTTCATCTTCTCTTCCATACGCTCCATAAGCTTCCGGGAGAGTTCCTGCACGTCCTGCTGCTCGAAAATGTGGCGTGTTTCCCAGCCAAAGGATTTGGTGAGCTCGGCGGTGCCCACGGCCGAGGTGGATGTCTGCAATTGATAGAAAAGCCTTTGCAATGTGTAAGCACTGTTGGTCATGCTTTCCTCTTCTTCTGTAGGGATACGATAAATGGCCTATCCAATGTTAGTCAGACGGCCTCGTCAAGGTTTGGAATTGGCACATGGTGGGTTACCTTGCGGAAGGCGTTGGTGAAATATAATGATTGCAAAAGGGAGTTCAAGTAGCAGGTGGCTCCTTGGTTCTTGAGACCGACGTAGCCAGTTTCCTTTTTCGAGTCGTAGTTGTTGAAGTTGTGCCACAGCACGCCTGTCTCATCCTCAACAACCCGAACGTATGCGCTGATGTTGGCGCAGTCGTTCTCGATGAGGGGTCGGTCCGCAGTCTCCCAGACGGGGTTGAACATCTTGCGTGTCTCGAGGAACCTCGTGAACCCCCAGTCGCTCTCCTCCTTTGTGAAACGGTGATGGGCGGAGTGTTGGAAGTAGATATTGGGGTGGTTCTTGTTCCACATCACGAGCGCGAACTGCACGCAACAGCTCCAGTCGTCGGGGACGTTGTTCACATCGAAGCCGTGTTCGAGGTAGATAGAGCACTGCTCGGGCACATTATTACCAAACGGGAAGAGCAGGATCCGCCTGCGCTGCTAGGTCAGTGACTCTGCATCAGATAGGCAAAGAGGTGCAATGGGAATCTTGCGTACCATGGATAACCACCGGCTTGGAATATGGGCCCATGTTCCTTCTTAGAAAGCGCCCGCCATCCTTCCACGGACCACGTGTGGACCTGGTCGTCTATGGTTCGAGGTTCCTCTACCAGGGGCGGAAGCACAAGCTCTTTCATGGCCTCATCTATGGCGAGTTAGCGTGCGGGACCGTCGACGGCATAAACCAGAGGACATACGGTCGGTTGCCAGGAGGGGGCTGTCGGTGTCCATAGCGTCGGGGTTGATGATGGCGACGTCTTCAGCCTCGGTGCCATTCGCCTCGACGACATGCTCCTCCGGCGCATCAACCATCGTGGTATTAGGCGACGCGGCCTCGGGGTTCTGGTTGTCATCCTGAAGGTTAAGGTTAGCGAGGGCACCGGTTGGCGGGGTAGCGCCTGCCATGTTGTCGATCGGAGGGGAGGTTTGCAACGCCAGTCTCGGCGCCAATGGTTGACGAGAAAAAGGTGGAAGGCAGGTATTGACGGGTATATGGGGTAGGTAGAGGAGCCAAATAATCGTGGAGAAAGTGGTGGGTCAAAAAGAAGTTCTCTGGCGAAGGAACTCACCATCCTGTGGAGGGGCCGTGTCTGGAAGGCAGAAGCCGTTGATGGCGGGCCAAGTCAAAGCTTCCTCCTGCACACTGAAGCGGGCGCCAGGGCCACGGTCGGGCGATCCGGCAACGAATTTGAGGGGCAAATAAGGTAAAGAATGTTTGTAAAAAATAGGCTGTGCGGTCCCTAGGATTCTAGCAAACTTCTGCTGTGGCAACGACAACAGAAGGTGTGCAGCGAAGGGGAGAGCAGTCAGCAGCAACAAAGTTTAGTAGGGAGGTATGGATGTGAGATGGTGCAAAGGGAACTTGAACTGAAGCACTGCACCACTTTCTGTCGCCCCAGTATTACAACCGGGCGCAGCAGACGGCCTTTGGCTCTCGAGCGTCGTACAATTGACATGTGGGTATCTCAAGGCTCGGCAGGTCAGCGGGTACCTCTTTCTCTGCGCAAATCAGACGGCGGTGGCAAAGGGTTCAGGGTACCTCTCTAACGCATTGCATGGAAAAACGACCGACACCACAAACAACCCTTGCCCCTCCAATGACGTGGGGTGCAAAGAGACCATGCGACCACAGTGACCTAATCGGACTTGATTGAACAAGAACTGAACATTGGGCTGAATGATGCCTTCAAGCCCTATCAATACTGCCGATTGTGAGAAATGGCTTGATAAAAGCCCAGCGTTGAGATGAAATGTATTGGTTACTGACCTCGGTATTTACCTGGTTAGGTATGCACTGTGAAGAGGTTGTTTCCATCTCGCCTGTGAAGCAAGGCGAGCAGAGTAGTCAACGTGACAACATAGATGCTAAGGTAAATAAACGGGTCTTCAAAAGTATGTATCAATGCAAAGGTAAATAACTGATTCTTTCTTAGGATAGTTTTAGCTACAAATAAGAAAAGGGCAGAAAGGTGATATTTGCATGCTGAGTGTTCCTCGGTGCTCTCGCTCTGGAACAACAACTTGAGACCTCGGACACAAGGCACGGTATAATTACCGGTTTTAGGTACCCGCCGCACTGTCTTGGTAATCCCCGCTCCACATGCTTGAGAGTGCGAGACTAACCAAATGTGGGGTAATTCAATGACCCATCAACCAAGCTTCATTCAGTGCGGTATCGCAAGCGTCATGCCACAACTTATGAGCTGCTGGAGATGACATCTCTGATGACTGCAGTACACCCAGAGCAGTTGCTGCTTGAGTTATAGCTGCTCCAGCGGTTGTCATTCCTTTCTTTCGGCCCACTGGATGTAAAAAGTCAAGTCGACGATTTTCTAAGGTGTTCTTGCCAACCACTTTTACATCGTAACCCAGGCCCTGAAACCTTCAAAACGCCAATCTCTATCCCTGGTCGAGTTCCAACGAGTCACACACCTACGCTCTCTCGCATGGCAACGACGAAGGCATGCAGCGCTTCTCGGTGTCTCACGTCACGGCGTGTGCCCGGTTAATGAGGAGGTCGGGGCAACCGGGCATAGCAGCGATATCGCAATCAATAGGTCATCTCATGGTGCCCACGGTGCGGTATTCGCATCACGTTACTCATAGCCCAAGATGGCGCCCCGTTTCTGTTCTGGATGAGTGCGTGCCTCTCTGTCTCTTGGTTCGGCCTTCCGTGTCTGAATTGACGTGCTCACGCCTTGTAATAGATGGGTTGCAAAGGAAGCTCGACCTATTAGTTTGCGACAACTCATGGTGTTCGGCCGCACCTTGGCCGAGTCGAGGTTGATCAACTCAGCGAACTATGTTCGGACCGAACTACCAACGAGGTGAGTTTGTATCCCACAATTAATTGCCAAAGGCTATACTGACTGGCGCTTGCTAGGATCGCCCACCGAATTCGCGACATGCAGCAACTGCCCTATGTCGTCGTCACAAATCCACACGTTAACGAGGTCTATGACCTCTATTACACTGCCTTTGATACGTTCCGGAAAGTAAAGGAAATCAAAACGCTCGATGACAATGATCGCTTTTGCAAAACAATCCGTTCTATGCTCAAGGCTCACCTGACGGTCATCCCCAAACTCGCAATGGGTATTCTTGAAAGCAACGGCCTCATGGACTCGGCCGAGCTAGACAAGTTCATGAACACCATTCTCCGATCTGTTCGTCCCCTCAGCCGGCACACCCCTAATTGCCAACGGCGCCACTAGCTAACACATACTCTCAGCGTATCTCTCGCCGCGTCATCGCCGAGCAGCACCTCGCACTAACCGACACTTTCCACGCGCCGTGGTTCTCCCCAGGGGCCAAGCTTTCCGAGTCCGAGTTCATCGGCGCCGTCTTCCTCAAGTGCGTCGCCAAAGACGTTGTCACGCGCTGCGGCAGCGCCGTGCGCGAGATTCTTCAGCGCGCGTACGGGCCGGACGTGGCCCTGCCCGAGATCCGCATCGACGGCCACCTCGACGCCAACTTCCCCTACATCCTCAGCCACCTCGAGTACATCATCGGCGAGCTGCTGCGCAACTCGGTGCAGGCCGTGGCCGAGCAGCACCAGCGGCGGCGCGAGAAGGACCCAACGAGCTCGCACAAGCCCCCGCCCCCCATCGAGGTCACCATCTGCGAGAGCCACCAGCACGTCATCATCCGCATCTCGGACCAGGGCGGCGGCATCCCCCGCGACAGCCTGCCCTATCTGTGGTCCTTTAGCAAGGGTCCCGCGAGCGGCAAGATCCTGGCCAACCTGGGCAAGGTGCCCAAGATGGCGGCCACCATGCAGGAGCTGCAGCTCGAGGAGGACAATCACCACGCCAAACACCACCACGACGACCACCACAGCCACGAGAACCGCAGCACCTCGATCGAGGGCGGCGAGATTGGTCGCGACGTGAACAGCTCGCTGGCCTCGCTGTCCAGTCGGCCGCCGAATCTGCGCTTGGGGATGGGCCTGCCTCTGAGCAGGGTGTATGCCGAGTACTGGGCGGGGAGTCTGGCGGTGCATAGTCTGGAAGGGTACGGGGTGGATGCTTTTTTGCAAATATCCAAGCTCGGCAACAAGAACGAGCAGCTGACGACGAGGGCGACTATGGATGCCGTGTAAGCTTTTGAAGGCAAGGAGGCGTTGGTGGACGGTTTGTTTTTCCGGACCATGCTTTCGGGTCAGTTTTCGAACTGGGTTCCATTTCTCGTTTGAGCGGGCGTTCTTTCTGTAGGTTTGTCTCTGCATGTATGTACTTCGTACTTGGTGTCGTCTACGAAAGATGGTTTGTTTCAAATCAACACAGGGCTTCCGTTGTCGGCAGAAGTCGCTTCCTTCAGGACAGGCAGCCTTTCTCATTATCTGGTATCATGAAGGCGGCTAAATTACATCATTCCTAAGGTCGAATAAAAAAGGGGTTCCGGAAAACAACTGACGTGAAGGTTGAGTCCGTCGAGGACGACGACCTGAAGTCCCTGGGGGTAGTTCCAAGTCCCTCTACCCTCCGAGAATTTGCGCACCTTTTCCCGTCTGCTATCAAATAACTAGGGAGGGAAGAGATGAATAAACGAAAAACGGACAAAACAATAGAAAAAGGCCAAACGACAAGACATTTTGGTTAACCAACTGCTTGCTCACCACCGTACCATAGGCCATGCGAGCCCAACGGAGACAGGTAAAAGCCGGCGGGTTGACAAAATGCATGACGCGGCAGGTCAGTACCTCGTAGCCACAGTTCCCTAGCGACGTCCGTGGCTGCGGACGGCGCTCCCCTGCAGTTGCTCCAGTTCGCCCTCGAGCTGCTTGATCTGGGCGTGCGTCTGCTCGAGGTCCTTGTTGAGGCTGTCGCGCTCGGCGATGAGTTTCTGCTCCCATTGCCGGAAACGCTGCTCCTCGATCTTGACCTGCTCGGTGAAGCGCTTGCGCAGCGCCTCCTCCTCCTCCTTGAACTTGGGATTGTCGAGCTTTCTCGGGCGCGCCTCGCCGAACTTGCGCGTCTCCATCTGCTGCGCGCGGTACGCCTCGTAGTGCAGCTCCTCGGTGGTGTGGATAAGGTCCAACATGTGAGTGCGGATCAGAATCGACCGCAGCTTCTTAAAGTCGCAGTGGTCCTCGTTCTCGACCTCCGCCACGCCCCACGAGTACTGGCGGCCCTTGACGATGCGGCCGTCGTTCGTCTTCACGTCCTTCTCCGAGCCGATGACGGCAAAGGGCATGGCAGCCATCAAGCTGCGTGCGTGCTGAGCAGCAGCCTCATCATCCTCCTCAATCGGCGGCTGGTAGATCTTGATGTTCTGGGCCTCGATAACGGCTTGGATCTAAAACAAAGTCAGCGTGACGGAAACGACTAAACGACCAGTGTCCGTGCTCACCCTCGACTTGAACTTGGCCAGGTCGGCCGGGCTCAGGGTGTCGGCCTTGGCGATAACTGGAATAAGGTTGACGCGCGAGCACAGGCGCTTCATGACCTCGATGTCGAGGGGCTTGAGGGTGTGGCCGGTGGGGCGGATAAAGTACAGGCAAGCGTGCACGCGGAGATCGATCTTGTCCTGGCGGCGCGGCTGCTGCTCCTGGAGCATATAAGACTCATGCTGGTCGTCGAGGAACTCGATGATGGGCATCCACGAGTCCCTGTTGTTGACATAGTCGCCGAAGCCCGGGGTGTCGATGACGGTCAGGCGGACTAGTTGCCAGTCAGTGGTGTATTCGTAACATCTAGGCGGCATGCCTGGCTGCTGCGTACCCTTGAAGAACTTCTCCTCCAGCTCAGCCTTGGTGATCTCGATCTCGACGGTCTTGTCGACCTGCTTCTGGTGCCGGCGCTTGTGGTCGGCGTAGTTCTTGATCGTGGTGGAGAAGAGCGTGTTGATGAAAGTGGTCTTGCCCAGCCCGGACTCGCCAGCAACCTAGTAACGGGTCAGAACAAAGTCGCAACCCCCACACTTCCGGCACTTCTGACCATAATAGTAAATGCGGCACCCCTCTTCGCGACAATCTTGTGCCGTTGGTTGGGCAAATTGGCAATGCCAATAGGCGACGCGCTCTCGGCAGCGGCAGGAGCCATCTCGAGCTAAGTATTGATCGAAACGAAATAAAAGTGGGTGAGGGTATCAAGAATGTACAGCCAAAACCGTGGCAGACGCAATTGGGAGAAATGTTGCTGGAGCGGAAGAGGTGGTGGATGTGTTGGAGTTGACGGGTACGAGGAGACGGGGTCGGGAGCTTGTGCTTCAGGGGAATTTGCCCATCAAATTTCCAGACCAGCGAAGCTGCCGTGCACGGATCAGCGAACAAGCACGGACTAGACTGATGGGCGGGCTCTCATCAGGCAGTCAGGGTGCGAGAACTCAAAATTGAGTGGGCCGTGCTCCCCTTTTCCACTTTCCCCAGAAGCCACCGAAAAGAGTCCCTGCCAAGCCAGGCTCGACACCGAAAGTGACCTGAACAAGGCGCGTCGGGGGTTAGGAGAAAGAATTGGCCGTCCCCGCTAAAAAGTTGCCAAATTTTTGGCGGCGAGCACCGGCGATATCCTGCTTTGGCGATTGGAGCTTTGGCTTTGTTGCAGGTCGATTTCTTGGTTTTTGGGAGATGGACTGCCAGCGACCATGAAGACGGATTTTAAGTTCTCCAACTTGCTGGGGACGGTATACTGCCAGGGGAATCTTCTGTTCAGTCCCGACGGAACTCATCTATACTCTCCTGTTGGCAATAAAGTCACTGTCTTCAATCTCGTCGAGTATGCATAACCCCCCTCCATCCATCCCTCTGCCAATCTGACCCGGATTGACATGTGCTAATTGGAAGCAGCAACAAGTCTTACACCCTCCCGTTTGCCCACCGGAAGAATATCTCGAGGATAGGCTTGACCCCGCAGGGCAACCTCCTCTTATCGATCGACGAAGATGGCCAAGCCGTTCTAACTCACGTTCCACGCCGAGTGGTATTATACCACTTCTCCTTCAAGTCGCGCGTGACGGCGCTTTCCTTCTCTCCCTCGGGACGATACTTTGTGGTTGGACTGGGGAGGAAGATCGAGGTCTGGCACGTTCCGTCGACACCAGACTCCAACGCCGCCGGCGACCTCGAGTTTGCGCCCTTCGTGCGCCACCACACCCACACACAACACTTTGACGATGTCCGACATATCGAATGGTCGAGCGACTCTAGGTTCTTCCTCAGCGCTTCAAAGGACCTAACAGCAAGGATATGGAGTCTCAACGCCGAGGAGGGCTTCACGCCCACGGTTCTGTCAGGTCACAGGCAGGGAGTGGTGGGCGCCTGGTTCTCCAAGGACCAAGAAACAATCTACACTGTCAGCAAAGATGGAGCCGTCTTTGACTGGCAGTATACCACAAAACCCGGCCACGACGAGGACGAGATGGTGGACGAATCGGATATGCAGTGGAGGATTGTCAATCGGCACTACTTCATGCAAAACTCCGCCACCCTCCGATGCGCCGCCTTTCACCCGGAATCAAATCTGCTCGTTGCCGGTTTCTCGAATGGCATATTTGGGCTGTACGAAATGCCAGACTTCAACATGATCCACACGCTCAGCATCTCGCAGAACGAAATCGATTTTGTGACGATCAACAAGAGCGGAGAGTGGCTGGCATTTGGAGCCTCAAAGTTGGGCCAGTTGCTGGTGTGGGAGTGGCAATCCGAGTCGTACATCCTAAAACAACAGGGGCACTTCGACTCGATGAACGCCCTCGTCTACTCCCCCGACGGCCAGCGGATCGTCACGATAGCGGACGACGGCAAGATCAAAGTCTGGGATATCGAGTCCGGGTTCTGTATAGTCACATTTACCGAACACACGAGTGGCATAACGGCTTGCGAGTTTGCGAAGAAGGGCAACGTCCTCTTCACGGCGAGTTTGGACGGGTCGATCAGGGCGTGGGATCTTATCAGATACAGGAATTTCAAGACCTTCACCGCCGCTGAGAGGTTATCCTTTTCTTGCATGGCGGTCGACCCAAGCGGTGAAGTGGTTGCTGCAGGTTCGATCGACTCGTTCGACGTTCACATCTGGTCGGTCCAGACCGGGCAGCTGCTTGATCGGCTTTCGGGCCACGAGGGCCCAGTTTCGTCTCTTGCGTTTGCCCCGAACGGCGGCCTACTAGTCAGCGGCAGCTGGGACAGGACGGCGAGGATCTGGTCGATTTTCAACCGGACACAAACCAGCGAGCCCCTGCAGCTTCAATCAGACGTTCTAGACATTGCGTTCAGGCCCGACTCGCTCCAGATTGCGATCTCCACACTTGACGGCCAACTTTCATTCTGGTCTGTCTCGGAGGCGCAGCAAATATCTGGTGTTGACGGCCGCCGTGACGTTTCAGGAGGTCGCCGGATCACAGACCGCAGGGCTGCTGCGAACGTGGCTGGAACCAAGAGCTTCAATACCATCCGTTACAGCATGGACGGGTCTTGCCTCCTGGCCGGCGGGAACAGCAAGTACATCTGCTTGTACTCCGTGACGACCATGGTGCTCCTCAAGAAGTTTACCGTCAGCGTTAACCTGTCTCTGTCGGGCACCCAGGAATTCCTCAACAGCAAGATGCTCACAGAAGCGGGACCCTCCGGGTTGTTGGATGAGCAGGGCGAGGCGTCAGATCTGGAAGACCGGATTGACAGGTCATTGCCCGGCTCGAAACGCGGCGATCCCTCGGCAAGGAGGGGAAAACCAGAAGTGAGGGTAACTGGCGTGGCATTTTCACCAAGCGGAACATCATTCTGCGCTGCGTCGACAGAAGGCTTGTTGATCTACAGCCTTGACAGCACCGTGCAGTTCGACCCGTTCGATTTGAACATGGAAATCACGCCAGCGTCAACGCTTGCCGTACTCGAGCAGGAGAAGGACTACCTTAAGGCGCTAGTCATGGCCTTCCGCTTGAACGAGGCCGGTCTAATCCAGCGCGTCTTCCAGGCCATCCCCTACACGGATATTGGACTAGTTGTTGAGCACTTTCCCACAGTGTATGTGGCGCGCCTCTTGCGTTACGTAGCAGCCCAAACGGAGCAGTCACCACACGTCGAGTTCTGCCTGCTCTGGATCAAGGCACTGGTGGACAAGCACGGTGCGTGGCTGACAGCCAACCGAGGCAAGGTCGATGTGGAGTTGCGTGTTGTGGCGCGGGCCGTGGCCAAAATGAAGGACGAGATCAGGCGGCTGGCCGATGAGAATGTTTACATGGTGGATTACCTCATCGGGCAGGCGAAAGACAAGCGGGCTGGTGACACTCCGGACGGAATCGAGGGCCTTGAGGTGAAGGCGTTGCCATCTACGACAAAGGAGGTGACAATAGATGACATGATGCGCGAAGACGCCAGTGAGGAGGAGTGGATTGGGCTAGAATAAGCAGGCATATAAGAAGGCGTTAGGAATACAGGTTGATACCACATGGCCAGTTGTTCTGGTACATGCTGCGCTATTTGAGACCCTTGGCCCATCGGGCGCGCCAAACTCGTCCGAGAACTAAATGTCCGGGACGTCCTACGCCAGTCAGCTTGTGCCTGTCTCCCGAATGTCACGGCCCAACATACCTTCCAAGCCTCATCAAAACCACAGCTCCGTAGCCAGCGCTCCCCGGGTGCTTCGACCGAGTCGACGATCAGGTGGCAAACCTTCGACCACATGTCGTCCCCTTTCACCTTCAGCCAGCCCTTACCCTCGTCCTCGTACTTTTTGCAGATGTTGCGGCAGATCACGGCCGCCCGGGCCAGCTTGATGGAATGTCCGTCATCTTCGTAAGTGTGCAGGCGGGCAACAATATCTGTTCCTCTTGTCAGTGTATCTCATACAAGAAGGGATGCGAAGCAAGCGACGTACCAGCCAACGACCCACCGGCTTTGGGTTTTCGCGGTTGATAAGCAGCCAGTTTCTCAACGGACAGCTCGGGCGCGCCGCGGGCAGCATACTGGAGCAAGTCCATCCGGATCTTCCACTCCAACAGGCGTGCCTTAGCCTCGGCGGGGATCCAGTCCTGGGCGTTGATGGCGACGAAAAAGGGGCTGGAGTTCACATGGTGCCTATCATCAGCAGCGTTAGCACTTAACAGCCAAACTTTCTCCCCTCCTCTCTCCCCTCCTCTCTCCCCAAGACCCAGCACACAACACACAACTCACATAAAAAAGAAGTCAAACTTGGGCTGCTTCCCCTCCTTCATCACCGCGGCCGCGGCAGCCACATACACAGCCGCATCAAACATCTCGGCCGTCTTCTCCTCGACCTCGTCGGGCCTGACCCTCACCCTGGCCGCCAGCGCGATCATCTCCTCCCGCGCACGCGCAAACACCCCATCGCGGATCTTTTCCGGATCCGAATCCCTCGCAGCCCCCTTCAACTTCGGATCCCTCCTAATCTCAGCCATCAACTCCAACACCCCCACCCCCCCTTCCTTCCCACCCCCAGCAGCAGCCCTAGCCTTCTCCTCCGCCGCCAGTAAAAACCTCCCCAGATCCCCCGAATGCACCGCCGCCTGCGCAAGCCCCTCGGCCACCACCGCCTCCTGGCCCCATTCCACGCCGTACATCAGCTGGATCAGCGGATGCAAGATCCCCGCAAACAACCGCACCAACAACTCATCCCCACCACCACCACCAACACCATCGCCTTCCTTATCAACACCCAGCCCCAAACCAAACAAATACCGTCCCACCACGTTCTTCCACCCCCCCTCCCGCTTCATCTCGGCCTGGAAAAACCGCAAAAAATCCGGGTAGTAGGCCTCGTCGCCGAAGCGGGGGCGCGCGGCGGCCGGCCAGGGGTGGAAGGTCGCCTGGGTTTGGGCGAGGGAGGGAGTGTGCGGGGCCAGGGCCGGGCGCTGGTAGGTGTTGTTGGCGCGGTAGGCGGCCTGGAGGGCGGAGGGCGCGGCGCCGGTGCCGTAGAGGGCGAGGAGGTGGTGCGGGATCTGTGGAGGGGGGCGGGGAGAGGGGGTGTTAGTTTGAGGGGGGAAAAGGGGGGGTAGGGGGATGGGGGGACTTACATGGGTTGTGGAAGTGTTCTTCCTTTGAAGAAGACGTGGTGCTTCTGTGTTATGGGTAGGGGGTGTATTAGCCAAGAACCAATAAAAGGATGGGGGAGGGTAAGGAACGAGGGGAACTGACTTCCATGTCCTCCTGGAGCAGCTCCGACACCTTCTTGGCCGCCTCGTCGGTCTGCTTGATGTGCCAGAGCCCGGTGTTGTCCGGGGTGACGCGCATCTTGTAGGGGAGGTCTGCGGTGGAAGCCATCTTGGTGGTAGTTGCGAGTGTCCTTAGATGTTGGATAGTTCGAGTGAAGGGTCTCATTCAAGGCAAGTTGAGTTGATGATGAGATGGAGATAACTTCAAGAAAGCCTGAAAGCCCACCCACTCTTATATACTCGAGCAATGAAGTTCTGCTTGTTACTCAACTATTCACCCGTCTTACAACCGGACGGCTTGATGTCGCCGATCTTTGTAATCTGAACAACAGTTGTGGTTCGGCTCGGGCTCGGACGTACGAGATGCACACCCGAGGAGATGGTGGAGGGAGTCTTGGGTATCGGATGACATCATGCACAGTGCTCTTTCACCCAACCAGAAGCATACCAAGCATACCAAGGACGTAAACATTCAAGGGGTCTCCCATATGTCAAAATTAGGGATACTCAGTACCCCCCCGGGTTGGACATAACACAGGGCTTCCGCCCCGTCACAATTCAATTCATCACAGTCAAGCCTCTATCATCCATATCCGACCCAACTCCAAGGGGTATGCATCTTCTAACACTGGCCCACGCCCGTGATCTTGTTGTCATCATTGGACACCAAATACCCATACGGCCTCATTCATTCATTAGCGGTGTCCGTCCAAGTTTACCCTACCGTCCCCCGCGTCATTCATTCCCGATGCCTGCTGGGGCTCCGATGCACTCTCCTCGAAGCCCGCTCATTAATAAGTCGCTGGGCGGTTGCCTGGTCGTAGCCGATTACCCTGGTCAAGTAAAACATCCTGCCACGGAACCGAGGCGGTTAGCATCGAAGAACGCAAACCAAAACCAACCAAACAAACAAACAAATACGACGAGTAAAGACAGCAGTAGTAGTAGAGTAGTAGACTTACTTCTCCCCCTCGCCTTCCCTCCCCCTCTGATCCTCCCAGCGCTGCTGACACTCCATCCACGCGACGGCCCTGCGCTTGGGGTCGATGCGCTTGACTTGAAAGCGGAAGCGGCCGCTGACGGGCCTGTGGTCCGAGACGCGCACCTCGTGGCGCCGGTAGTCGAGCTGCTCGATGCGGCCGCGCCCGCCGCCGCAGCGGTACAGCAGGCGGTCGCACCAGGCCGGGCTCCGCCGCTTCTCGCTCGTGTCGTACGTGTCGGTGCCGACGTCGTACTTGTACGTGGGCGCGAACGCAATCGGCTGCTCCTCGAAGGCCCGCAGCCGGAACGCCGGGTTGCGGCGCCGCGCGACGAGTAGCTGGTCGCGCTCGAGCAGCTTGGCGAGGTTGCCGGCCTTGACCGCGGCGACGACCGTGTCGCGGCTCATGGTGTCGATGCGGTAGTTGAGGTCGCCGTTGAGCAGGCACAGCTCGTGGTCGAGGATCAGGGAGCCGTCGCCGCCGCCGACGAAGCTGTCGACGCGGATCCCCGGGTCGCGCTGCGGTGGGAGCAGCGGTGTTTCAAGGATCGCCGCGATGTCGTTGTGCCGCGCGTTGGCCGACGTCTGGCCTGCCGCGAGATGGCAGTTGATAAAGCACAGGGAGGTGTCGTCGACCATGAACCGGATCACGATAGCGCCCTTGTTGCCGTGCAGGCCGCCCATGCCACGCTTGACCTCGGCGCTGCTCAAGTTACTGATGCGCTCGCGGAGGTCGGCCTTGACGAAGATGCATGTAAAGAGTCCCACGAGGGGCGCCGAGTGGAGAACGTGGTAAAGCCCGCCGCTGGACATGTGGTCGTCCAGGCTCTGCGCGAGGAACTTCTTCCAGTCGCGGTATTGGTGGCTCATGCGCTCCTGGTCTGAGCCCTCCTTTTTCTTGGGCTTGAGGAAGCGTTTCGCCGTGGCCGTCTTGTCCTCGAGATCCACGAGTTCTTGGAACCCAAAGACAATGATATCGGGCGAGTCGCTGCTCTGCAAGAGATCGCGAACAAAGGTCGCGTCGGACTCGGAATAGCGCAGGCTATGGGGCGTCGAGGCGCCCGCGTTCCACGTCAATACCAACGCTTTGATCTTCTCGAAGCTGCAGTACTCGACGTCTTTGAGCTTCATCTCACCCTCCAGCCAGTCTTCCTGGAGCATCCCGTCCCAAGTACGCAAAATGTTGTCTGCGCCCAGCGACACCACCTGGCACCGGTCGAGCTTGTAGAAGCTGGAACGGTCGACGGCGACCCTGACCACGGGGTTCTTATGTGCCTGCCAGTCCTTCTTGAGAGCCCACGGCGTCTGCTCCATGTCGAACACCGTCATTTTGCCCGTGTTGAAGCCGGCCCACATGTACCGGCCCACCCCGGCGAGCGAATTGATCTTGTACTGGCTGACATTCATCACCCCGAGGCAGGAATAGTCCTTCCTCGAGTAAATGCTCACTTTCCCGTCGCTGTGCCCAAAGTAGACCTTGTCCGGTTCCGACGCCAGGATGGCGCCCGAGGTGACTTCGCCGGCGCTATCTTGGATAAGCGGCCGTATCAAGACCTGAAATTGTGTTCTCCCGTCCAAGGTCGGCAGGAAAACCCGTATCTCCTTGCCGGTTGCGTACCACAGTTCGTCGCCGACAACCATCGAAAACAGGTGTCCTTTCGGTACACGGAAGGATTGCGAAGGGCCCAGAGACAGGTTTGGGACACCATTTTCGTCGGGGCCCCAGACATGCAGCGTGCCGCTCTCATCCAGAGTCCACAACTCGTTAAAGTGCCTATAAATCTTGATGATCTCGTATCGGCCATGGGCGCCCGGCTTCTGGTTCAGGATGGCTTGCGACTGGACATCGGCCTCCAGCAGCTCGCCGTGATTATTGCCGACCCAGATCCGCTTGCCTTCCTCATCCACGTTTTCGCCCGGCTTGAATATCACGGCCGTCCCCTTCAAGCCTTCGCCCATGGCCAAGCTCATTATCAACTCGCCGTCTTGCACACTCCAGGCCCTCGTGTACGTGCCGGTTGCGCAAACGAATGGGCCGCAGACATCGAACACCCGACTGTCGTAGTTGGTAGGAATCTCGTGTACGCCCTTGTTCATGTAAGGTTTGCTCCGGTTTGTTCTCGAAGTATCTGGGTAGGCCGTGATAACCGGCGCAGAGACGTCGCCCCTGGAGCTCCCCGCCAGGGTGTCCAAAGACCGGTGCTCAATCGGGGTAGTTGGTGTAGCCGGGGCGCGCAAATCGTTGACAACCCGACTCGACATCCGCTCCACCCCCATGGTCATGGACCTACCATTGAGCCTAGGGATAGTGGGCGGAGCATGCGCCGTGGGTGTTGACGCGACTCGTTTCTGCGCGGCGGCGCCAGCTGTGCCGATTTCGTGAGGATGGTTGGTATTCAGCGCCGGCCGAGGTGGCCGTGGCGGGGCTGAAACCGCATGCACAGTACGGGAAGAGTCTATGAAACTCCGCGGTCTCGCCGGTAGCGCGGGCGGTTGGTCGCCAGTGAGTTGGGGCGTGAGCGGATCTCCTGCCCTACCATTAACGCCATCTCCGTCGAACCTCCTGGCGGCCAGCGAATGATGAAGCGGCGGTGCTTCGAATGGATCGCTGGCTGCGTGAGACGTTGCACCGGACCGCTGTGGCCGTTCCAGTTCCGTTTTCCGACGTGTGGGCAACGCGGGGGGAGCATCCTCCTCAGTGGTCCCATTACTACTCGGCGGACTGCCGAAGGGGGAGATCTTGTCGCTTGGGCGGTTCGGTATATGAGCGGGTGAGCTGGGCTGCGAAAAGAGCGAGAAGCGAGCTGCCCCTATCAGCGGTTTCTCAGCCCGGTTGACCGGGGGTGGAATCGCAGGCCTGCCAACATCCTTGTTCTCTCGGTCTCGTCTGAGCTCCCCGGACCGTCGAGGGGGAGGGGGGGATGGCGGTTTAGCAGGTGTAGGACGGGCCGAGACACCGGATTCGTGGACGGGCGTCCGAGGACGGCCCCCGAACTGTTTTGTTCCTGTCGCCGCCGTGGGGGATTTGATTAGGGAGTCGGTATTCACAAAGGCCGGACGGTCTCCTGTTGGTATTCCCACGCCCCTCTTAGGCGGGGAATGGGGAGGTTCGATGGTAAGCGATGGGGGGTGGCCGGGTCGTGGGCTGATGGGTGGAGGAAGCGGTCGGGTAGGGGATGTTGAGAGGCCAACATTCGCGGCGGCCGGGTTTATGTTAGAGACGTTCAGCCTCTCTTTCGGGCGAGGTGTCGGAACAGGGGGTGGTTCTCGGGCCGCCGAGGGGCTCGGGTCCCGTTCTCGGAGTCGCACGGGCTTCGGTGCTGTTGCCGGCGCCGGGCCAGGTGATGCCGTTCTTGAAGAGGTCCCGGTTTGTGGATTGGTGGGAGTTTCGGTCTTGTTTAGGTTTTCGAATTTGGCTAAAAGCGAGGACACGGGTCTCTGGTGCAACATTCAATAATTAGTCACATTCCATTTCACGACTCCAACCGTCGGTGTGGTGGTGGTGGTGTGTGGTGTTGCTCACGAGGGATGAGCCATCAGGCCCATCTTTTGGCACTGGATCCATGGCAACGACAAGTCGGGTCGAGAACAATAGTTGCTGGATCGTACTTCAGCGATTGCACGCTCCATTAACCCTGAGCCAGGGAACTCCTGTTGTCATGAGATGTCGCACATCCGGAGGGGATTCGAGAGTAGAGACCAGTACCGCCCACCGTCACGGAAAATAAATGCACATGCACGGTCGATGCGATGCAGGACAGGTTGGTGGTGTGCATTGACGAGCCGCGGGGCACTTGTGTCGGGAGGGCGCTGTTAAGGTAAAACTGTAGTGATCTGTAGTGTGCTTACGAAGTAGGTAACTGCGCCTTCATATGTAAGTTATGTACAGATTACCATCTGCTTTGTTTTAGAGTTGCCCAGAAATTCCCACTCCTGCGAGACGAAGACGAGGCAAAGTGTGGCGCGTGTCAAGGGAAACCTGGCAAGTCCCTGAAGATGATTGGGGGCCGTCTGGTCGGTGTTGGTGGTACACACGATGAGAAAGTGGATGCCCCGTGGGCTTTGCTGGTGGGCAAATGACGATGTGCCTCCTCTTTGACCAACAGGTAATTATAGTAGTGAAGAGAGTACCGTGCAGCAATCCGAGTCGCCTGTCCGGTGTTGGATCCGAGCAATAGGCGTCTGATGTTTCTTAAGTACCGCCCCACAGCCAAGCATCCGTCGGAAACAGCAGAGCCAACCGGAAATCCATTCTCACAAATGCATCCATCTCCCTCAGCAAAACCTTCTACATATAGGAGAGGAGAAGTTGTTGGTCGACCGGGATGTGACTGTATCACAAATCTCGATGTGGTTTGCGGCTTGCAGCTCAATGACAGGGGCCGGGAAAATGAGCTGGTTGTCCATCAGGATCGTGAAATGCCGTGGCTTAATGCATACTGTGTGCCTGGGCTAGTCCTGTTCTGGATGCCAGGTCCCCTTGATCCTTGTAGCTTGATGAAGTCAAATGCATAACTCGGTACCTAAAACTGCCATCCTCATCTGATGGATGCTATCGACAGCTGGGTAGGTACAGAATAGAGGTGAGGGGTGGCCAATTTGATAAGCGTAAAAAACCAACCAAGACTGACCTTTTTTGTGATCTTGGAGCTCACATTGTGCGTCACAGTGCAGCCTCTGAAGTGGCGTGCCAAATGTGTCACGGACAGAGAAACCCGAACTCCAAAAGTAGATGTCGACCAAATCTCGACTATAGGAATGAATGGGAAGTTATTTCGAAGGCCAAAAGCCTTTGACTACTCTATTTTCCTTTACTTTTACTTTATTACCGTTTGTTTGATCCCCCTTTCTCTGTTTCTTTGGCTTCTTTCTCATTTCTTGATATCTTGCTCTCCTTCTAGGTTCGGGCTTTTATGGCTGGAAAGCAGAGCTGTTTGGCCCCACATCGAGCGCTTGGCCAGAACTTTATCGACCCATTTTCGAGCTCGGCTGTTATCGATTGCATCACCCCGGTCCTGGAGGAAGAAAGGTCGAATTCAAAGTCATTCTAAACCCGCATCTCCGCCGAATCTTCTCTGTTTTACAGCGGCTTATTATTCACTCAAAGAACAGTCTACTCTGAGCCACAATGAATACTGTTAGTGGCGTTCCCTGGTTGTTGTACTTGAAACTGCCGCACAACAAATGTTGCTGACTTGCTGCTCAGGTTAGGTCCTTCTGGTGAGACCACCACCAGTTGATGCGCCTGAAACCACTGCCTAGACTAACGGGGAATATCGCGCAGGCTGGGCTGGGGCTCGTTGTGTGTCGGTATGCTCTTCCAACCCCCAATTCCGAAAACCAAACGAAAAACCCTGGGCGGCTGACTGGTGTCGCGCCTCCTTCTAGCCGGCGGCGGGGCATATTACCTTGCAAAAAAAAGCATCAATGCCGACCGCCAGGCTCGACTAGAAGAGCAACGGAAGAAGAAGGCCATGGTTGATTCGCTCGAGTACTCCGAAAACGTCCCAAACCGTCCGCTTTCATCAGCAACCATGGGCGGGTCGAATGGTGGGGTGGCAAGCGGTGGCCCAGCAAGGACAGACGCCGTATATTCACCGAGCCAGGAATCTAGCAGTGACCCGGCCCCAACGAGGCACGCCCCGGCCACCGAGGGCCAGAGAGTGGCAGAGAAGAGCAAGTACGAGGCCGCCGTTCCGTTCAACAGCCGGAAAGGGGATCGGTTCTCTTGAGCATTTGCTTGGGACATATGGCGTACCAGCTGTGATAGCGATGGAATTGGCCGACCTGCTGTTTGGCTACACATGGGAGATAAAATCTACCTTCGGGACCTCGAGACCTAGCCGTAGACCTCGGCCACACCAGGCACCCGGTCCCTCGGCCATGGCACGCTCGTTGCGTCATTATCTTCTATCTTATCTGTATTACCCAATGCAACACCCAAAGGATTTTCTTGCGATGCTCGGGACTTTCATGCCTTGTTAAATTGAATGAGGATACACGGCATAGTTAGTTCTCTGGGATAGAGAATTGAACACGACAGGAGAGTTACACAACCATTAGCTACATATTGTATTGTAAGAGTCCACCTGGCCTCCATACACAGTAGATGCATGTTAAATACCCAATCGTGGTGGACCTCTCTCCCGCATCTCGCCCTTGCAAGGCACCTGAACTTTGGCCGGCTTGGCACCTTACCGACGGGAACCAGCAAGGCAACGCCAATCTCAAAGCAGCCTCTCCATACCTAAGCAACGCTTCTGTTTGCGACAGTACGAAATAAAACAAAATCAGCGCCTCCTCGTCGCCACCCCTCTTGTTAGGGTACCCATAATGGCGTCGGCAGAGCTGATTGTCGCCAAGACGGCGCTGTCAGGCGCCCTCTTCCGTCCAGATCCGCGGCCGTGTTCGCGCGACGATATCGAGACGATGATCGCCCTCGTTAATTCGACCGTCTCCGAATGCTCGCCCCTCAATGTCCAGGTTTGATAACGCGCTTTATCCGTGTCGATTTTGACTATTGTGTGGACCCATGGGCTAAGCCGCGCACCAGAGATGCAAGCAATGGGCTCTCTCCAACCTGGTTCCCTCGTCGGCTCGGATCGCCCCGTTTGCCAAATACCTGGTCGCGCTGTCCAAGTCGTTCGGCAGCGAGAAGGATGCCGCTGTTGGGGATTCGAAAACAAGCCGTGTGCCGTCAGCCAAGCGCCGGCGTCTCCATGTTCTATACATTCTAAACGATATCCTCTATCACGCAAAGCACCGCAATCGAGACGAAGCCTTCGCCCAAAAGCTAGAGCCAACACTACCCACCCTCGTCGCGAGCGCAGCGGCTTTTAACAACAGCCCGAAACACATCAGGAAAATTCAAGACTTGATCGGACTATGGGAGGAGAACCGCTACTTTTCCCGCGGGTTTGTCCAACAATTGCGGGCGGCTGTTGAGGAAGGCCCGTCATCCAACGAAGAGGAGAAGAGTCGCAACGACGGGGACTATTCGGCGAGCGCCGTGGCGAAAGCAGCTAAGACGGCGCCGTGGGTCTTACCGGGTACGCACGGCGACCCTTCAACCCTGTGGTACGATCTACCCGCGGCGAACTGGCTCCCTGTCTTGGAGCCGAACTCAACCCGGCCGATGAACCCCTCGATGATCAAGCCTCTTGTCCTGTCACAGGGCCCTGCCGACAAGGCTCTCGTGGACGCTGTCAAGAGCTTGCTCGTAGATATCGACAAGATATACGCTAAGGAGGTGAACCACGATGAGCCGCTGCCCAACGTCAGCCGACTGGGCGAGCGTGTCGAGGTGGACGAAATAACAGGCGAGGTTATTGACGGAGATACGTACTACGGCTGGTCCCGCGCTTTCTGCGAGAAGATGAAACGCCGAAGACGGGGCCGTGGTGGGCGGACAGGCCGTAGCGATGGCGAGCGCAGTAGGACACGCTCCTCCCGATCTTACAGCCGCTCTGAGACCCGATCACGCAGCCATCATCGGGGCCGTAGCGAGGGCTCCAGCCGAAGTCCCAGCCGACCCGCTTTCAAACGCCAAAGAATGTCGGCATCGCCGCAAAGCAGGCGCCGCAGCCGCAGCCGCAGCCGGAACGCGAGCGACCTGTCCAGTCCGGGCCGACACAGGAGTCGCAGTTACCGTCGATCACGAAGCCGGTCCGCTTCCCGGTCTCGCCGGCGATCACCATCCAGGTCCAGATCGCGCAGCAGAGGGTACCGGCCCGGGAGCGCCAATGGCAACCGAGAGGGAAACTACCAACCACCAAGTCCCGACTTCTCCCCAAACCGATCCTGGTCCCGTCCTCAGTCTCCCCCACCACACCCCAACCTCCCAGTGCCACCTCCTCGGAACAGCTTCCCACCTCCGCACCCGCCCTCAACCGACAGCTGGGGTTACCACCCAGCACCGCCAACAGCACCACCAACACAAATGCCCTACCCCATTCCACACCCCCTCCCACCTCATCCCGGGTTCGGCGGCATGGGATTCCCCGCCCCGCCGCCCAACTACCAGGGGGCCGTGGGCCGCCCGTACCCCCACCGCTTTCCGCCCCAACCGCCACAAAACTACTTCGCACCCGGTGCGAACCCCGTCCCGCCGCCTCCCTTCCAGGGGAGCTGGGCAGTGCCTCCGCCTCCGCCGCCGGGGCCGGGGCCGTTGCCGGGGAACCAGAATAGCATGTACCAGCAGGGTCACGGCCAGGGCCAGGGCCAGGGCCAGGGCCAGGGCCAGGGACAAGGGCGGGGAGGGGGAGGGGGAGGGTATCAGGGGAGGGGAGGTTATGGGCGCGGTGGGTGGCGGTAAAGGAGATGGGGATTTTTCTGTTTAGCGGGGGTTATTACAAATGGTTGGATGAACTGTCGATAGAGCCTCTTGCTTGTTATCCGCTTTGTAGATCTGGAGCTGTATCAATAGATCCTACCATAGTGTAAGAGTCCTTTCGACACTCTGTCCCAGCTGTGATTAATGGGATTCACCTTCAAACCGGGAGAAAATCATGCGATCTATTATTGTTCAACCAAAGCCCGCCGTGACCGGAATGCGCCTGTGAGATCCAGAAAATAACAAAAGGAGGAAACAAAAAAAAATTAGCGGGACAAAAAAAGAAAAGACTACCTCAGATTATGTTTCCACGGTCAATTCTTCCCTCGTTAGTCCTGCGGGTGTGCTACTGTTCGCAAGAGGAAAACCCGATCCGACCCATCTGACCCGGCCGCTAAGTTCCTGGAATATCCCACATCCTAAGACTCGACTGTGTTGGGTAATGGCGAGAGGGATGGTAATGCAACTGGCCTCCCGCCACGGCAAAGGAAGGATGAGACCGATAAAACCACACAGAAAATAGCCATCTCATTGTTTTAACAAGGTCCCCGCTATAGAAAAGGGACTCTGACTCAGAGAAGGGAAGAGCTGAAGTTAACAAATGAGAAGGGAAAAAAAAAGCAAGACGAAGTGCGAAGTAGAAGTAGTAGAAGATATGCCAAACAACAAAAGCGAACGGTAGAGATTGGGGCTCGGTCCAGGGGAGGGGGGGTCTGTTCTCGCCTGACCGCTCACGCGCGAGGTTAATCCAGTCCAGTCCAGCCCAACCCAGTCCAGTTTCTCTCGCTTCACCCCTTTTTGCTTGTAAAAAGCCCCCTCCCCGGCCAATAAGTAGCAGCGCCCTGTCCTGTCCAGCCCTGAGTGAACCCTGCCCCTTCCTCTCCATCCTGTATCCTCTCTAGTCCCACCGTCAAACCAAAACAAAAGCCGACATCAACACGCGCGCCCCGGTATTAAGGGCAATATGCGCCAAATCCATCCACCTCTAGGGTAGGGAGGCAACAAAGCGAGACTGAGATGCCGGCGCCAGAGCATCCATCCTTTCCCCGCAAGGCAGAGCAGGAGCATTTACATGTCAGCGTGCTT